TTAACTTTCACAAGGAAAAAAAATTTCTCTCCAGGGGGGCAACTGCCCCCACCCTACTCAGCCCCGCCCCCGCCCTGGCTGGCTACGGCACTGGTTTTGTAAATAACCCCCACGGAGACGAAAGCATCGGATCCGTACGGCCTGGGGACGGCAAGATTCAATAAGGACATCCCGCTGTCCGGGTGTGTAAATATATAACCGTGGGTAACATCAATTTGATGTACTTTTCTTAAAGTTGAGTATAAGGATCTATACAGAAAACGTCGCCATTACAGTAAAATAAAAACGTTGTAATCCATACATTGTGTCTCCTTAATTAGCAGTTGGTTCACAGAAGGTGAGGTGAGGTGAAATGGGGTTTAATGTCGCGTCCAAGATTATTGCACTTATATAGCGACGAGCATGTACGTGTGTGTGTTTGAGTGGCTGCTTGTATACTAGTCCGGGCTGATGCCGATTTATAGTGCTAGCTCACTGAGATACCATGCCGCAGTATACTGTCTCCGAGCCGACCAGTCCTTTTTTAGCCCCTTAATGCCGACTGCAAGACAGGGTAACAGCAAGTACCATCTTTTAACGTCTTTTGGTATGACGCGGTCGGGGATCGAACCCCGGACCTTCCGCTCTCCGGGCGGACGCTCTACCTGGTTCACAGGAGAAATGAAAGGCGATGCTTTGGATCCAATATCACTGCCTCATAAGGTAACCTCTGACCAAAGGTCAATGAACAAACTGACTGACCGTTATAAGTCTCAAGCATGCACCGTTTGACATATTTTTTATTAGAACCAGCCGTTTCGAAGGAAAGTGCGAATTGTTTTCATAAATGTACTAATGTTAAAAACATATCTCATTAGTTTCTTGAATAACGCCCTTTGCGAACTATATATTTGACACGCACTGAAGAATGATGGTAACATTATATTAGTGAGTGAGCTGTGTTAACCCTCTTGGTGCCACTGGACCATATATTGTCCCTCACTTTTCACACCCTCATAGAGCCACGGGACCATATATGGTCCCTCACTTTTCACACCCTCATAGTGCTACGGGACCATATATGGTCGTGTGTGAAAATGTCCGATGTCAATTACCCCGAAGTTGTTGTTATCACTAATAAAAGGGCACGGACACTGACACCTACATGGATGTAATCAAGATTTCTTTAAGATATACATTCCATACGGTCATTCATTTTGTAACATAATCTTTAACAGTCTGCGTATGAACCAATCACGACCACCTCCGTCGATATTGCTTTGACGTCAAAAACACTGACAAGTTCATCTGGATTTTTTATCGGCAAATATAAATCATGGAAATTCTCAATGAATGTGTACTTCGACATAAATGTCATATTTCTATCACCGTTAGGATATGTACTTTCCAATGGTGTGAATTATTGGAACATTTAGATCTCAAACATGGGCCTTACTTGACTTTACTTGCCACAGTCGGGTGCTCCCATATTACGATAATGTAGAAAAGTAGGAAGCTTACAATACCAGCACTTTTATCAATGGCTTGGCAGTGCATATATCTTTTGGATTTTGTTGACTTTAGATACTGATGGAAAGACAATCAACTCGAGTTGCATGTTATATAATTTGGTTACACTGTGTGAAGAAATAAAGACGTTGTAACACTTTTGATACAATGTATACGTTTTTGAAACCGCGACGTCATCACAGTTATGACACTGGGCGGTATGCAAAGCCAGCTGACGGCCAGGCACCATGATGGTTAACGCCACTGTGAACACTACATTACAGTTATATCACGGCGTGTAAGCCTAATGTGGGAGGAAAGCCCGAAGTAATGTGTATAGGTCTCAGACGTTTTACCACTTTGGTGTAACCCACGAGCACAGGTATGTGCTTTCAAAATTTAATATCAGTATAGTAATCTAGAGTAATCAGTGCGAACCGGGATTCAAACCTACAATAGCAGATGTGTGGCACGTTTAAGGGACTTACTCTGCAAAGCGATTTGCGGCGCTTTAGATGACCATATATTCAGACTTAGGAAACGAACGAAATCAATAGCAACTAAAATTAATTTCGGTTTCACACAAACACATGCACGATCACCCGATCTTTGATCTCACCGCTCGGCTTGCAGTGAATAAAACGCTCCAGTATAATTAAACGGGAACCCTTCTCAAATACCCATGGGCCAAATATCAGTCCTCAAATAGCACAGCACTGTCAACTGCGACAGTTTAGTGACTGATGGTAGTTTAAAATGGCCCTCCCAATACAGATCCGGGTCAACAGGCACACAGACAGATTAGACGGTCGTCACTCAGAAATGAATTAAGCGCCTTTCCGACTCGTGCTTCTATAGCGCCTGTTACTAGCTGTTTCCTTGGTGTCGGTGTGTTCACAGGTAACAAGCCGAACACCTACTATTATAAGCTGGGGTCGTGCTGTTGTGATCTGTGCATACTCACACAAAACCAGGATTAACCCGGTGCAACTGTTGCCCCGCCACTTTCAATGTTATTTCCTCTACCTCGATATATTGGGACTATAGCAGATATATACTACGAAGTTAATACATACACATTTTCATAAACACACGATTTTAATGTTTTTATCCTAATTTAATATACTGAAACATTTGAAGTTTGAAAACATATATTCGGTTTTTTGTTTAATATTGGCAAAATGGCCACACAAAAACAAATTAAGTTGTCCTGTGCAGGAGATACTAGTAACCAAACAAAAGAAAGGTTTTATTTCACAATATACTATTCCGATGATAATGCCAAACGGGCTATATTCCAAACCTCAGTTTGGATGGAATAGGTTTCATATTGTCTGTTATGGTGCTCAACAGGTTGGCAATAAGACTTTTTTTTCGTTCATTGAAAATATAATAGATCGACATGAACAGCTGAATGAAAATATAGTTTGATTGAAAGTTTAAATCCTATGATAACAAAAATAACTATTTGTAACAAAGATGCCTAAGTTTCTCTTACAATGGAAATGACGATACTTTTCATGAATTTGGTTTTTTTAATTAATGACAAATTTCGTGATTAGAAATCGATTAACTGCGAAAACAAGATTGTCGTCTAAAACAATTTTATAACAATCTACGTATAAATAGTGTAACTATTAGTATCCAGCAAAATCGTTTTAGTTGCAAATTCCAAATAAACCACATGAAATGTATAAAAACACACACTATGTTGTATTTGTTGTAATTAGAAGTGAATTTCATTATACTTAATCTGTATGCGCTACATCCGACCACGGCAGTACGTAGAAACTTAAGCTGTTTCTACGGAGACGTGAAGCATACATTATTCATTGGATTTCGTTTCAAGAGAATATAAGCGGTTTATATGCATAACAAGTTTCTCTGGATTGGAGATTGACTTCAGATAACGTTCAAGGTTTTCTGATAATACCCTACTTCCAAATAAGGTAAGTAAACATATTTTGAAAAAATATACAAATAAATCGAGGTTCTATATATCACGAATAGCAGGGTCTACAACTGAATTCGAGATATGAATACATTCGAGATATGGATACATTCGAGATATGGATACATTCGAGATATCCGAGATAACAATGTTGGACTGCGCGTTACCAAGGCTGTAAACAACACCGTTCCGCCAGTATCCCGGGGTTAAGACACAGAAATAATAAAACGTGTTATAGATACATGTTTATTCAAACGCAGTAAGCAAAACCTTTGTATAATGTATGTATATATAGGATCGTTTCCACGAGAGAGTATTGTTGTAACTACAATAGAAACACCACACAACAACAATGGATACAACAATCAACGCCACTCACATTTATATCACAGAAATAGCAATAATTATTATAACAGCTATGTAAACACTAAACAGTCAACATTAATTACATGGTATTGATTTGGACATCTATCTACTGGTGATTTTAACTTAAAGGGGGACTTGGCTCGCGCAATTGACTTTTCTGGCAAGTTTTATTCCAGCAATTCAATTACATTTCGTTTTGACTGGTAACGCAGATTGATTATGCACATATCAACCTAGCAATTAAACACCGTTATTAAGGCGAGAGAATTTTTTCGGTTTCACACTTGCCACGACTGACAACGTCTAGGACCATTACTGAAATTGGCAACATATTGTGGAGCGTGGCCCCTCTTTAACACGGGTATGACAATACATTGATTATTTATACAGTAAAGTACGGTTATAACGAACTCAAAGGACTACTAATTATAGTTCGTTATAACCGTAGTTCGTTATAAGGATATATACAGCATAACTACAGCAAATAGTCGGGACCAAAAAAGTAAGTTCGTTATATCCGTCAGTTCGTTATAAGCGTGTTCGTTATAACCGTAGTTTACTGTATTATTGACAATGTACAAACACACGCACAGATAAACAGTACTCAATAATACAGTTCACAGTAATGGAAATATACATGCGTAAGGAAATCGACGTATAACGCCACACTCACTAAAATTAATAATCCATGGCGCTTTAAAAGAGAGATCTACTAGCATGAATAAACAGTGATTGTGGGAAGGGGAGGGGAGATCCGTGTCATTTACGTTACTTGGGATGATTAATCCCTGAGATGGGATGGGATTGAATAACGTCGAAACTACACATATACATGAAATCAACATAACAGCATACTTTCCCTTGTCGGATAGAGAAAGTGAGATCGTGAGAGTGGGTTGAAGTCGGTTTTGGCAATATTCTAGCAATATCAATGCGGACACCAGAAACAGGCTTCCCACATTCTACCCATCGTGGGAATCGAACCCGGGCGTTCGGCGCGACGTGCTGAGCTTTTACCATCATTACATCGCCCCTAGTCATTACCTTAGTTGTAAAAGGGGGGGGGGGGCAACGGATTGCCCAGTCGTCTAAGGCGACGCGATTCGCTGTGCAGAGTTGCGTCCCTTTGGCACGCCAGAAACCTATGATTGTGGGTTCGAGTCCCGGTTCGCCCCGGTCTGAGACCTGCCTGAGACCTGCACCCCTTCGGGCTTTCCTCCCACATTAAGCTGACACGCCGTGATATGACTGGTACACTGTTAAAAGCGGCGTTAAACCCAACTCACCCACTCACTTAGTTGCAAAACGTTGTTTCAATTCTCCTAGAATTATCCTTAAAGTGATAACTGCGTGACAGCAAATAAAATATATTTAAAGGTAGTCATCGAGTGTCTATTTCAAGCACTGCTGATTCCTCAATCAAGGTTTACGTCATAAGGTTACGTTTCTATACATACATCCTAACTGGTACTTGATGATGTGTGCAGAAATGGAATTCCACTGCGAGGCTTGCTTTTAAGATGGGTTCAAGTTTATGTCAACGGTCGTAAACAAACGGGTGTTTTTTTGTGAACGGTAATTAGATCAACGAATGTCAGGTGCTTTGGTACGAGTACTCGAGTAGCCTGTTGGTGCTCGTGTGATTCTGACCCTTCTCACTTCACCCCTTATGCCATTATTTGATAGATGAAGCACTGCAGGATAAGGTGTATCCATATTCAAGGTGATTTGTGTCATACTGGTATACATGTGTCAATGCCGGGGTGAATTTAAATTACTAAATGAAGTCAAACTAAAGGCAACATGAAGAAAACAACATTGACGGTTTCTGTAAAGAAGTAATTTAATAGCTTTAATTAGACTTTTATTGTCGTATCCAAATAATAGTTGCTACATATCATTGGTGAGCAGTACGCTGTGAAGTAGCGAGATATAATTCATCACGTACTCCAAACACCGCTGACGTTTAATAAGGGTAGATTACTTATCTAACTCCATACAGTGTTAAAGCACAGACAATAAACTGAATCATTATGCACTAAATACCCACGACTCATGTTTAAGTGATAAGATTTAATTTGATTTTAGGTATAAATCTAGGTGTCAAATTCAGCGCTATTGCCGTTGAAGTTGGAGTTGCTTCACAACGACAATAAACATGACGTTTTCGTGGCTAATTACAGTAAACTATGTTTATAACGAACACGCTTATAACGAACTGACGGAGTTTTGAGTCCAGGCCATTTGCTGTATACATGCTGCTGTATATATGCTTATAACGAACTACGGTTATAACGAACAAGAATTAGTGGTCCTTTTGAGTTCGTTATAACCGTACTTTACAGTATTCATTTTGGCGTGTAACACGTAGAGTGAATAGTTTCACAGGCGACCCTGCTTCACAAGTCACTGTATACTGGCCATAATACCCCAAAGTAACGGACATATAACATGTTAAACAAAAGAAAGAATACACTTGTATTTTACCAAAAACATTTCAAAAGTTATCAAAACGTTACTAGGCTGAAACAGTCGCCAAAACACTGCAAACTTAAGGTCCAAAATACAACTATGATACACGTGTCAAATACATCACAATCGAATACCGTGATTGGTATTTATCACAGTCAATTCCAAATCAATCGTTGGCACATCTTCAAAATAACGGTTCGGGTTATCCTTGGCACACCAATAACACTGTAGATGATTGTTGACCATAGTAGCTCACTGCCCAGCATACAGTTATACGAATTTGTAAAAAGAACAGGTAACTACTTGTTGAAGCCTCCCTAACAACCAGATCCTTGATACACAGGGTATCAGACAAACGATCCTTTGCATATCCTCTTCATAATCATCACCAATATCCTTTTGCAAAATCCTGGATCTGCCCCGAACACAACGGTTTAATACTTCGCTTAAATTTGATAACATCGTGACACGTTATTAATACGGATGTACCAAGAGCATGGCATGTCACGTTACACCATTATCTAACATTATCTAACCTAGAAGAGATATGCATTTTCTTCACCGCTGTTCGATGTATCGAATGATATGTATTTTTGTTTACCAATCAGACCCAATTGACAGAAATGTTCAACTATTCTCTCTCAAACACATACGAAGTAGACGAAAGTTGATATTACTTCATTAAACGTTCCATTCAATGACACCCACCGAACATTTTTCCGATGTCTACAAACCAAATTTTTAGTTTATCCTTAGGGTTCTCTTACTGATGTCAGAATCACGGACGGCGATGTAAGAACCAGAACGACCACGTCACTCGCTGTACACACCAAACACAGTTCCCGTGCAGAAGATGTAGTTGTTCTGAAAGGTGTAGGTAGCGTAGTTATCGAGGTTGTCGTCCCAGACGGACCTGCTACAGGTGACAACACTCTGTTCTCTCTTCTCGCCAATATGGACCTGGCAGATAATCTTATAACGGTCAAACCCCAACAGTTTCACTTTGTCTTTGATTTCATCCGATAGAACCTTGCTGATATTGGCACAAAACTTCGGGTTATACTTAAAACGCTCAAGCTTCCCATCCAAAACTTCTTCGATAACACCTCGAACCCTTTCCGGTGAAAACTTCTTATGCGGTTCCATTCGATAACTTGGTTCTTTCTGAACATGGATCTGGGTTTGTGAAGAAAGACGCGAACCGAACGGCCCTCTTCTCTTGTCGAAGAACCTCGAGGTCAGTCTCTTGGCCAGACGTTTCGAAGCCAGGAGACCAACCAAAGAAGGTCCACCGCTAACACTCTGTTTCGGGGCGATGCTTGGCCTTCTTAAAGCTTCGTTTGAGGCACCAAAACCTTTCGCCATCGACATCCTTCTGTTTTCGGATGGGGCTCCGAGAGAAGCGACGCTTGAACCTTTCCGATTCATAATCACGAATTTTGGTGAAAATATCCTGCGCGTTATTTCATGTGTCTCGGAACTCAACAGTCTGAAACTGTCCCTCTCGCTTGACTACCGTAGAAACAACTGTCGTCTGCTCCCCAAAGGACGAGATCACATGACTCGCATTGTTGTTTGATCAATACGATGGCTTTGACAGGTAATACAATAATAGAAAGTCAGTATCTACGAGCAATGTGCTTTCTTGCCTACTGACTGGCTCACTGAATAGCGGCAATGAAGTGCGACTGAATGCGCCCATATATTCATAGACACGTGTGTCGTGGAATAATTCGAATGCATTGAAATCTGGTGACACTTGCCTTTCGCTGAAACACAGGCGGTTACTTCTATATTACACTTCTACACCAAACAAACATGCTGTCTTATTAACTTGGAGATACGGCATCCGACGTCAATATTATATATACAAAGAAAGTTATATAGCACTCATAATGTTCGTAAACCACGTTTCCTGGCTAGAAACTCCGCGTTAAAACGGGGATATAACGGTAGACCAGGGGTGCGAATAGCAATAAATATGGCAGCTGTAATTGACTGGGGAAGGTCAGGGCCTCATTTTATTTGTTAAAGTTTCACCTCAGGCATTAAAGTACTTAAGATTGAAAGAATCACACTTGATAGACTCCTGAAGTGCATGCTGCAATTGCCTTTAGCTTAGTTTATCTTTGTGTGAGGCCCTTTAATAGAGTTGGAGTGGTCTTTAAGTTGATACTGGCCCATCCCAGATAACGCTCTATGTCCCATCGTGAAATACCCCCCTTCGACAATAAATATGGAATGGTGTTAAATAGCCTAAGTATGTTATATTTTTTGTAAAAGTGTACTTTAAAAACAATCAGTCCAGGCACTTGAATATACTATTAAGTAGTTTGACTCCACTGTCTAATCTTCTATTTCTATGCATAAAAGATATATCGAGTTAATACGGAATAACAACATTTCAAGAAATGTAAATATATACACACATTTCACCTGGGAAAACATACTAAATCAACAAAGCCAACGCAAGTGAATTAATAAACGTTCATGTCACTGTTTGAGTATCGCCGTCATATCACTGCTGGGCTTAATAATAGTGTACCGCGGTAGGGAATCGACCGTGACGAGCGAAGGCCCGCACAACATACAAGTAGCTACCCCATAAAACTGTTTGTTTGTTTGTTGTTTTACGCTGCACTCAGCGATATTCAAGCTATATGACGGCGGTCTGTAAATAATCGAGTCTGAACCAGACAATCTAGTGATTTACATCACGAGCATCGACCTATGCAAATGGGAAATGAAATGCATCAACCAAGTCAGCGAGCCTGACTACCCGATCCCGTTAGTCGCCTCTTATGACAAGCATGCCGAAGACCAATTCTAACCCATGTCTTCACGGGTCTGAAGCACTTTGACAAGGCATAATAAACTTCACACACACCATGAAACTTAAGTCAGGCAGCATCAAGCACATATTTCTTTAAGTTTACATTTCAGTTCTAAACAATAAATAATACCTACAACTGCCTTTGGGGCCATGCAACCTTTGCACAAGCACATCTAATTTAACTTCGGATATGACGAAGATTCGAGGATGCTCCTGATCAATTCGTTATCTCCGAAGTTTTTCATTACCTTGAATACTAGCATGTATTACAACCCTAGGGTTGTAAATGATTCACAGCATTAATCGTAGGTAGGTGGCGTTTCCGGATTAAAGGGGTCCACACTAACAAAGTTCACTGTAAATGACGACGATAAGACCCCTTCATCTCAATAAACACGGGTCGGGGGGTAGCCTTGTGGTTAAAGCTTCGTTCGTCCGATGAAGACCCGGGTTCGATTCCCCACATGGGTACTATGTATGAAGCCCATTACGGGTGTCCCCCGCCGTGATATTGCTGAATATTGCTAAAAGCGGCGTATAATCAAACTCATAAACTCACTCACTCAATAAACAATGTAAATTGCCCGGCAAAATCAATCATACACACCTGGGTTAAGGGGTTAAAAATAAAATAATCGAAAAATGGTCATTCGATGTTAATGTTAATGTACGGCTGTCATTAGTTTATTTCGACCTAACATTTGCTACTGTTTTCATCCTAAAATGTTTGGTCAAATCGAATTTTCAAGTGTATAATTTATTTTGGCCGGTAGTTTACATAGCCATTATATTCACAAGAAATATAATATTTACATGTGCAATTTAAGAATGCATGTTGGTACGTTTGTATTAAATGTCAATCCTGCATGTTCGCTATTATCATTCCCCATGACAACAGCTCGTCGCCACTAGGGGTTTTTAATATTTTGATAATCCGGAAACCAAGCGTACAATAAGCAGACTCAGTCGGTATTAAAAGCGTTCCTGGCCATACAATAAGAGATCTAGTCAGTACTTGTATTTTAATACGAACATCCCGGCATAATACACGGTATGTATCTCCATTTATTAATAATACATCAATATCGTGATTGCTTTCTGAAATATAAACACGATTGAATGCCCCGGGTGTGCCTTGATATTCGATTTCGATCTGTAAACACCATGTTTTACACGATCACCCATGAAATTGTATTGACGTTTTTGACTGATCATTTCTTTGGCTTCATAACCTCCATGAAACACAGAAGATTTAGTGTGAAATATTTATTTTCAATTTCTAGTTCAAACACTTTCATGCGTAGCAATCGAATCCTGCCAATAATACGTGTATGACCCCTTTTGTTTAAAGGGCCAACACTGTTTGCGTTTAGTGTCATAGCAAACGTTCACTGGTTTACATGACTGAATGCTGTATGTAAACAGTGGTATTGTATTGTTCCTGGTATTTATTTGATTCGGGAGACCCCCCGAAGGAAAATCCCAACTGCTCCGTGAGACCGGTCACAATAGGTTGGTTAATCGTATGCGCCGTGCATTAGCACAATGCAATAACAACCATCCCTGGGCCAAGTCTGCATGCTATAATGCTTAGGCATTGAGAAGTAAACTAATATGTCTTAATTTGAATTTTGGACACAACTGATTTGGAAACTATTGTAGGAAGTGAAATTCAAAACGTTTGACCTAAATAAAACAAAGATGGTGTGAGGAGTCGTTTTAAGGTTGAAATCATCTCTGGGGAGAAAATGACTTTTGGAGGTCAAGTTTACAATGTGGACGTTTAATGGATTATCATAGCTGAAGCTAAGATTAACTTGAGAATCACACACTAATTTGCTTTGACAAAGGTAACTGGTTTTTTGCTCTCCATTGTTGTGAAAGTAGTATAAGTAGAGGTAATTTAACTGAGATTAAGTTTAGGCAGTTAGGAAGGTGTAACTCAATACAATTATGCGTGAGAGCGCGTCATGGACATAAATTGCTTGAGAAACAGTCGGGGGTAGACTAACATCAAGTCTCTGAAATGAACATATTTTACAGGAAAAAATGTTGTTAAATTATGTAATGTTTTATAAAATATAATAAATGGAGCCCAGAGACTTTCTTCATTTTCAGATACTGTACTGTAGTTATCTAGACTTGCACGGGCTGTATTGGATATATGCGTTTCAAGTTCTGTATGGCAGACGAAGTCGGTGGCTGAGGTGGGTTTAACGTCTTGAAGACGTGCGCGCGCGCGTGTGTGTGATATTCTCTGTGTGTGTGTTGTTAATATGTGGGATATTCTGTGTGTGCGTCTGTGTGGGATATTCTGTGCGTGTGTGTTTCTGTTTATGTGTGGGATATTCTGTGTGTGGGGGGGGGGGGGGGGGAGGGGGGGGGGATATTTTCTCTGTGTTTAGTTAATGTGTGGGTTATTCTGTGTGTGTGTGTCTGTGTGGTTAATGTGTGGGATATTCTGTGTGTGTGTGTGTGTGTGTGTGTGTGTGGTTAATGTGTGGGATATTCTCTCTGTGTGTGTGTGGGGGGGATATTTTCTCTGTGTGTAGTTAATGTGTGGATTATTCTGTCTGTGTAGGATATTCTCTGTGTGTGTGTGTGTGTGTGTGTGTGTGTGTGTGTGTGTGTGTGTGTGTGTGTGTGTGTGTGTGTGTGTGTGTGTGTGTGGTTAATGTGTGGGATATTCTCTCTGTGTGTGTGTGTGGGGGGGATATTTTCTCTGTGTGTAGTTAATGTGTGGATTATTCTGTCTGTGTAGGATATTCTCTCTGTGTGTGTGGGGGGGGATATTTTCTCTGTGTGTAGTTAATGTGTGGATTATTCTGTCTGTGTAGGATATTCTCTGTGTGTGTGTGTGTGTGTGTGTGTGTGTGTGGTTAATGTGTGGGATATTCTCTCTGTGTGTGTGTGTGTGGGGGGGGGGGGATATTTTCTCTGTGTGTAGTTAATGTGTGGATTATTCTGTCTGTGTAGGATATTCTGTGTGTGTGTGTGTGTGTGTGTGTGTGTGTGTGTGTGTGTGTGTGTGTGTGTGTGTGTGGTTAATGTGTGGGGTATTCTGTGTGTGTTAGGCTGGTTGGTTGGGTTGTAACTGTTCGTGTGTTATGGCGGGTGGGTTGTTTCTTTGTGTGTTTTGGTGGGAGGGCTCTCTGTGTTTTCGTATGGGTGTGGTTAATTTGTGGCATGTTGTGTGTTAGGTTGGTTGAAGGTGTTGTGAGTATGTTCATGTCTGGGTTACTGGTGAAGCTACATTGGTCTGATTATGCCTGTTTGTTGTTAACGGCGCACTCAGCAATATTCCGACTCTATGACGACAGTCAGTAAATAATCGAGTGTGGACCGGACACTCCGACGATTGACATCATGAGCATCGACCTACGCAAAGGGGATACGATGGAATGCATCAACCAAGTCAGCGAGCCGAACCACCCGATCCCGTTACTCGCCTCTTACGACCAGCATAGTCGCCTCTTATGACAAGCATAGGTTTCTGAAGATCAAGCGAATCCTTGGCAAACAGATCTGAAACGCAAACTGGAAAATTATTTTAGAAATGATAAACGAAATGCGTTCAAAACTTTTATATTTTATGCTCATATAAGCCTTTGTTGGAAATTGATCGACACGTAATGCATGAAGCCGAATACATCCATGTTGAATTCCAAGGACAAACAACATTTATCACATTGAATCAAAACAGAAGTAGCGAACGAAGAGTAACAATATGTAACCATGGGTAATATACTTAACAAAGAATAATTCAGTACATTTTAAACAAAACGTTTAATTTAGGACGAAAACAAATATATGACTTTTTTTGTCCATATTTATGAAGACATCAAGTCAGCCCCTTTGACAATATTCATTTATATCACTGAAAGAAAGGACGCGGGTCGTAGACGTTCAACCTTTGTTGACCTTGGCGAGCACGTGTTTGGCGTTGACGGACTGAAGATCATGATCGAGGTCAGGCTGAAGTTCATTCAAAACACACATTGAATTGCATTTGACTTTTCAGTCTACATAGACTCCAAAAACACAAGCAGTACAAAAAATATTCTTATTTGTCAAAGTATACGAGGCATAAGAGTCAAACTTGGGTTCCCATGCACATCTGCTTGTTGTCATGACCCCTTGACCTTTGTTTTCTCCCAAGGTGACGGTACAGATGATCTTGTATCTTTCATATTTCAGCGACTTGACACGTTCTTTGATGTCATCCACAAGGGTCCGTGTCAGGTTACCGCACGAACGTGCATCGTACTTTATCGTATCAAGTTGCTCGTGCAGCACGCCCTTCACGAGTTTCTCGACTGCGCACGAGCTGAACGTTCCTTTAGGTTCTAGCTGGTAGGTTGGTTCCATCTTCGGTACTGGTTGAGCCGGATGCGGCATCCCGTGGGCACTGTCTTTCCTCTCGCTCATCCTCCGCCCAAACCGTCTAGACATACGTTTGGAAAGGAACCCCACAGCTGACTCAACGTTGCTTGCACGATGACTTTGCTGGCTTAGAACCGTTAACCGGGATTTGTCGCTTGGGTGTTGGTCATCCTTACCTGCCAGTGAATCCAAATGAATGGTTGGCACCTTGGGAGGTACGTGATCTGGTTTCTTCTGCTCCTTGCCTTTCATCTTTGCAAGTAGGTTAGATAGATATTTGAAGTAAACGTCACTTACTGAATCTTCACAAGTCTGATTTCAATTCACGAACGCCTTTTACTATCAAATTCCACATAAAAGCTGGTCCAAAGGAGGCAAAACAAGGCACTTGAAGAGTCTTCTTCCTCAAAGACGCTTCCTGCGTTATGTATTATCAGCTTCTTTCATATATTCTGTACTTTTAGCTCCAGACGTACACGACAGTTCTCTTAGGGTATTCTACCTGAAATGTTCAAACATAGACAAATATCCCTGTACCAAGGTGTTAGCGCTGGATTAACACACACTTAAGCCCTTGTATACATCTGGCTTTCTACTTACCTAAAAGCAACCAAATCAATCAGTGCAACAATGGAATAAATATCTTGGGACAGGCTAATCCCTTATGGAATAATTAATCGTCCATAAATCCTTTTGAGATTACGGATTAAGATGTTAACATGGTCAGTGGACCATAAAGTTTGACGTGAATGTCATCTGAACGTTGTTTTGAGGTACGTGTTAATATATCTATGGAAATATACTGAACCACAAAAGAAACGTCACCATGAATAGATATATGAGAAACCTTATTTGTCCAAACACTGTGAACATACTTTGAGACATATTAAAAAGATGAAACTTGGCAAAACTGATCATCAAGGTTGAAATTAAAGTGTCAAATGTTCTTAAAGTGAAACACAACACTAGTCTCTGAGAAAATGGCATTACAAGTCATGTGTGTCTGCCATGTGCATTGATGACTGCCGTACAACGTCGATACGTGGAATGGATGAGGCGGTTGATGAAGGCCATAGGCACTTGAGCCCACATTCTGAGGAACGTCTGACGCAGTTCAGCTGCAGTTGTCGGCCTTGGTCGGATGTCATTCAGCTTTGAATCTTGTCGCACAGGTGGTTAATGGGATTTAAATCGGGACTGAGGGCAGGCCACTGCATGGTTCTGATGCCATTCTGATGGAAGAAGTCTCTTGTTGCTCTTGCAGCGTGGGCACGGGCGTTATCATGCTGAAACTCGAGGTTGCGGCGACGTGCCAAATGAGGTATGTCGTGTGGTCTCAAGAGTTGATCAATGGACCGACCTGCTGTAACACCATTGCCTCTCCCTGGACCGATGTTCTGGAAGACCACAGGGCCGACCCTCTGTGTACAACCATTCCACCCCACACCGTGATGCTGGGACCACCCCACCTCTCTCAACAACACAAGCATCCGAATAACGTTCCCCACGGCGTCGCCAAACTCTCTATCTCTCTGCCATTTGCTGATGAGATACAGTAACGGCTCTCGTCTGAGAGGAAGACTCTTCTCTACTGCTGGTGGCGCCAATGCTGGTGCTGTGTTGCCCACACTGCTTGCTGTGTTGGCGATGAGGTGGTGTCAGAATGGGTCCTCGGTGTGGCCTGTGACAGTGGAGAAGTCTGCTCGTCAATCGTCGACGCACGGTGTCCGCACTAATGTGTCGCTGGTGTGTCCCCATGGTCTGTCGAGCAGTTTCCGCAGCAGTAACAAAGCGATCTTGAAGATTCTGTCGCACAATCTGACGATCCTTACGTCGGGTAGTGACCCTTGGTCTTCCACTACATGGAAGTAGTGTTGGTGGTCTGGTACCGTTGCTGGAGCCTGTATATGGTCCTTACGTAGACTTGAAATGCAATCCTGCTTGCAATCGTCCAAGGGCTTGGTGCCGCTGATTTCTTGTCAATCTTTGCATGTGGTAGCAATTCATTAACGAATGAATGTTATCCGATCTTGGTGGATCTTTATAGGGCAAGAAATGGGGGAACGCATGTGCATTTCAACTCACATGCATCGGGTTACCATGCCGGTGCCGTGATCTGTTTGGGCGATGGGTTTTATTGTCATCTGCTTTACTTTTTATCATCAAATTTCATTTTTCCCAATAAGGTAAATTAAATGTTAACTTTCAGAAATTGTGACAAAATTACTCAGATATTTAAATGACAACTTTTCATGCAATGTTACTTGTGGTGACGTTTCTTTTGCGGTTCAGTATATATGCAACCGAAACATAACAATAAAAGAATGTTTGACCCTTTGGGTTCTGGGTAAGACTAAGAGTATAGGTCCCAAGCAACCTGTGCTTATCGTATATAGACGCGACTAAACTGATCGGGTGGTCAGGCTAGGTGACTTTATTCATTGCAGGTCATGGTAACCAATTGTGTAGATCGATGCTCATCTTGTAACCCACTGGGTTGTCCGGAAGTGGCCTTAATAAAGGGAGATAATACACGAAAGGGGAGATAAGAACCTATTTGGAAGGACTATATGGCCAATTTGTGGTTTCATTGTGGGATCTAACCGATGGCGTGCCGTAGTACCATGCTACGATCCACTGACTCTTTGAGGTTTTTATAAAGCTGCCAATATGCTTATTGCGGCCTACAACATAACCATTTCCCGTCAACAGGGATTAGGAGGTACCTTGCGCTGTCCCAGGCAGACAGTAGTGATGCGCCTGTAAAATCACATACTTTAAATCACGCAATAACAAACTGACGGTCAAAAGAAACTTTACCACTTTAAATATGAAATTGCAAAAATTTACGAACACAAGTTCAAACTAAATCAATGCAAAACACATTGTCCAAACACAACAGTGCTCAAGGCAGAAAGTTTCAAATAACGACTAACGGGATCGGGTGCTGACAGCTCGCTGACTTGGTTGATGCATGTCATTGTATCCCAATTGCTTGGATCAATACTCATGATATCAATCACTGGATTGTCTGGTGCAGACTCTATTTTTTACAGCCCGCCGTCATATAGCTGGAATATAGCTGTGTGTGGCGTTAAACAACAAACAAACAAACACAAATATGAAAAACAAGTGCCGCTTGTGCAGCCGAAACCGATAAGGGTGTATATATGAATCGATTGCATGTGAGACACTCACACTGATAAAAACAAACAAGCGCCAAGACTGACACCCGAACAACGCGAGGGGGGCCTGGGTGTGGTCCATATGGAGCCACCCAGGCCCACGTTGTTAGAACGTTTGGTTGCCCCCGTGTTGCTGTAACTAACCTGATGCAACGTTACAGACAGACCGGGCAGGAACCTGACTGGTCAAGAAGAGGTAGACCCAGGGTAACTATGCCCAATGAAACCCGGTACATGCGTACTTGGCATCTATGGAATCGAATCCTGACAGTGACGTCATCGACGACTAATGCCTTAAGGCATATGATTAGTCGCCAGACAGTGGCCAGGCGGGTCAGGGCTTAAGGAATTAGGGCTTACAGACCTTACGGTGGACAGCTATTGACAGCGCAACATTGTCGTCATAGATTGAGATGGGCCCGGACTGTACGTCGTTAACAGCAACGTGGCTGACAGAAGGACGTCTTCTCCGATGATACATTGAAAGCTTGCCACCCCACCTCAATTGGGGCAAGTGTCATGCCAATATCAGATGCAATATGACTGTCAATTTATATGTTGATTGCATTGGGATTTTGACCCTTTCAATACAATTTACTTCACGCATCTATCTTTTGTGGTTTTTAAACTAGTGTGATTTAAAACTACGTTAAAGTTTCTTTCGGTCGTCAGTTTATATACTTTGTGCCATGAGCATGTGGCTGCCCAAAACATATTTATTATCCCATTACATAACTATATACAATATATCCAGCTTGTTGTTATATCGTCGTTTTCATAATGGAATGGAGATATGGTACTCTGGATAATCGAAGATTGAAGTCGTGATTTTGGCGTTTCATACGTTTTTGCCTTCTGTCTCAGGTAATATTGTCTAAAAATGATTTATGAGATTTACAGAATTTTATTTTATACTTCAGTTTTCTGAAGTTGAGAAAAGTGATATTTTCATTGCAGTGAATATAACAGTTGATATATCACTGTAGTGAACATAGCACTTTGACGGAACTATTGTCATACAAGAGTTACCTCCCCGCAAATTGCCTCCCTTTAACGAAAGCGGCTAGCCCCTACACAAACTGTTGACTTCATTTTTGCGTTAGTTCCTCATTATCAAGGTAAAATAATGACAAATGGTAATTTATGTCGTTTCTTGTCGTTTGTTATTCTAGATTTGTTTTTGTTGACGTTGATTTCGGGAACAATCATATCCAAATGTGTGATAAAGAGTTTTAGTGACCTCAATTATTTTTGGTTATTTTTGTTTTTATATTTTTTAAGATTTTGCAAACATGGAACTAATGTTTAAGACGTCACTGGGTGTTAGGTAGGGAGAATTTACGTTACAAGGTTTTACTTTTGTAATGAAATTAATTAAATTCCGGTTGACTACACAAAAAGTATGCAATAAATAGAATATTTCTCGTGAAATATTACGTTTTCTCTCATCTCGTGACGGCCACTCGTGAAAATATCTCCCATTCCAAAGCTTCACTCGATTAGAGAAACGTGATAATTAATTTTCACTCAACACATGAGTGAGTGAGTGAGTTGGGTTTAACGCCGCTTTTAACAGTATTCCAGTTATATCACGGCGTGTCAGCTTAATGTGGGAGGAAAGCTCGAAGTGATGCAGGTCTCAGACGTTTACCACTTCGGTGAAATCCACGAGCACGGGTATGGTGCTGACAAACCTAGAAACATAATCGGGGCGAACAGGGATTCGAACCCACAATCATAGGTTTCTGGCGTGCCCAAGGGACGCAACTCTGCAGTGCTAATCACGGCGCCTTAGACGACTGGGCCACCCGTGCCCCCACTCAACACATGAAAAGGGTCACCTTGTAGACGGGGTTAACCTCATTGGTCATGTGTGCAAGGCGTCCGACCGTTATCTTCCCGAGCCAAGGCACTTAACGGTCTATAAAGGTCTTTTATAGTCGGTTAACTCCCTTACCTCGGGAGGTCCGTGGTTCGAATACCATCACGGGAATGGTATGGCCGCTATAACATTTGAAGAAAATAAGGCTCAGTACCGTACTAAGCAGGCAGGGACGTGCCAATGTAATTAAACCAGATCTTAGTATTCATTACCGATGAACAAAGATATGCGGACATCCCTTTCCGGGTCAGGTCAGAACGACTTTCGCGAACTTTGATAGACCAATGAAATGACTAACAAAAAGTGAACATTGGCCAATCAGAAATCAGCATTCTTGAGCTTTACGACACTAGTTTCAAACTGGGACTTCCATTCCAGACTACGCTTGTAAAATATTTTGACAAAATACTCTTTTCAAAATTTGAAAACTTAACAAATTAAATTCTGGAATGTCTAACAGATGACCGAGAATGTAGGGCAGTACTATGGTCATGGAAAGTCTCTTCCGTTTCAAGTCGCTATATGGCTGAAATAATGCCGATGCGACGTTAAATTTTAACTCACTCACTCTTCCGTTTCAAATATTAATCCAACTGAAGCAAGAGATAGACACTGATTTTGACATTCGTGACCAACTCGTGTTATTCCGGGACTAGCCGAACAGCGACTCGCGCCCCTCATGGCCATTTTTGCGACCGGGTTCCGTCTTAGTGCAAACGGGCATACCTAAAACAATTGTCAACTCGTTGCGTAATGGTTCACATATATTTCCTCATATATTATATATATTTCAGATGCAATTTAAATCACATCGGGACATGTGGAATTATACAGTATGATTGAACATATTTAACTGTGTCTTGGGTATATTTTGAGTGCAAGACATATGTTAAATCAAAAAATATTTTGACGGATTCTTTGACGAAGAACCTGAAATCGTACGCGCATTCTGATTGGTTTGTGGTATTTTCGCACATAACATTCATCGATAGGGGGGACGAGTCTTATTGTAAGTTACGGAAAGAGGCGAATGGTGACGAATGTGATTTTGACGGAATCAACCATGCAACCTGAATAAACTGTCATTCAGAATACCCAGTGTTAACCGTTTCAAAGTTGCAGGATTAAAAACACATTCCGATTGTCACTCTCCCAATCTGGTAATCGACGCTCTGATTTGTCGAATGAAAGGCCGTTCTGACGTGACGTGATCTCAGATCTTTGTTTAGCGGTCGCGAGAACTAAGATCTGATTTTGATGAAATTCGGGTCATGTCTTCTTTTGACGGGGAGTATGCAGCAGGGCGTGGAGTCACCCCACAGATGAAACCCTTACCATGTCAGCTTGCTGACAGGGGTAACCTCTTTGGTCATGGATACAAGGCGTCCGACCTTTGATGAGAAGGTCCGTGGTTCGAATTCTACCACGGGACGTTGTCTCCAGCTTGTCTTTATAATACTTTACCCATTAACCCTTCTTCCGATAGAGAGGGGGGCACGGGTGGCCCAGTCGTCTAAGGCGCCGCGATTCGCTGTGCAGAGTCGCGTCCCTTGGGCACGCCAGAAACCTATGATTGTGGGTTCGAATCCCTGTTCGCCCCGATTATGTTTCTAGGTTTGTCAGCACCATACCCGTGCTCGTGGGTTTCATCGAAGTGGTAAACGTCTGAGACCTGCATCACTTCGGGCTTTCCTCCCACATTAAGCTGACACGCCGTGATATAACTGGAATACTGTTAAAAGCGGCGTTAAACCTAACTCACTCACTCACTCACTCACTCTTCCGATAGAGACAACAAGTAAACAACGACATACACTTTGAATGTTTTATGTAACATGTCATCAACACACGCGATCTAGTTGTGGCTAGAATTCATGTTATTTGACCTTATTTTAATGTTTACATTTCAAAGATACTCTTAATACCTCGTCTGTATTAATGCATGCTATGTACACGTAATGGAGTTATCCGTATAGCGTTATGTATGAGGATACTACTAACTAAACTAAGGGCCACCCGAGTCTTCATATTACGATAGTTGATCTGTTATGGCTTGGCAGTAACTACAGTAATATGAAAGATTTCACAGCAGTTAACTTAGTACTTCTGAGTAGTATAATACAGATTTTCCTCTTGTCAGCTGCGAATGGCTGCAAATTTGCTGAGCTGGCAGTACTTATATACCATACTATAGACTATATACTATATACATAATACATAATACAAATAATAGATATATCCATGCAGGCTACATGCTTTTCGGGAGTATCCGATTTCAAGAGGGTGGGGTGTAGATTATTCAAATGAATAGTTTGTTCAGAAATATGTCCCAATGAATAGTTTTGTCGGCAAAGGTAAAAAAAAACATGAATAGTTTATTTTGTGGAAATTACCCAAAGCCATTCCTTTTGCCAAGTTAATCAATAGTTTGTTGGGTACAACTAGGGAGAAATAGATTGTTCTGAAAAACACCCCTATCTCCACCTCAAACCAATGCAAATCACATACATGCGCACCTATTCCTCTATTATATGGCCATATTGTATACAGAATACGGATGGGCATACCCAGGCAACCAGATACGTAATATGTTGAAATGTACCCGGATATATAGTATCTTGTGCCGCTGTACATTGCTTCCAGTGTATGTAAGTCGAGCATACACCATTAACTGGTAATATATCACTGTCCTTACTGTCCATACAGTACCGAAGATATGTTCAGACACGAGTCCAGTTTCCCTCAGACACTTGCACATTAACATATTTGTTCTCTTTTCTTCAACCCGATTACACATAGTATCGTGATATCCTCGGCGATGAATAATGGCAGAGAAGAATGTCGTAGTTCTCCTACTGCCCACAAACAGATGACATCAGCAGTTTATGTGTACTCTATTCCGTGTAGATACCGAAGGCGGAGGCTGTACAGAACAGGGTCTTGTTGGTGAAAGTGTAGGAGGCGTAGCTGTCAACCTTGGGGTCCCAGGCGCACCTGCTTGTGACCATGACATCCTGGTCTTTCCTCTCCCCCAGGATGACCAACACCACAAGCTTGTATCGGTCCCAGCTCATCTGTTTTATGCGGTCCTTGATTTCGTCAGTCAGCACCTGGAGAAGATACGTATATGTGTTATAGATACTAGTAGTTGATCCCACTGATGGTAGCCGTGGTGGAACATTAGACAATGTACCAAGAACAGAAGCAGATATCATATAAGAAGGTTTCTCCTTTTTCAAGCAGAGGTTGGTCCATTGTCTTGCGCAGTTCGTTGTGCGGGGCTGTACCCTCCAAGGTACAAGAGCATGTGCCACGAGAGTGGACGGTCGGGGGTTCGATCCCCGGCCGCGTCTTACCAAAAGACGTTGAAAGATAGTATTTGTTGTTACCCTGCCTGATGCTCGGCATTAAGGGGCCAAAACAAGGACTTGTCGGCTTGGAGTCAGTGTTCTGTGTCTGAGGGGTATTCATGTGGCTGTATCATGTGGCATGGTATCTCAGAAGGCTAGCACTATACTCGGCATTAGTTGAGACTAGTACAAGAAGCCACACACACACACACGTGTATAAGTGCAATAATCTTGAACGCGACATTAAACCCATTTCACCTCACCGTGACAGGATACGAATCCTAAATTGTCCCTTATTAGGATTCTTGATCTGTCAGCATCCTTAGTATGACACCCAACGATTGAGAAGGCGACGCTATACCCCATTTCACCTCACCGTGACAGGATACGTTGTTCATGGGTTCGAATCCTATGTTGTCCCTGTTTAGGACGTTCTATCTGTCCGCATCCTGAGTATTAGACCTAGCTATTGAGAAGTGGGTGCTTATACTGTGAAACCTTAATGGTTTTGTGTAAATGTTGCCCGAGTCGTGGATCGTTGCTCATGTGAATATAAACAGTTTTTCCTGGCTCAGTCCTAGTTGATTATTTGCTGACTGGAATATTGCTGAATACCGCTTTAAACATTCACACACTCACACATTCCTATATGAATCCATCTTCCCGAGGCAAGAGAGTTAACTGACTATTATAAAAGTCCAATTTCCACCCTTGCCGAACTAGGCTGGTATTATGGAGTTACATTTTGGCTGGACTAACGAGTCTATGCATAGTCCAATCAAATTCGCGCAACGAAATCGAAATCCGGTTCGTAAACTGTCGTGCAGATTTCGGTCAGTTGCTAGATTTGCAAAGCATGTGCACCGCTAAGTCGTTGTCAACAGATATTTTCCAAATCGTTTCCTGTTTTTAATCAAGGTTCTCACGTGATTTGATGCATTTCGCGATGTAAGATTCGTTTTATCACAATATATAGTGTATAGATCTTGATTATCGATCAGATCGCCCTGACTTGGCGCCGCCATTTTGCTTGAAGTAAATGCAAGTGACACGAGAGGTGGTATCTGATTGGTCCATGGGAGAGGCTCAGAAGGGACATAACTGGTAATAGTCACCGGTGGCGCTACGATCGAGCCAAGGAATTCCAGCCTAGTTCGGCAAGGGTGTAAACTGGACTTTTAAAGTCAGTTAACTCCCTTGCCTCGGGAAGATGATATGAATCTGACATGCCGAGATTTGTCAGCCAAATATTGAGGTACAACGTGAGACATATTTGTCACCGATTAGCCTGCAATTTTGATTATGTAATTTGTCGTCTTAAAATATTCGAATAAGTTTGTTTGTTTGTTGTTTAACGCCGCACTCAGCAATATTCCAATTCGAATAAGTACGCTAATGGAGCGGTAAAATAACATGCACGACCATCTAGACAAAAGCCTATTAGTAATATATACTGTGGGTAAGTGGTTTCCACAAATTACCCCGCTAGTGCAGAAATACTGTGTGTTGTGAAACAGAATATAAATATTGAATATATGCTGCACCTTGGCACCCTATGTGAATGCATTGTTACTACCATGTGATCTGTAAAATAATCGGGTGTGGAACAGGCAATCCATTGATTGACATCATGAGCATCGATCCACGCAATTCAACCAAGTCAGCGAACCTGACCACCCGATCCCGTTAGTCGCCTCTTACGACAAGCATAGTCGCCTTTTACGGCAAGCATGGGTCGCCGAAGGCCTACCCTACCACGGGTCTGTGAATATTGAAATGTAAATTTCTAATAAGGTGTAAAAACTCTGTATTCATGTGGCAATAAAAAAAAAACCACATATTGAAAAAAATCCAACCACGAAAAACATGCACGATCATATAATATGATTCAGCATATGAACTGGATAACATAATGCACCAGAATTGAATACAGGTCTCTCTCTAATCAATTTCGAAAGGGTTGACTTATGGCGGCATGTACACAATCATATATCATTCTAGCATCCCTACCTGAGTCATAGTCACGCAGAACTTGGGGTTGTATTTGAACCCATCCAACCTCTCATCCAGTATCTCCTTCAACATTTTGTGAACAGTGACGACGGTGAACTTGACCTTGGGGTCCATTCTGTAGGTCGGCTCATAGTTGACCTGGATCTGGTTAGGGGAACATTCTGTCTTTAGCGTAGTCTTCTTGAACCTCTTAGCCGCCAGGAATCCAGCGACGCCCCCCGCCACGCTGCTGCGTCTGTGGTTAGGGAGGATGGGGAACAAGCTCTTCCTCCTGTCATCCCCTGGGTGGGGACTAGGTAACCCCATCAGGTCATTCTGCATGATAGACTGTCTGCGTGCCATTTTGAATCTGTCTCCACACGTTCCCTGTCCTCCAACACAAAGTTAATGACTTACGTATTAGGGTCTCTTCTGATCGCGGCGCGTTTTCACAATGGTGGCTTCAAGACCTGTCCTAAAAGAGGTCTGTTGACAGCTCGTTATCCTTGATTAAATCTCTGTTGTAAATACTATCAAAATTTAAACCAGTGTGAACTATTCCGTGGAAGACATTGACAGTGTTCCCCGAGTATGAAGTGCGTTAAAGAATCATTTTTCACCTTCACTGTACAAATATCCCGAACGACCACAACTAACACAGCAGTTCCATTTCAAGTATGATTCCAATAGACAGAACTCTATTTTCACGATTGGTGTCCCTTCTTCCAAACTCTAAATCTCCTGACCACAAGCAGCGTCACACCAATGAAGGTACGTCAACACTTTCTGAACTCAAGTGACCCCTCGGACATGCAATAATCATGATTGCAGTTAGGCCAACAGGCGACCAGGCGACACCTAAATCTGCCTATTGTTCTCAAATATACTCGCTATTGTCTACCAGCAAATCGGTTTTAACGCTTTGCTCTGTTTATGGTGGATTTCGACTGAAGGCTTTGGGTTCCATAACCCAGTAAGCGGATATATCAAAGCACCCATGCATTATGAGCCCTAGTAACAGGGCTATTGTTTGCCGACTGATCTGTCTGGTCGCGAGAAGACAAAGAGTTACTCCCCCTTGGATATGGGGGCCCAATTTACAAAACTGGTGGCATAAAGGTATTGGGGTTACAGATACCTGTACGGTTTCAAACTTTGATTGTAGTAAAAAGGTGTGTATGCTATGGACAAAAAGCTGTGAAAATATTGTTGAATAGTTATCGATACCGCTCTTGCGTGCGCTGATTGCGTGTGATAAGATGGTTGAGATTTGAAGAATTGATTGGGGTATTTGAGCTGAATAGTATGTCACCTAGTGCGGGGTATATTCTTCGTTCAAATAATGTAAATTGGCATAAATGAAATGTCTATTTTCCATGACAGCATTTGTCAGACTCGATTATTTACAGACCGCCGCCATTTAGCTGAAATATTGCTGAGTGCGGCGTTAAACAACAAACATACAAACAAAATTACATTTTGGAACTGAATAGAACCGACATCAGTGAAAGAAGATGTCAACATAATAGACATAAAGAAATAAAAAATTAACCAGACCGACAGGAAAAAGAAATTATGAAAATTTGGCCGGTCCGTTAAATGGTAAATGTACATAAAGGGATCCAAAAGTATCAGATCTATGCTATACATGGAACATCGTCTTATATTATTTCGCACTGTGCAAGCCGTTTATTGGAACATGAAGTAGGTCATAGTTTAGAATTTGCCTTCCCATCCAAGACCAGGTGCTGAGATCGAATCCCGCTACTGACCGGTTTGTTATTCAGCCAATGGACCAACAATGTTGACATGTCTTTATGGTGTTGACTCTACCCATAGTGTACCCTAGTGTACATTTATCCTGTGCACTCAAAAGAAACACGAATACGTACATACACCCGGAACGCACGTGTCAATACCTGTGGTTAGCCCTGGCCAAGTGACTCCGTTCAAGTGTGCCTCCGTTCACTCCGCAGGGAGCGGGTGCCCCGTTATGTGAGGCGGATGTAAAAACCCTCTAGCGCCCATCAGCAGTAGTGGTTGTATACTCCCCAGGGAGGAGAGAATGATAACTGGAAGACATTCGGATCCGCTGGTTGGGAAACAAATAAACCGCACTTGAACCTGGAAAAGTTTGTTTGTTGTTTAACGCCGCACATCAGCAATATTCCAGCTATATAACGGCGGTCTGTAAATAATCGAATCTGGACCAGGCAATCCAGTGATTGACATCATGAGCATCATGGGATACGAAGACTTGCATCAACCAAGTCAGCGAGTCTAACCACCCGATTTTTTTAGTCGCCTCTTACGACAAACATAGTCACCTTTTACGGCAAGCATGGGTTGGTGAAGACCTATTCTACCCCGGATCTTCATGGGTCCCCCGGATAAGTGCGCTAAATACATGTATAATATGATAATTGTCAATGGGGATCATCACCTGACTTCGACAACCATGTACTTCGATTTGTCACGTTATTAACTTAATGTAAAACATGTCAAACAAACTATGTAGAGAAATTCCGGAATGAATTCACTGACACTGACGGACGTTTTAAAAAATACTACTAGAGCAGTATCGGGAATACACTAATTGTTTTCAATACGGGTTAATGAGACCCGTGAAGATCGGGGGTAGAATAGGTCTTCAGCAACCGATGCTTGCCATAAAAGGCGACAATGCTTGTCGTAAGAGGCTACTAATAGGATTGGGTGGTGAAGCTCGCTCACTTGGTTGATGCATGCCATCGTATCCCAATTGCGTGGATCGATGCTCATGATGTCAATCACTGGATTGTCTGTTCCAGACTCGATTATTTACAGACCGTCGTCATTTAGATGGAATATTTCCGAGAGCGGCATTAAACAACAAACAAAACAGGTTAATAACTAATCGAATTAGGAGCTTTCACGTATCGTTGAGTTGACGATATTTTGAAGTCGGAAAATATAGTCCAAACAGGGCTGAATATTGGACAATCATCCACGGAACCATGGGTCATTTCACTGCTGTATAACCCAGATTGATAACACACATAAACACCAGGTCTGGTCACGTGACGTAGACATAACCGGATTACGATTTGCTTAGAAAGCATTATTTAAATCTCCTGAGCTTTAAAATGGCTCGAGATATGGCTTCCCTGAAGGTAAGTTGGATATAATTCAGACATTTTCGCTCTTACCATATGGTGTGACGTATCTATTCAAACCGTGAACACTAAAAGCATTTATATATAGTTAATGTTGCATATGCTGATAAGGACAATGCGTGAAGTCTATTGTTAGTGTCCCGGCCCTGATGGTGGTGGCGTCTCATGCACTCCGTTATTCTTGCCCATTAACTGCTGTTCCTTGTACGTTGGATAGCTTCGACATTGACTCACAAACACTGATTTGAATCTGAATATTGTATGGGCAATATTCTGCTCTATGGTCAGGCTTGATAGCTTTGTTGATGCATGTTATCGTATCCCCATTGCGTGGATCGATGTTCATGATGTCAATCACTGGATCGTCTGGTCAAGACTCGATTATTTACAGACCGCCATCATTTAGCTGGAATTTTGTTTAGTATGGCGTTAAACAACATACAAACAAAGTATTGTGCCGAAAACTCTGGAATAGAATCAGTTGGCGTTTCAGATTCGAACGCGCGTTCACATGTTCCGGCATGCCGAAGGGACGCAACTCTGCACAGCGAATTGCCTGTCATAGACAACTTTGAAACCATGCTCCCTATCTCTTTCAGTAGGTCAAACAGGAAGAGACCTCTGGTCTGTAGTAATAATTGAACTCATCTATTGACATGATATTCTGAAGCTCATTTCATTTCGGTAAGGCGAGAGAAATATGGTATTTGTTGTGATTTACTGACACGATTTCATTCAAATGACACATTCATTCCTTTCACAGACTTTGGTCCTTGCACTGTCTATGGTTCAGCTAACCGGTGCGATCGGTATGTGTGAATGAGCTGTGGAAGTTAGAGGAATTTTTCATTTTACCAACTCGTAGAATAATAGAACATAATTTAGCGAACTTAACGCTGTATATAATCGTCGTATATTAAACCAACCCTAAATAGATCCGGCTTTCTGGAAAAGGATGGGGTTGTGGCGCACTAAATGACCAAGGGGCCTGTACATAATGCGGTAAACAGTTTGTCAATCAACAAATTGCTATATTTTGCCGTTGTACAAAACAACTTTTGCGTTACAACGAGGGGCGTTCAATAAGTTTTGCAACTTCAATATAAGACCAAGTCGCAGAATATCTTTTGCACTTTTATTTTTCAATATAATCTACATTCACCTCAATACACTTATTCCATTTGTCCTTCAAGCTATTAATACCACTTTTATAGAAATCCGCAGATAGGCCCTCTAACCATGCCTCTGTGACAGCCTTTATGTCTTCGTCATCCTGGAAGCCTCTTCCACGTAGGGCATATTTCATTTGCCGGAACAGGAAATAGTCACTGGGAGCTAAGTCTGGGCTGTAGGCTGGGTGATTTAACTTAGTGTATTGAGGTGAATGGAGATTATATTGAAAATATAAGTGCAAAAGATATTCTGCGACTTGGTCTTAATATATTGGAGTAGAAAAACTTATTGAACGCCCCTCGTATCTTTGTACGCCAATGTTTAGGTATGGGAGTTACGATCAGTTTAGCGCTAAGTTCCCTTTGTGCAACGGCACCCTGCACCCCACCCGATCTGGATCAGCGTATGTATATGCAAAGAAAAAACATCCCAAACGCTCAAATCGGTAATAATACGAATGATGAATATTAAAAGGTATACACACTATTTTGTGTGTGGTCAGTTGAACATATTCCACGTATACTAATAACGAAATGGCGAATGTTGTGAGTCAATACACCGACCCACAACGTTGACACCAGTTCCCCGCGTTAAACGGTGATTCAGAGGCGTCCTTACCCTTGGGTTCCACAGAGTTCTCCACGCTCGACCATCTACGGAGTCGCACGCCGGCGGATGTCCAGGCCCGGGCGGCCACGGAACTCATCATGAGGGTCGTGGGGGACAGACGCTCGGACTTTGACATCAAAGTCGACCCCAGCAGCGGCCCAGCAGACAGGGACACCTTTACTGTGAGTAGCGTTTACATGTCACTGTCGTCATCGTCTTATACAGCAACGCCATGGTAGTGGGTGTCATCATCGGGAGTCAGTCAGTTTGGTTTAACGACGCTTTCAACACATCTTCCCCAGGCAAGGGCATTAACTGGGTAGAAAGTCCAGTTTCCACAACTGGAATTATATGTTATGGATATAAACTCCCCGACCCAATTTCCCGACTCCCCGGGATCCGTCAAGACTGTCTAAATGCAAGAAATACCAGGAAGAATAGGAAAACATCGGCATACCTTATAGTGAAACAATACAGTGTATCGCGGTATAAAAGCAATTAAAGCACGTGCAGCCTGGACTAGATGGAGTCATGACATGACAATCTGAGTGAGTGAGTGAGTGAGTTGGGTTTAACGCCGCTTTTAACAGTATTCCAGTTATATCACGGCGTGTCAGCTTAATGTGGGAGGAAGGCCCGAAGTGATGCAGGTCTCAGACGTTTACCACTTCGGTGAAACCCACGAGCACGGGTATGGTGCTGACAAACCTAGAAACATAATCGGGGCGAACCGGGATTCGAACCCACAATCATAGGTTTCTGGCGTGCCCAAGGGACGCAACTCTGCACAGCGAATCGCGGCGCCTTAGACGACTGGGCCACCCGTGCCCCCCATGACAATCTGAACATGGTTAAAAAACTTAACACGATATATGAGGTTCGAATCACGTCATGGAATTTTCATGTTTAAATAAAAATTCTGACTTTTAACCAATCATCAAACACAATTTTGTTCAGATCAAGGGGAAAGTTTATAAAACGTTAAATTTCATGGAATCCCCGCTTACCCGGGCATTCTGAGGGAATAACTCCTTTACGGGTTTACCCGAGAAAAGTCGGACCTAGATTTATAACAGAGTGACATCGTTAGAGGTTTATAAAGTCAGTTAACGCACTTGCCACGGGAAGATGCTTTCAACAGTAATTCAGTTATGTCAGTTTGGTTTAATGAAGATCAAAATGATCTTCAATCGTTGTCGACCAACGTTCTTGTGTTGCCGAATGTTCTTAACTCACAAAAACAGATTTTGAGCTAAAACACTAAGGATAATACATGAGGCGAATCTGGGATTCGAACAACAGCAGCAGATCGTGCCACTAGTCCTGATTAAGATCTTCGGTCTGTGGCCACCATGCCCGTGCTCGTGGGTTACACCAAAGTGGTAAAAACCTCCATCACTTCGGGCTTTGTTTTCACATCAAGCTGACACTCTGTATTACAACTGCAATAAAAATCGGCTTTAAACCCAACTCACTCACCCACAAGCACATTATGCATTCGTCGTTAGGACCTCAAATGCTCCAGGTGACACCAATGGTCCGATCAGCAAATCTCGTTCCTTTCAGTTATCGCGGAATGACCGATCGTGTTTTCAGCAGAAATGCACGATCGTGTTCAGAGTGTCCATTTTCAGCAGAAATGGCTGATCGTGTTGAGAGAGAGTGTACATTTTCAGCAGAAAGGACCGATCGTGTTCAGAGTGTCCATTTTCATCAGAAATGGCTGATCGTGTTCAGGGTGCGTATTTTCATCAGAAATGACCGATCGTGTTCAGAGTGTCCATTTTCAGCAGAAATGACCGATCGTGTTCAGAGTGTCTATTTTCAGCAGAAATGACCGATCGTGTTCAGAGTGTCTATTTTCAGCAGAAATGACCGATCGTGTTCAGAGTGTCTATTTTCAGCAGAAATGACCGATCGTGTTCATAGTGTCTATTTTCAGCAGAAATGTCCGATCGTGTTCAGAGTAACTAATAGTCTGAACCCCTGGTTTCAGCTAGAGCAGTCGGGATCTAAGCTCTCCATCACGGGGACCAGTGGTGTGGCGGTCGCCATGGGCTTCTACTACTACCTCAAGTACTACTGTGGGGGGCAGTTCACCTGGGCGGGACAACAGGTCGCCCTGCCAACAGTATTACCTAAAGTTTCCATGGTGACAGTTACCTCCAATGACCGGTAAAAAGAAGCCTGGTTGACTTTCCACTTGAAATGTCTCAGATCTGAACGCATATCTACTGTACATTACAGTTACTTCAGATAAGGATATTCAAGCGGTGTGGAAAATGAAATACAAATATATATATATATAAAAGACCAATATTCTTTCCAAGCAATACGCACACATGCACACACAGTAAGCTTAGGGGCGGTGGTTAAAGCGTTAGCTCGTCACGCCGAAGACCCGGGTTCGATTCCCGACATGGGTACAATGTGTGAGGCCCATTTCTGGTGTCCCCCGCTGTGATATTGCTGGAATATTGCTAAAAGCGGCGTAAAACCAAACTCACTCACTCACGGTAAGCTTAAACGCGACCCCATGTTACCCAGTTAAACCCCATTTCACCTCACCTCACATCATCAATTTGCAGGTTTCGGTACTACCAAAACGTCTGCACCGTCAGCTACTCCTTCGCCTGGTCGGACTGGGACCAGTGGGAACGTCACATAGACTGGATGGCCTTGCAGGGCATCAACCTGCCATTGGCCTTTACAGGACAGGAGGCCATCTTCCAGAGGGTAAGTGGACTGGATGGCCTTGCAGGGCATCAACCTGCCATTGGCCTTTACAGGACAGGAGGCCATCTTCCAGAGGGTAAGTGGACTGGATGGCCTTGCAGGGCATCAACCTGCCATTGGCCTTTACAGGACAGGAGGCCATCTTCCAGAGGGTAAGTGGACTGGATGGCCTTGCAGGGCATCAACCTGCCATTGGCCTTTACAGGACAGGAGGCCATCTTCCAGAGGGTAAGTGGACTGGATGGCCTTGCAGGGCATCAACCTGCCCTTGGCCTTTACAGGACAGGAGGCCATCTTCCAGAGGGTAAGTGGACTGGATGGCCTTGCAGGGCATCAACCTGCCCCTGGCCTTCACAGGACAGGAGGCCATCTTCCAGAGGATAAGTGGACTGGATGGCCTTGCAGGGCACTAACCTGCCCTTGACCTTCACAAGGACAGGACTCCTTCTCCCAGGGTTAGGTAAAACGGATGGCCTTGGATTGTATCAACCTGTCATTGGCCTTCACAAAACAAGAGGTTGTTTCGCAAGCTAAAGTAGTACCCTTTAGATATAAAGCCGATATTAACTTGGATTGTTTAAACTACTTTGTTGTAGAGACTTTGAGAAAGTACAATGCGTCTCTATCTACCATTAATATATTTTAATACCTTCTGATATTTAGGTCTATCTGTCAATGGGCTTCACGATACAAGATATGGAGGCACATTTCGGCGGACCAGCATTCTTAGCTTGGTAGGAAAATTGTTATCTACTATTTGTCTTTCATCAAGGTTAATGATTTACTAAATATCCCTTGGGTTGAAGATATAATGACACATGCTGACTATGAATGGTGTAGACGAGAACGATGAATATGAATACGACGACCACATGTTTAGCTCACCCGGCTGAACTTCAAGTGAGCTTATACTGCTGCCTGTCTGTTGGTTGTGCCTCGTTCACATCTTCCGCTCAAAAACCACGGAACCAATGATGAAAGCCCAATTTGTTGAAGAGGTTCGAATCCGATTCATTGTGGCCGCGGCAGCCATATTGTAAAATTCATGTATAGTCATTACTAAGCCATTTGGGGAATGAAAGTTGGTACATGTGTAGAAGTAGAGCTCAATATATATGTTCTGGATGTTTTTTGCCATATCTTACACTTTGACTTTGACCTTCGCCCAGACTGGAAATTTGAACTTCTGATATTAATTTTCTGAGCCAGTTCCGTTCAAAATGTAAATTAAATTAAATTTGGTATATATGTAGTTAGTAGTGGGGGTAAATACATACGTTCCGGTTTGTTTGTAATATCTGATATGATCCTGATTAGACCCGTGTTTTTTGACAATTCACTTAAATTTTTTTTCAAAATGCACTGTCATGCACAGTAACTATCACCATCACCATCTCAGTAACCACTGGACCAATGAAGCTGAAACATCACATATTTGTTTCCAATGACTGCATCCTAATTTGTTGAGAAGATCTGATTCATCCTAAGAAGTGGTCACGTTGGTTCAAGCAATTGTATGTTAGATTAACTCACAACGAATATTATCCTTATCAAATCAACCACAAATCGGTTTATCACACTTCATTATCTGAAAATAGGGCAAGAATGGGAAACATACGTGGCTGGGGCGGTCCTCTGCCCGAATACTGGATGGACAGACAGTTGGCTCTCCAGCACAAAATACTGGACCGGATGAGGTCACTTGGCATTATTCCAGTACTTCCGGGGTTTGCTGGACATGTGCCAGCCGCCATTACAAGGTAAACCTCGGCTTTTGGCAAAACATTTATACGTTCTCAAATGAAAATTCTTTTCATGAAAGCACTTACGTACTACTTCTGTTTCTAAACTAACGGAAGAAAATAACTGTTCAATAAAAAGAAATTTATTCTGAAATTAAATAGGGCGTCTTGAAGACATCTTGTCGACCATAAGGTCGTGCTTCTCAATTGGCACGTGCGTTTATGGATGCGTGAGTGTTTGTTGGGATCATGATACTCACACACGTGTTCTTTAATGTGAACAGCACACAGTGATTGTTTACGTGCCAGGTGCTCATTAAAACACTGTTGTTTTAAACGTAAATAACGCAGTGCCACGGCTTTCTGAAAATTAACGTGAATCGCCGTCGGTGTGCTGCAAACAGGAATGGCTTAAAACGAAGTTAATCAAACACATCTCTTTGGAGACGTTATCTACAGCAGGGCAACTCTCGTTCCTTTTTTTCAGGGTGTTCCCCAAGGCCAATGTAACCCGACTCGGGAGCTGGGCTAACTTCAATGCTAATTATTCAGAGTAAGTTTCTTCACATGTCTGCATGAATGCAGGTTCTCTTGTTTATATATAATTTTAGAAATATAACATTAAAATAATCGCCTTTCCACAATGTTGTATAACGTTGAAGGCAAGTCAAAATAATTTCATTTCCTAAATCACGTTTTTCCTGAAATCGAGGTGTACGGTGGGGCAAAAACTACTTGTTTTCTTTAACGTTCGTTCGGGAGTTCCCGTACACATGCGGTCAACTGGGCGATAAGGAACACGATACTTAAATATACGTTTCACAGAATGAGAATGCTTTGTCTCCAATTCGTTATGTGATTGCCATATGGTTATATCCCTTCGTTATTTTGTTGAAACAGGCCGGGCAGGTTTGTGTGTTTGTTGTTTAACGCCGCACTCCGCATTATTCCAGCTATATGACGGCGGTCTGTAAATAATCGAGTTAGGACCAGACTATTCATGATTGACATCATGAGCATCGATCTACGCAATTGGACACGATGACATGCATCAACCAATTGCAAGTCAGCGAGCCTGACAACCCAAACCCGTAAGTCTCCTCTTACGATAAGCATAGTCGCCTCTTGCAGCGTTAAACAACAAACCCTATCACTATCTGATAGGGATTCGTAAACACATGCTTGTGAAATAGTCAGAATTGTACAATGGACTCTGAGATTTCTCATGATTATGAAAATGGTTTTTGTCGCTTTTATTTTCTTTCAGAACCTATCTGCTGGATTTCAACGACCCCCTTTTTACTACAATTGGTTCGAAGTTCATCAAGGCTGTATGTTTCACTGATATTTTATTAGTAACAATCTTGTTTAGAAGAGGCTATCTGTTGGTCTTTATGTCCGGCCGTCTGTTCGGATATTTTGAAAACATGCAGATCCAGACATATTATTGGAGGTTATCATAATTTCGTGTTAATTTCCTTCTTGAATCTAATACTAGGATTAATAAATATATGTGGAAAGATCAATACATGACTCTTTTTATGGATAGCAACTTCTTTTAGTCTTTGTCACGACGTTTCAGAGCTACTTCTTGCGTCTTCATCAGGTGAATGCTGAGTATGATAAAAAGATGGCAACGTAAAGACAAGGCAAATGACATAGGATTGATGATTAATGCACAAAGATAACAGCTTGTGTTGTGCAACAAAGATATATCACTTACTCAGCATTCGCCTGGCAAAGGAGCAAGAAGTAGCTCTGAAACGTCGTGACAAAGAATAAAAGAAGTTGCTATCCATAAAAAAGTGTCATGTATTCATGTTCTACCAACTTCTAAATGCCAATCGAAGACTTTATATGGAAAGTCTTTTAATAATATATCATAAGCCAGATCTAAGCAATAAATAATAGCGACTACCTGTATTTGCAACTCATTCACAGAGATGATCCAAGTTCATCACTGTCACAGGCTAATTTGCACATCTCATGACCGGACTATTTTTGTTGTTTGGGAAATGTGAACAGTCCGTGCACATGGTAATCATTTCTCCAAGGGGGGCACGGGTGGCCCAGTCGTCTAAGGAGCCGCGATTCGCTGTGCAGAGTTGCGTCCCCTGGACACGCCAGAAAACTATGATTGTTGGTTCGAATCCCAGTTCACCCCGATTATGTTTCTAGGTTTGTCAGCACCATACTCGTGGATTTCACCGAAGTGGTAAACGTCTAAGACCTGCATCACTTCGGGCTTTCCTCCCACATTAAGCTGACACGCCGTGATATAATTGGATTAATGTTAAAAAAAGGCGTTAAAAACAACTCACTCACTCACTATAATAATGAATATGTAGCACCAATGACGTAACAGATTGAAAGCATTTCACTGACCACATACTGCACACCATCGTATGTGTCCTAGGTAAAAGGGGGCATGGGTGGCCCAGTCTTGAAGGCGCCGCAATTCGCCGCGCAGAGCATGTCCCTTAAGCTCGCCAGAAACCTGTGATCGTAAGCTAAGCCAATAAAGCGCAGCCTGGTTCCCTGGGTATGCTGCGCTGGCGCAACCCTGACAGTGACACCGACAGTTAAGCGCAGCATACCAAGGGAACCAGGCTGCGCTTTATTGGCTTAGCTTACCCTGACAGTGACACCGACAGTTAAGCGCAGCATACCCAGAGACATGGTACCAGTCTATTTCCCCCGCGGTTTGTCCACAGATGGAGGACGAGTTCGGCATTGATCACATCTACAACGCGGATAGTTTCAATGAGATGACTCCAGCGTCCAGGTAAGTGTGCATTAGAGTGCTCAGTTGTAGAGGTGGTGTAGGGTGGAACGTTGGTGGTTCGATCCCCGGCCGCGTTATACAAAAAGACGTTAACTGATTTACAGTAACTTTTACAGTCAAGGCGCTACTTATTACTGTTTACATACTGAAAACTTTGAATGATAAGTAAAACCTCGGAGTTTTATCGACTCGTGTTGATATAAATTTATTTGATATCAAAAGACACGAGGTTGAGATGGTCCATTTTTACATAACTTACTGAGCTGTATATTCAGTGTGCATCAAATTATGATCTGAGACAAAGGAACCGGATTTCTATAAAAGTGGTATTCAAAGCTTGAAGGACAAATGGAATAAGTGTATTGAGGTGAATGAAGATTATATTGAAAAATAAAAGTGCAAAAGATATTCTGCGACTTGGTCTTATATTGAAGTTGCAAAACTTATTGAACGCCCCTCGTATAACCTCACGTCAAAGATTTCCATATGCAATTGCCATCCGTTAACATGAACATATTTCTTTTGCTGGTGAGATCGAACCCTGCACAATCAGATTTTGAGAGAAGCAGTACGGAACAAATAGTAGACATGCATAATCTGTATCTGGGGCAGTGGGGTAGCCTAGTGGTTAAAGCGCTCGCTCGTCACGCCGAAGACCCGGGTTCGATTCCCCACATGGGTGCAATGTGTGAAGCCAATTTCTGGTGTATTGCTGGAATGTTGCTAAAAGAGGCGTAAAACCGTACTCACTCGTAAATATGTATCTGAAAACAGTAAGTATGCCAGCATGCAGAATAGACATTGACAACGCTTATGGCTGTCTCACGGGCTTGTTTGACATCGAGGTTTTGATTATAGGCGCCTGCTGTGTTAATACCATGTACATGTATATACCACTCAATAGAAGTTAAAGACAACCCGATTCTTTCATATTACTGTCACACAGCTACTTTTATGTGTATACGTTTTTGTGTCACTTCAATGTCCCGGCTGTGGTAGACCATCAGGTTTCGTTTTGATGGTTTGACTGTTAACTTTATGTTTCTTTATGCTTACAACTTATATAAATCTATATGTACATTTTGTAAACTTTTACAATTAAAACTAGCTGTATAACATAACTATAGTTAGTCTGTCATGCCATGAAACGGGCGGTCCTTAACTACCTTTGAGTAGCATATATAGGAATATAATGTATATATTTGTTTTCAGCGACCCCGCGTACTTGGCATCAGCAGCACGAGGAGTGTATAACGCAATGGTGGCTGGAGACTCCCAGGCCATTTGGTGAGGGCAATAGTATCTATATACCCAGTACTTTCACACTGGCATAATACATAAAAATGGAAAAAGCGGGTTTTTTCAGTCTGGTTCCCTGGCCCTGCTGCGCGGGCGCTACACTGTCAGTGCAGCGCCAGCGCAGCATATCCAGGAACAAGGCTGCATTTTTATATGGTTTCGTTTGTATGTTTCAATTACAAAGTTTCCTCTCATCTCAGAATTCTGCACATCATGCCTGGTGACGCGCTTTCGTGACGGCAACGATGTAAATTGGTCGTCACACGGTCGAATCGAACGCTTGACGTATCAATTAACGTCACGTCATATTGTTCGACTTTCGCACAAGGCATTTGCACAAAGCGACCGTGATTCTATACAACACCCAAATTTTCAGATGCCAATGTGTCGTATGTAGCCTTAAGATGGCTTTGTGCAAATACGACCTATACATGTCCAGCGTGATATCAAGGGAGGAAAGTGAGGCTTGTGTTATGTGTTGCTGTATATTTACACTACGCGTAATATATTGATGTTCGATGAAACATGATACATAAAGCTTTGAAGATCTGCCAGTACTGAAGGTGTTTGTACACCATCAACACTTGGATTGGGGCTCTACGACCGTCTTAATACACTTCACAAAACTTTGCACATCGGTTTTTCGATTTATACCTCAATGAACCGAAAAAAATCCACAGTCAACCATTAAAAGTAAATTCGACAAGGAAAACATGGACAATAGTTTAACCAAACAGTTGTACATATCAAAGCAGACACGAATGACGAGATTGGTAAACATTCCAGGTGTAGGAATACATACTGTGGCGTTACATGAATCAGGTCATTGTTAATTAAATGCACCCAACTTGACACGCCCACAAAGTCAGTAGCCAATCAACGGAGAGTAGGATCAAAACAAGGTTTATAGGACCTGTCAATCAAGGCAAGAGGTGAGAAGAACTGCAACAGTCAGACTGTAGCGAACTCGAACAAATATGTCCGGGAGAAGGCGGCTGTTTCAAATCATGATCAGTTACCGCCAGAGTTAAACAATAGTTCCCTGAGAACGGGAAGACACAGTTGGAAAAATGCGGGTTAGAAATAAAACTTGAAATTTGTGGAACCCCAAAAAGTGGACAAAAAACAGGCGAGCGAACCTGCACGTTTGCTGTTTCATTCCTTCTCGGCCTTCGGCTTCAAGGGGTTATTGGATAATGAATATGCATGACTTTCGCTAAATGTCCTGTGCATGACGATACTCTCCCGAACAGAATGTAATATTGGGATTCCCCGACATTCTCTACGTAGTAATAAAAGTAGTCCGCTTCGGTGGGCGTGACTTAATTTTTTACATTCATTGGGAAATGAATGGAATAACAAGTGACCAATACAGCTAATCAGAATGCAGGAATTACAATGAACACAACGAAAATTTAATGAGTGCCTTATAGATGGAACTGGTCTTGCACTTATCCACAGGCTGATGCAGGGCTGGCTGTTTGTGAATGGGAATTTCTGGAAGGACCCTCAAATCAAGGCCCTTCTTACTGCAGTACCACGGGTAACTAACATTTAATAATATTACATGTCTTACCTTACGATGGAGCCGGGGCATAGACATACGCCATTGTTACCTAATAAATGTATGTTTCGTCAACACAGTACAATTGAGTGAGTGAGTGAGTTTGGTTTAACGCCGCTTTTAACAGTATTCCAGTTATATCACGGCGTGTCAGCTTAATGTGGGAGGAAAGCCCGAAGTGATGCAGGTCTCAGACGTTTACCAACACAGTACAAGATGATATACATAATTATTTATGATTACATAGGACTGTCGGAGCAGAGTGATCTCAAGTATTCCAATAATTATAACGTTTATAATATGAGGCGATACGAATTTGGATTGTGTGGTCACAATGGCCGTCCTGTGTGGTTTGGGTTTCCCCCACTCACTTAAAAGAAAAGCAACAATCAACCAACCATCAACCCTTCCAATCAATCAACCAATCAATCAACAGGGCAAGATGATCATACTGGACCTGTACTCCGAGCAGTCTCCGATCTTCTCCCGCACGGAGTCTTACTACGGGCAACCGTTCATCTGGTGCATGCTGCATAACTTTGGCGGGCTTAACGAAATGTACGGCGAACTAGACAAGGTCAACGAGGTAAGCCTAAGGTGCCTGTTTTAATATAACACGATTAGACCTGCATGGTAGGTACCAATAGTGAACGGCACTAAAAAAACTTTGAAAAATGGACCCGTGAAGATCCGGGGTAGAATAGGTCGTCAGCAACCCATGCTTGTCGTAAGAGGCACTCCCGTGAAGATCCGGGGTAGAATAGGTTTCTCAGCAACCCATGATTGCCGTACAAAGCGACTATGCATGTCGTAAGAGGCGACTAACGGGATCGGGTCGACAGGCTTGCTGACTTGGTTGATGCATGTCATCGTATCCCAATTGCGTGGATCGATGCTCATGCATCTTCCCGAGGCAAGGGAGTTAACTGACTATAAAAGTCCAGTTTCCACCCTTGCCGAACTAGGCTGGTATTATGGAGTTAGATTTTGGCTGGACTAACGAGTCGATGCATAGTGCAATCGAAATCGTTAACCGAAATCGAAATCCGGTTCGGGCGATTGAAGAATTTGCAAAGCATGTGCACCGCCAACTCGTTGTCAACAGATATTTTCCAAATCTTTTCAAGTTTTTAATCAAGGTGCTCACATGATTTGATGCACTTCGAGATGTTAGACCCGTTTTATCATAATATAGATCTTGATTGTCGATCAGATCGTCTTGTCTTGGCGCCGCCAATTTGTTTGAAACAAATGCAAGTGACACGAGAGGTGGAATCTGATTGGTCCATAGGAGAGGCATAGAAGAGACACAACTCGTGGCGTACCATCGAGCCCAGGAATTCCAGCCTAGTTCGGCAAGGGTGGAAACTGAACTTTGATGATGTTCATGATGTCAATCCCTAGATTGTCAGACCCAGACACGATTATTTACAGACCGCCGTCATATAGCTGGAATATTGCTGAGTGTAATAGCTTCATTTTATAACTGTTTTACAAGCACGCTGTTAATAGTTCCACACTTGCCATAGTCAATGTAATCAACTCCCCTCGCCACGAGCAATCAGTAAAAATCAAGGGTCATCTGCTCATCTGCGAGACCGCCAGCATCTCAGCCTGTTTGTTGTGTTGCAGGGTCCGTTCAAGGGACGTAACTTCCCGAACAGCTCCATGGTGGGTACGGGTCTCACCCCGGAGGGCATCAACCAGAACGAGATCATGTACGAGTTCATGAATGAACAGGCGTGGAGACCCGGACCTGTTAACACAACGGAGTGGTGAGGTGTTCGCAGCGTCATGAGTGTCATGCATAGGCCGATCCCCCCTTTTGAGAACCAAATATAGTATGTACTAGACAATCAAGCACCAATGAGAGATGATATTGATATCTCGGACTCCTCCCTTTTAAAAATGCTGGAACCGCCCTTGTCATGCGTTGTTCGCCGTGTCTGAAGCCAAATCCATAGCAGCCTAGTCCCCTTGTAGCGCAAGCGCAGCAAACCAATGGAACCAGGCTAACTCCATGGACATTTGCACAATTTCTTTCTCACGTAAATACAGTGAACCCCGCGGTAATTTGGGTTGGAATTGGTCTTCAGCAACATTTTCTTGCCGTAAGAGGCGACGAACGGGATCGGGTGGTCAGGCTCGCTGACTTGGTTGATGCATGTCATCATAACTCAATTACGTAGATCGATGTCCATGTCAAGCACATGATTGTCTGATCCACACTCGATTACCTACAGACATCATATATCTGGAATATTGCGGAGTGCAGCGTTGAACAACAAACAAACGAACTTGTGAGGTCGACAACGTAATGCTATTTTCGTTTCTGACATGTTTTCCAGGATAGATCAGTATCAAGCACAGCGATACGGGGGCGGCAACCCAAGCACTTCCGCCGCCTGGGATTATCTCAGGGTAGGTGTCGTGTGAGAATACCCCCAGAGGAATCCAGTACAAAATATGTTCCCTGGCATTATTTATCTTACGTAACTGGTGAGGTAGCTGGTGGATAGATTTGCTAGGCACGCCCAGTGTTATTACCCTTCCTGACGCTCGGCATTAATGGGCTAAAACAAGGACTGCATGGTCGGGTTGGAGTCAGTATACTGTCTGAGTGCAGAATCATGTTAAACTGGGGGGCACGGGTGGCCCAGTCGTCTCAGGCGCTGTGCAGAGTTGCGTCCCTTGGGCATGCCAGAAACCTATGATTGTGGGTTCGAATCCCGGTTCGCCCCGATTATGTTTTTAGATTTGTCAGCACCATACCCGTGCCGGTGGGTTTCACCGAAGTGGAATATAACTGGAATACTGTTAAAAGCGGCGTTAATCACAACTCACTCGCTCATGTTAAACTGCGGCATGGTATCTCAGTGGGCTAGTACTATAAATCCGCATCAGTCCGGACTAGTACAAGCGCGCGCGCACTCACGCACGCACGCACGCACACACACACAATAATCTTGGACGTCACGTTGAACCCCATTTCTCCTCACCTAACCTACGCACCCAGAAATCACTCAATCTCATCAACATCAGACCTTAGTTCCTCGCTACCGCTAAGCGAGAACTGAGATCTGAATTTGATGAGTTTGGAAATCACTACATATATACATGTAAAAGTAGCTTCTTGCTACTAAGCTACGTTCAGCGACCTATGGACATGCGACTGAGTAACCATGGTTTTACGATGTTTTCAGCAATCTTCTAGCATAATAACGAGGGTGACACTAAATATATGAAAAAATTATTACTCTGAAGCATGGAATTATACAATTCCTTATCAAGAGTTTTCTGTTCATCTCCAGCAAAGCGTCTACAAATCGGGGTCAACGGGGGTCACCATCATCCATCGCCCGTCGATAGGCAGCCACGAGTCGGTGAGAGCACACTTTAGAAGTGCAACCTTGAACCCATTTAATCTGAAATGTTTGTTATTGTAAGGGTGGGCTTTTTAGGAGGTGATGGGGAGGGGTTGCACAATGTGTTTCTTTGAAAGGATGAGTCACATTATTATGTTCTCACAATCGATTTATCAAGTATATATACAGGTTATCTATTGAACAATAACTGGGTTTTCTAAACCAGGGGTCAAAAAAGATGTTCTGGTACGTACCCACATTATTCGATGGTGGTGTATTTGATACGGCAAATTTGTACGACAAATGACTCTAAAGAAAGACCTAAACAGTCACAGCGTCCACACCAAAACCGAACGTGTCTCCAACATTGTGCACTTTGTGTCACGAACACCAGTTGTGTCAGAGACACGAGTAACACGTTTCAGTATGTAACGGAGCATGGTGTCTTTAATATCGATCCTCAAGCCTCTAATCTAACCTTTGATATGACCAGCCTTATTTAGTACGTCAAAGGGGTCACACTATCAACCAGTCGTTTCCTGATTCAAACCCGAACTAACGTTTTGTCCCATCAGGTTATAACTGTAATATTGCACGATGTGGTGTATATATTCTACTCCATTTTTCACAGGGATATTTATATCTTTTCATGATACACAAAAAAAGGATCTAAATATAAATATATCTGATTATCCCTATCAAAAGATGAGTTGTATAATTTCTTCACTGTTGACGCCGTCCAGGTGGGCTACGACCCCGAGATGCTGTACCAGGCGTGGGACAAAATGGTGGCCGCCCAATTTACAACGACGGCTCTCCGTGGACAACCACTGTTTGTGTGAGTGTGCACCACATTTACACTGGGCTCCGTCTATTCGTGTCAGTAAGATGTGTTCGGTTTTTGTTTAACGCCGCACTCAACAATATTTCAGCTATATGACGGCGGTCTGTAAATAATCGAGTCTGGACCAGACAATCCGGTGACTGACATCATGAACATCGATCCACACAATTGGGATACGATGACATAAACTAGTGTCCAAAAGAAACGATACCAACTTATTTTCAAAATTGTTTTTTACTAAGTGAATTGTCAAGTATGAAAACATGCCAATTCGTATTGCACATCCCAAACACAGCATAGGCGATAAAAAATACCGGGAACACGTGATCACTTCCGGGAAAAAACGTAAATTTTGTGAAAGTGACATTTCCCTCTCTAGCATGTTCTGCACGTGCAGAAAAACTGTATAAAACGGCTGATCAGACACGTTGATATCACAGCAACAAAAAGAACACAAGATATGCCACGTTTGACAGCCATCGAGAGAGAGAGAGCCGTTGGAATGGTCCAACAAGGAGCGTCACACGTCGACGTCGCCAGAAGGTTGGGCTGCGCACGCATCACTATCACCAGGTTGATGCAGCGGTTACGTCAGACAGGTCAGACGTCAGACAGGCCCAGGAGTGGAAGACCACGAGTAACCACGCCCCGTGAAGATCGTTACATCCGGGTATTACACCTGAGGAACCGCACCGTAACAGCGACGTCCACGGCGGCTACAGCACTGGGACACAGGATCAGTCGACAGACCGTCTACAGGAGACTACGGCAGTATGGTATCCGGCCACGTCATCCCTACCGCGGACCGCTCCTGACGCCTCGACACCGGAACAACAGACTGATCTGGGCCAGGCGAGTTCGACGTTGGCAACGGAGGGACTGGGCACGTGGTATGTTCTCTGATGAGAGCAGATTCCTCATCTTCAGAAACGATTGACGGCAGCTTGTATACCGACGATTTGGTGAACGTTTGGCGCCTAACTGTATCCAACAGGTCCGGCCGTTTGGAGGTGGAGGGTTAATGGTTTGGGGTGGCATATGTGGTGACGTCAAAACGATGCTTGTCGTAATTCGTGGAAACCTGAATGCACAGCGTTATCTTGAGAATGACATCCTACGGCCTGTTGTGGTGCCCTTTATTCAGCAACAGCCTCGTGGACTCCTTTTCCAACATGACAATGCAAGGCCACACACAGCAAGATTGACACAGAACTTCCTTGCCAACGCCAACGTACAGGTTTTGCCATGGCCCGCATGTTCACCGGACATGAATCCCATCGAGCACTTATGGGACCACCTCGATCGGCAAATCCGACGTCGCCGTGTGCCTCCAGTCAACGTCCAGGACTTGGAACGATGTCTCCTCGAGGAATGGCAACGCATCACTCTCAACGTCATCAGTCCGTAGGCGTGTTCTGGCATGTATTGATGCTCACGGTGGACATACCCGCTACTGACTTGACTTTGAGACGTGTGGTGTGACATTTCCCGTTGTTTCTGTGATCAGTGCTCTAACGAAATGTTCATTTTTCGACCCCACACATCTTTAAAGGCTTGTCATATTGGTTGTACAGATTTTATTGAAATGAAATTTTTGTACAGATGTTGTGAAAGGATTTCTCAAAAACATAACACCAATCCTAAACTTCTGCATTGTTTAGTTTTTCTTTTATGTCGTTGCAAACAGGTGGTATCGTTTCTTTTGGACACTAGTTTACATCAACTTAGTCAGCGAGCCTGACCACCCGATCCCGTTATCGCCTCTTACGACAAGCATAGTCGCCTTTTACAGCAAGCATGGATTGCTGCCGCAGTAAGAGCCAGGATTACTTCGCGAAGCACATGGCATTCACCAATCGTCCATTTCCGTAACCGAATCGAAATGGTCACTAATGGCCTGGATGAGTTCGTGGAACCATGACTCTAAGATGTTTTTTTGCATTTATCGAGTTATTGTAAAACCCGATGTGAACACTTCGCACACCTACTCAGTGTACATCCATAAACACAACAATATTGACGCCAATTCCTAATTGTTTATATTTAAATTTTCATTACCATATATGGTAACATGGTAACGTCGCCACGTAAGTTTTCTGTTTGAACTTTGAACGATTCATGCGTACGGAATAATGTCCCCTGTTCCGGAGACGATAGTCCGAATGGCGAGATTTCCGTAAGAGCAACAAAAGTAATAAGATAACAAACAAAAGTGGAAACTTATCAAGGGAGCCAACATATAATTGGCGCTGACAGGTGATTAGCAATGAACGCATGGAAACCAACACTTAACAGTAAATTTGTGCTTATAATTAGAAGCGATGGACAACTGGAGACTTAAATTATCACTGATAGGTAAATGGGATTTAGATATTGACTTATCACTGCATAACGCTGCGGACTGTTCCCTGGTGATTTCCTCATTTAGGAGAGTGCCAAAAATGGTTTTCTTCAGATCAGAAGTCTGAAAGCAATGGGTGGATTAGTGTGGATGTGTTCTAAGGATCAAAAGTGATTTGTAAAATATAAAAAAAGATTTACTTGCTATTATATATTTGGGTGATTATCTGGTTCTGCAAACAAATAACTGATAGCCTGAGAGAATAAACAGTGAGTTTAGTAGTCAGCCACAGTGATGTGTGACTAACTCGTCCGTATCTGTACCTTTTTCTAGCTACGATAAATAATCTTATTTTCTGATTAAATGGTGATAAAGTTGTTATTTCGGACTTAAGTTGCAGCTATCTTGACAAAATTACATATTAGTTTGACGAGGACATTGATGATAACGGTGTCTATGAGTGAAGTTCAATAGGAGAAGAATAGGTGACCAGCTTGTATGCCACTGTTTGTATACCTGATAAGTGTGATTTGATAAGGGTGGATGATAAGCAGCTGTAGATACAGATACAGGTATCAAGGCTTTAGATGTGTTTGCTTAACCAGCACAATAAGATATACTGGTCCTGGATTATGTACAGTGCGCGTTAAAAAATTTTAACCTTAAATACTGGACGATTGACGGCGAAATTATAATATTCCCTTATTTCACAATTTCCGATAACTTATATGTAAAATATAACTTCATAACATATTTGTAAACTTTTGTCCATTTCCCCCATGTTAAGAAACCAATTCATCGAACTTGCCCAGCTATAACGACAAGCAAGGACTACTTGGGTACCCCATTTTAACATTAAAATGGTCATACTATGTTGTTTGTATGTATTTAGAATATACTTCTATACATGATGAATGTGACATCCCTTGATGAAGGAAGTGTAATGAATGTGTATACTAGTGTTCAACGCTGTCTATGAAAGGGCAGGTTCAGCAATGACAGCTGAAAAATGAATGAGTGTAGTTGCTGACCAAATGTATTTTGTTTCAGAATGATACAATCTGTATTTATATCAGAGAGGTTCAATACTTTGAGAACAGGGCCTACATTTTACTGTAAGACTCGGGTAGACTAAGAGTTATCGTTCTTGTTTGAAGTTGCACTCGTGTTAAGATGTCAATGTGTATCCCAAGCGTCGAGAGGTGCACGTCTTGTCCCGGGATTTCACGAGTTGGTCACGAATGAGTCAATAATATCATGGCGTATGCCGAAAACAGACGAAAACCTATAAAACACGTTTCTTGATCATAGTATTACAAGGGTGCGGTTTGAAGTTAAATTACTGAAAAGGTATCGAAAACATATAACATCACTCTCATTAAATCAGATCTTAGTTTTCGCTAGCGCAAAACAAAGATCTGAAGACATCCCATTACGGGTCACGTCAGAACGACCTTTTGCGAACATTGACCCACCAATGAAATGACTGACAAGAAATCGACATTATCCAATCAGAAGGCAGCTTTCTCGAGCTTTACGACACTAGTTTCAAACTGGCGACTACGCTTCGAAACATATTTTGACGTATTCTCGATTAAAAAATTAAAACTGATACGAAAAACATTCTGGAATGGCTTATAGATGGCCTAGATTGTACGGATATAATCATAAAACCAGCAACTGTCGTTCGGAATACCCCGTTTTAAATATTTCGTGGTTGCATGATTAGAAAACACATTCCGACTGTAACTTTCATGATCTGGTAAGCGACGCTCTGATTGGTTAGATGAAGGTCGTTCTGACGTGAGCCTTAATGGGATGTCCTCAGATCTTTGTTTAGCATAGCGAGAACTAAGATCTGATTTTAATGAGATTGCATATAATATATAAGGAATTCGTAACGTACACCGTTATTGTTTTAGAATGTTGAATCTGCGTACCAAATACGATTCCCTTTGTGTCCCGCGTTCCACACTGCTGAGTCCCGAATACCTTCCAAATAGACCCCCGCATCCGCGTACCAAAAGGCGGTTGTCGGCCTCGTATATTCCCGATGCAAATCTGCTAGTTCTAATCCTTGATACTGCTTCTGACTATACATCCGAAGTGAATACGTTCATCACTAAAAGGACCTCAGGTTTACGTTCATAGGAACACCATGGGAATTCTGGGTTATCATGGGCACCCACCAACCTATGCTGGTCGTAAAAGGCGACTACCGGGATCGGGACGTCAGGCTCGGGGACGTGGTTGATAGCGTGCCAGGGTACCCCGACGGCGGGATGCGTTGCTCATGGTCACTGGATTGTCTGGTCCAGGCTGGATGGTTTACAGGCCGCCGTCATACAGCTGGAATATCTCTATGTGTGGCGTTGAACGGCAAACAAAAGATGCTTAAGCCCATAGCAACCATGTATGAAGACAAGGACGTTTTTCAGGTACGACCTGATTGATGTGTCGAGGAACAGCCTGCAGGTGCTCGCTATCAAATACTACGCTGATGTCATCGCAGCCTACAACAAGAGTGACACAGCCAGTCTTAGGTAGGACAAGGCTGTATGGAGTATCTAGATATGTTCAAGCATGTTTCTTCATCGATAGATGATAGCAGGATTGGTTGCGAAGCATAATTTCCTTTCGTTGCTTCCCTTCGTTGCTAGACTATTGGACTATACCAATCTTGTATGCACAGAGATAGGGCGCGTCTCCAACATCAAGCTGGTAGCCGTTACACATCTGAACTACTCTACAGCGTGGCGTTAGACCAAGTCACTCATTTGAACAACACTAATGTCTCTGTTACTTTGGGACCGGTCATTTGGCATTCTGGATTCTGTGTTTGAGGAGTGGTTCTGAAAAAGAATATTCAGCCTCATAGTTTTAATAAGAAAAAATAATCTGGTTTTACAGATAAATATCTAATTTCCATACAGGATCCCAGCTGGTCCTAACTCAGTCAAGGTGATTGGTGCGTGAGTGAGTGAGTGAGTGAGTTGGGTTTAACGCCGCTTTTAACAGTATTCCAGTTATATCACGGCTTGTCAGCTTAATGTGGGAGGAAAGCCCGAAGTGATGCAGGTCTCAGACGTTTACCACTTCGATGAAACCCACGAGCACGGGTATGGTGCTGACAAACCTAGAAACATAATCGGGGCGAGCCGGGACTCGAACCCACAATCACAGGTTTCTGGCGTGCCCAAGGGACGCAACTCTGCACAGCGAGTCGCGGCGCCTTAGACGACTGGGCCACCCGTGCCCCCGATTGGTGCGTGAGACAGCGTCCACTTACTCATAGATTTAAGTATTCCTCCCTGGGATTAGATGCCAAGTCTTAAAGCTTGTCAAGAGCCCTCTTGACTGAGGAGTGCTTCAGGCACATGTATATGTTGTTGAGCAATAATTGTGATATATAGAATTATATTTCAAATAAGTTTCGGTTGTTATAGACACAGAATAAATATATAACATGTATGTGTGAATATTCCCAGAACTGCTGGTGCCAAGATGATCGACCTTCTGAGTGACCTTGACACACTACTTGCTACTGACGTTCACTTCCTGTTGGGCGCGTGGACCGGTGACGCGGCCAGACACTTCTCTTCAGCCTGGGAGAAGGCGCTGTATGACTTCAACTCACGGAACCAGGTGACTCTGTGGGGACCAACAGGGCAGGTGCGTGTATTAGTACCCTGCATGACTATGAGGTGACAACGCCATGTCGTAGAGGTGAGGTGAGGTGAAATGGGGTTTATCGGCGATCAAGATTATTGAACTTGTATAGCCACGTGCATGCATGTGTGTGTGGCTGGTTGTCCAGTCCAGGCTTGTGTCGGTTTTATAGTCTGTGTTGGTATGATATATTTTGTGTATTGAGAAAATATATTTTTGTAACTGTGATACCATGCCACAGTCGGACATGGTTACCACGCTTAGAGTGAGTGAGTGAATTGGGTTTAACGCCACTTTTAACAGTATTCCAGTTATATCACGGCGTGTCAGCTTAATGTGGGAGGAAAGCCCGAAGTGATGCAGGTCTCAGACGTTTAGCACTTTGGTGAAACCCACGAGCACGGGTATGGTGCTGACAAACCTAAAAACACAATCGGGGCGAACCGAGATTCGAAACCACAACCATAGGGTTCTGGCGTGCCCAAGGGACGCAACTCTGCACAACGAATCACTGCGCCTTAGACGACAGGGCCACCCGTGCCCCCCTCTACGCTTAGACACAGTATACCGACTCCGATTGTTTCATCCCCTCGTGCCGAGCGCCAGAGTGACGATAAGTACTATCTTTTAACGTCTTAAAGTCCTGAAGCAGCCTAGGGATAGAACCACCGACCTTCCTTTCTCCAAGCAGACGCTCTGTCCACTAGGCCAGGGAGGCGGTCCCGATATCGGAGAGCAAGTCTCTCCCCAATCCTTCGTGGAAGGGTGGCCCAATAGTTTAAGGAAACGCAACCCGATGGACACTTCCGTTCCTAACACGTGCCAGTATCCGCTTGTTACTTGTTTTGACGGCAGTTACTGCTATGGAATATCTTGGTGTCAAAGGGGCGGTGGGTAGCCTAGTGGTTAAAGCGGGGTTCGATCCCCACATGGGTACAATGTGTGAAGCCCATTTTCCTGTGTCTCCCGCCGTTATATGGCTGGAATATTGCTACAAGCGGCGTAAAACCATACTCACTCACTCTTGGTGTCTGAAGAAGGATGTAGATTGGGGGATGAAATGTTAAATTTTTCAAGACAATATTATCTTGATGACACATATTTAATGATGCGTACATCCTAAGCGATTATATTTTGCTCTTTTTCAGATAATGGATTATGCCTGTAAAATGTGGTCTGGGCTGATAAATAGGTGAGAAAGAATGCATGACGTTTGCCGCTCAGTTGTTTTACTTGAAATTGATTTCAGGTATATTAAATGTTTTTGCGAAATGTTTTTGATAATGACTTTGATAATGCTTGATAATGTTTGGTAATGTTTGGTAATGTGGTTTCAGATACTACAAACCAAGGTGGCAACTGTTTATAAACACTTTAATCAACTGTACTCAAACGGTAAGTGTGACAGTAGTTTGTAAACAACAAATATATCTATTTCATCTTGCTCCAGTTGTTGTCATCCTCGCTTATCCAGGGTATTGTATATCCATTCTTTAATATATACTCTGGATCCGTTCACCACCATAGATGACGTCATCAACTCCATCTCTTGTATTACTAACATCACGCATTTAATTTTCTTGCTCATGATCTTGAGGTCAACAACCAATAAAAATGCCTCTACTGTGCAATATTTCAAGACGGAAGGGTGGCCAATCGTCTAAGGCGTTGCAATTCGCGGTGCAGAGTTGCGTCCCTTTGGAATTACAGAAGCCTATGGTCGTCTGTTCGAATCCCGATTCGCCCGACTATCATTCGGAGCGTTGTCAACACCAGACACCTGCTATTGGGTTTCACCAAAGTGGTAAACGTCTGAGACCTGCATCATCTGGCTTTCCTCCCACATTAAGCAGACACCCTGTGATGTAACTGGAAAACTGTTCAAAGCATGTTAAACCCAACTCACTCACTCACACACTCTAAACAAATTTGAGTGGAGTACTGGAAGGGGCACGGGTGGCCCAGTCGTCTGAGGCGCCGCGATTCGCTGTGCAGAGTTGCGTCCCATAGAAACCTAATGATTGTTTAAATCCCGGTTCGCCCCGATTATGTTTCTAGGTTTGTCAGCGCCATACCCGTGCTCGTGGGTTTCACCGAAGACCTGCATCACTTCGGGCTTTCCTCCAAGCTGACACGCCATGATATAACTGGAATAATGTTAAAAACGGCGTTAAACCCAACTCACTCACTATAATAATGAATATGTAGCACCAATGTCGTAACAGATTGAAAGCATATCACTGACCACATACCTCACACCATCATATGTGTCCCAGGTAAAAGGGGGCATCGGTGGCCCAGTCTTTCCTCCCACATTAAGCTGACACGCCGTGATATAACTGGAATAATGTTCAAAGCAACGTTTAACCCAACTCACTCACTCACTGGATGTATGCTGTTTTCTTCATTCATGAAAGAACGGTGTAATTTGATAGAACGTCGATATTTAGAGTGGTGCCATTCGAACAGAACACAAAAGCCATGGCTAAATGGTTGGCAGTATCGTCGAGTCACATCGATCTATATCCACCTGTGGTTTGTTTTAGTTTTGGTACCATCCGCCCCTCTGTTAAGAATCTCTATAATAAGAATGTCTATAATATAGATATGCGTTTTGAATCAGGAAATATTGAATAAAATGTATCTCAGAAAACAGCGTTCAACAGTGGTGTGTATGGCCAGGAAGTGTTGAACACGGTGGAAATACCATTCTCCTACGACCAGACTGACTTCCCTAATGAACCCGAAGGTAGGATTATCGTCCATCAGAGAAAACGTGACTAGAGCGGCGCATTCGTGACCAACTCGTGTTATTCCGGGATAAGCCGAATAGCGATTCTTGCAGGTTACGGAAAGGGGCGAGTGGCGACGAATGTAGAGCGCCGCGATTGAATACGCTCCCTGTACCTCATGCTGGACGCAAGGGGCGACCACTCCTGGATTAGGTAGCCACAATATAATGGCCTTATAGTAGCAACCCCGGAAGCCTGTCACGCTGTCTACCATTGGTGTATCTATTTCAGTCAGCGAATGATGGAGTATGGTTTTATGCCGCTAAAAGCGGCGTAAAACCATACTCACTCTCTCACCCACTTCGGCTGTGAGCACACTGAATTATATATTTGATTGGAGACTACAGTAATGAGTATTGATTGCAAACATCCTGGATTGTTGTAACACACCAACTGGATCAAGTCTGTTAACCAATACGTCACTGCTTCACAATATCCATACAAATACATAGTATCGAGGCCTGTTAGAATTAAAGATTCTAGCCTTTTTCCTAGTGTGTATTGAATTGTGTAAAATAGAACGATACGATCTAACCAATCAGCCCAATGTATGGGTGACTCAAAGTGCAGATATGCTAGCACATTATTCGGGAAGCAGTTTTCGTTTGTTAGCCAAAAAAATGTCAACTAACTGTTATTTGTGTTGCAAACATGTCGCCAAATGATTTGGTTATATGTATTCATATACATCAACGTGATTAGTGGGAAAGGTGCGCACCTGTCTACTATACAACCTTTGCAAATCGGTCCGAGGTTGGATTCGCATGTGATGGTGTCTCAATTATTTTCAATATAAATATATTTTGATCACTAAAGCTATATACCACTTTCGTGTTTCTATAGGTAATGCTATTGCAGCGGTGATCGAGTTTCATTCCAAATACCGACCAGAAACAAAGTCCAAGTTCTTCTCGCAGTTCCCCAACGTCCAGTCGTCGGATACCGTGGGAGGATTCTCCTACGAATATGCCAAACGCTTCGGTCGGGCTCACTATTAGAGGAGTGGAAGACCTTATGATATCAGTGTGTGTCATATTTCGATGCCACTGTGAGAATAAACATTCATTATTCAACAAATAGCCAGTTTGTGTATTTTATCCCCGATACAGGCAGGATCCGCTGGTCGAATCCACATTGGCCCCGATTGTGATTCCAGGTTTGTCAGCACCACGACCATGCTGTGTCCATCCAAGTAATAAACATCTACATGTGTTAAGACAGAATTTCATCCCGCAATAATGTGACTGAAATGTTTGAAATACATGTACTGTTCAACGCGTCAAAATGATAAGATCAGTCTTTTGTCGCGAATAGCTGGACTGATATGGCGTTGGGTATTTCCTTCGTGCTACACGACCCGTGAAGATCCGGGATAGAATAGGTCTTCAGCAACCAATGGTTGTTACAGAGCTCCAGATAAGCTGCGTATCTGCGTAAAATACGCATCTGAAATGCAGAAATACGCAGTAAATTAAAGCGTATCAAATACGCAAAGAACATTACAGATAAGCTACAAAAATATAACTTGTGCGTATCATCAAAATATTGTGAAGTAACCCTGCGTATATGATTAGCAAATCAGCAACTTATTTTGAAATTATAAACGGGCATTCCGCCAACCTTGCCAAACTCCGCGACAACGGTTATCTCCCAAAACCCCTACATCCCATTTCCCCTACAACCCAGTTCCCCTACAATTAGTTAAAACAACACGCGGCATTTACCTGTCTGGTATTATGAACTCACCTAAAGAAGAGATTAAGGTCTGGAGTAGAGGTAGTAGAAATGAAAGGGGTAGAGCTTTAGGGGACTAGGGGAAGTTTTAAAAAAAAAAAATAATGTAAGTGTAATGAAAGATGCCTATATGATGAGAAGACAATTTTTAAAAATTACAAAAATAACAATAGGAAGAAACAATTATTACACTGAGAAACTGAGATGGACGATTTACAGTTGAGATGGCTAGGTTTAGTATATAGATACTTGAAACTGACTAACATGACATCAACATGTCTGGGAAGACTCACGACAGCAGGAACCGTGATAAGGAATGCTTACAGAGGACACGTGGGTTGACGCAACGGACACCACACCAGATGTACCAAGAGCTGTCGCCTTCAACGACTACATCGTCACGACCTGGGTCGACCACGGAGCACGATTCCCCCTAACACTGTGGAACCATCACGGTACAGCAGGTCCCAGGACGAACAACAACCTGGAAGGCTTTCATAACCGACTCAACCGAGGTCTCCCTCACCGACATCCCAACATCTACCGATTTGTGGAGGTAGTCAGGAAGGTGGAACAGGCAGAACGAGCTAAGATTTTACAGCTCGACTTTGGAGCAGCTCTAAGAGGCAGGAAGAGAGTGTACAGAGAGGTGGAGAACCGTCTTTAATAGACGAGTTGAATAGAGAGGTGAAGTCCCCAATGCAGTTTCTAGATGCGGTTGGCCATTTCCTCAGGCTGGGATAAAGAGTGAATTGAACATTTGAGATGAAATTTATTATAATGTATTATGAATTTTGAAAAATGAACATTTTGTTATAATGTATTATGAATTTTGAAAAATGAACATTTTATTATAATGTATTATGAAATTTGAATAATATCGTAATCGTAATTTAATATTTATCTCAATCTATTCGTGTTTCTTGGGTTGTTCCATTGTATGAAATAGGTAATAGACTAGGGATTAGCAGTGCCATGGACCGTGAACTTTGTTGTCTTAAGTTGTAGGGGAAATGGGATGTAGGGGTTTTGGGAGGTTACCGCGACAACAGTTACCATTCGTGACCAACTCGTGTTATTCCGGGACAAGCCGAATAGCGACTTCTTGCAGGTTACGGAAAGGGGCGAGTGGTGACGAATGAACAGTTACATCACGATCATTTGCCATCACACTTTCTTGTGGAAGTATCGTGGTATTTTTGAGTCCTATAAAGCTCTCGAACCCACGCGACACCAGTTTGCAGGGACTAGATGAATAGTGTTTTTAAATATTTAAGTTTAATACCCACATGTGTAAAAACTAGTTGAATACCCAGATAGAATTACTGATACCCAATAATTTTAAAATGCATGGGTAAAATACCCACAACACCAAAAGCTCATCTGGAGCTCTGATTGTTGTAAGAGGCAACTTTGCTTGTGGTATGAGAGACGACTAACGGGATTGGGTGATCAGACCGGGTTGATGCATGTCAGTTGCATGGATCGATGTTCATGGTGTCAGTCACTGGATTGTCTGGTTCAGGCTCGATTATTTACAGACCGCCTTTATATAACTGGAAAATTGTCAAAGTGTGGCGTAAAACAACAAACAAAAAATATAATACTACACTCGAAGTGCCGACTGTTATTGAAAATACCTGCCTCTTGTTAATGAAGAGTTGATCGGTGAGAAAATAAACATGGCGCCTCGCCAGAAAAATGTGATCGAAAAACACCAAGATTGTACAGTAGCGTGCAGTACGTGTCTTGTGTAGAGTATTCTTGGACTTTGAGTGACTCCTAGACTAACATTTAGTCTCTGAAATCTTATATTACACAATATCCTTCTTGACTCTAAAAATAAAAAAAATTTCCTAGGAATAGAGCTAGCTTGAGCTGGCTAGACTTGCTTTTGTATGCATTTCTAGATCATTATTTTTTCATAAAATAAATATATTCCACGGTCATGGTGCAGGACTAAATGACTCCTTGTGACTCCTAATAAGGAAAAACAGAAGACTTCAAAACTTGTAATACAGCAGCTACAACGTTTTGCCTCCTGGAGACCATTATAGTCAATCAGTCTTCTTTTAAAACTGCGATGTTGTAACGGACTACGCCATGTCGATATACTGCTGGTGAGTATTACGAACCACATGTCTAAAGACAGTTCTGTTCAGTGAGCGTGTTGGATTTTACGCAGCTTTTAGGATTAATATTAATCCCGTCATGTCGGGGCGGATGACTCTATGAATTTATTTTCACATTTCAACCATGTGAGTATTCAGACCGGGGCCATTCCCGTAAGGAAGCAACGCTTTAAAGACTAGGCTACCCATCCGTCGTTATGTAAGACGTGCTATCATACAGATGTTGACATTGAAATAAACACCAAACTTACTACAAGATACCGTATTAATGGCCCTTAACCTGTTACTTTAGTGTGTTATTTATGAAAATTCCTGATAAATGGATGTATTTGATCCAGTTTGACTCGGTCCCTTTAATCAGGAGATAAACTTACTGTGTTTTTAAATTAGAGGTAGTATAATGGAATTATACTAGCTCTAAATTTAATTTAAAACCGAACAGAGACCAGTTTAGTGTGATTATATACCTCTGATTGGCTTTAATTAACCAATCAGAATAAAGTATTTACTCAAGTCATGGTAGAATTGCAAATCGACTGATGATCATATATGTTTGCGGCAACAGCTGGTATTACCCGAAGTCGATCCGGTTTGAACTTTGACCGAACTGTAAATCACATGACTACGTTCACGTGATCACGCACCGGCGATCGACCTCGAAAACATTGTCACTCTCAGTGGAATTGTGCCTTATTTTAGTCCAACGGGCGATGTCATAGAGCTAGAAACATGACAGCTTTGAAGGTCAGTTAAATAATGATGACACAAAGGAGTTTACAGTTTTGTTTTGCTCGATGCATGTCAACAGGGTACTTTGAAAGATGCTGAAATGCAAACCATTTGCTCAAATACCAGTAGCCAAATATACCAGACGAGGCGAAAAGCGACCTCTCTGATCAGCTGATTTCAGGATTTTGTCCTTCTGATTATAGAACTCGTGATAGGATCGATACATATAAAGATCATAACAGACAGTTATGATTGCCTTATGCACATTAAACACGATATATACGCATGTACGTAGCACCACTAATACGCTTTGTTTGGATTGTTAAACTTCAAGATTATAAACAGGATTTGCATTAGATATATATGTTATCAGGAGTAGATAAGCCAGGAACTTCACTCCCCTGTCAGTTGTAATCTGATATTAAATAGGTGAAGTGGCAGTTATTGGAACGATAATAGAAAAGCACAGACAATAATTGAATTGTTTTTTATCATGTTTCAATTCAATAGCTAAGTAATAAGGAGTTATCGTAAACGATAATAGTAAAATACTGATAATAATTGAATTGTTTTTTATCATATTTCAATTCAATAGCTAAGTAAGGATAAAATATATGGATGAACAACTTCTTTATTACAATTAGGAGTGACGCTTCAGTCTACGTTCTAACACTAGCTGTTATCAATGGTTAAAATGCATATATGCAGGTATGAGGCAATGTTAATACAGCTGAGTACATGAAGACGTACACTAAAGGGGTGGTATAAGGTAAACATCTTAACAGGTGAAGCCAGTAGTTATGATTATGACAGACTGGGGTCTTTGAGATGATGGTACGCAGGAGGAATGTAAAAGCATCAAAATAACATCAAAAGACTCCAACCATGAATCTACCGGGATCGAGGCTATCCTGTTTCCTGTGTTTCATCCTGTTAACACACTGTCCTAAATGATAAATGTTTGTATTATTTGAATGTATGACTAATGGGTATAACAGCCTTTCCTGCTTGTAGAGCAATTTTTCGTCAAGCCTTAGACAACTTTAACATGTTTAACACAGGAGAAAACATTGCCTTAAGATATTCATAATAAGTTTTGTTTTGTTTGTTTATTTGTTGTTTAACTCATCAATATTCCATGTATTCCAGTTATTCCAGTAAATAATCGAGTCCGGACCAGACAATCCAGTGATTGAAAACATGGAGCATCGATCCACGCAATTGGTATACGATGACATGCATCAACCAAGTCAGCGAGCCTGACACCCGATTCCAATAGTCGCGACAAGCATGGTCGCCTTTTACGGCAAGCATGGGTTGCTGAAGACCTATTCTACCCCGGCCTCATAATAAGTGACAGACTTAATAGTTTTCCCACATACATTCTTCTGTATGAGAGATTACCCCACCATTCCTGAATATAATTATTATTTTTTTATCTAGATTAAGCTCTAAACCCAAATTTGCACATCAGATGAAATGCAATATAACTGCCTTTGAAGGTCAACAACAGTATATGAAAATGTCACTTTGTCATCTGCAAACAACAGAATCAATATGTCTTCTTTTGCCTGAGTAACAAAAAATTAAAAATAGGGTTCTACTTACCATTATTTTACTGAGGCAAGGGAGTTAACTCACTATAAAAGTCCAATTCCCACCCTTGCCGAAAAATCTGGCTAGATCGTAGCATCACCAGTGGCTATTACGAATTCGGTCTCTTATATGTCCCCCTACTGACCAATCATATTCCACCTCTCATATCACTTGCAATGCTTCAAACAAAACAGTCAAGACGATCTCATCGATAATAGTGATCTTTATTGTAATAAAACAGGTGTTACTTCGGACAGTGTATCAAAATGTGTGAGCACCTTGATTAAAACATGAAAAGATTTATGTGTGAAAAAATTATAATTATATAGTATGAATGCCAGGCCCAAAGACAAGTATCTACGTAACAGGTTTTTCTACTTAAAAGGTTTCTACTTAGCGAGAGTTCACTGACTGCATCTTCCATACATATCATGACCAAGTTTATTGATAAGGAAAGTAAACAGAACAGGGCTCAAAATACACCCTTGGCGAACACCTGTTGAAGTGAGGACAATGGGGTTCTGTTACCGTCACATACAAGTCATTCTTGCCGGCTCCTTTTGATGTATTGTGTGTATTATAATCCTTGGTATATGCTGACTAAAAATGTCTACATGTACGATTGAAACCTTAAGCTGTAGATCCAGTGGACATGCCTGGTTAGGACTAGGCTCAGGGGGCACGGGTGGCACAGTCGTCTAAGGCGCCACGATTCATTGTGCAGAGTTGCGTCCCTTGGGCGAGCCAGAAACCTATGATTGTGGGTCGAATCCTGGTTCGCCCTGATTATGTTTCTAGGTTTGTCAGCACCATACCCGTTCTCAGAGGTTTCACCAAAGTGGTAAACGTCTGAGACCTGCATCACTTCGGGCTTTCCTCCCACATTAAGCTGACAGTGACACACTGTGATATGACTGGAATGCTGTTAAAAGTGGTGTTAAACCCAACTCACTCACTAGAACTAGACTCAACCAACCTGGACTCCTCATAGAGGTGACTAAATGGATTGAGTGATCAGGCCTGGTGACTTGGTTGATTGCATGTCGTCATACCCTGAACCTGGAAGATCTGGGGTAGAAAAGGTCTTCAGCAACCCATGCATGCCATAAAAGGCGACTATGCTTGTCATATGAGGTGACTAACAAAATCGGGTGGTCAACCTCGCTGACTTGGTTGATGCATGTCATCATATCCCAGTTTTGTGGATCGATACTCATGATGTTAATCACTGGATTGTCTGTTCCAGACTCGATTATTTACAGACCGCCATCATATAGCTGGAATTTTGCTAAGCGCATCATTAACAAACAAACATCATACCCAGATGTCTTAGGACATTGCTCATAATATCAATGACTGCTCTGATCAGACTTATTTATAGACCGTGGTCATACAGTTGGAATATTCCTGAGTGCAGTGTTAACAACCAACAAACAAACAACAGTGTCAACAGTGTCTCTGAACAGACATCTGGACAAGAATGACTTGGCCCAGATTATTCAAATGCAATCATGGCAGCTGGTAAATATTTGAGTCTGGACCAAGCAAACCAGTTGTTGATATCTCTAAATATCATCAGTTAATATTTGTTACAGATCCTGATTTTGGGTGTCGTCTGTGTTCAGCTTTCTTGTGGGAGAGGTAAATATCACCAATCTTACTCTACTTACTAGTGTTGTGTCAGCATTTTGGCAGGGCATTGTCTTCATGTGTTCATGCCATGTATATAGACAATGTTTCATTCCATACATTGGTAAAATATTTCAAAAGGTTAATTACTATTAACTATTATTATATGCAAAACTGTTAACACAGTGAATTATTTTCCCATATGCCTCTATACTAAATTGTGAATTTGGAGTGATTAATAAGGGTGGTGCAGTATTACCAGTAAATCAGTAAATGGAGGTTAATTCTTTCGCGATATGTATCAGAACATAATTTTTAATGCTCGGTATATCGGATGATTTTAGATAGATAGCAATTTTTATCATGTGTTCAATTTTTTCTCTTGCCAAAAACATCCATGCGTATTTAATGAATGAGTAAACATTATGTTGTACCAGCATCTTGTTTTGTTCCATTTATAAACTTCAGTTCATATCCTGGCGTTTCAAATTGCTTCTGAATTCAAAATGTAGAATTATACAAAATATTGTGATACATATGACAATACAGTCTTGTGCATCATAAAATATCATGATACACTTTAAACATCCAATGCCTGCATTCATCAGTACTCAGTTATATCAAATTGTGTCACCTGCATTGATTTACAGCAGTGTATGGGGCGGTGGGGTAGCCTAGAGGTTAAAGAATTTGCTCGTCATGCCAAAGGCAGGGTTCGATTCCCCACATGGGTACAATATGTGAAGCCCATTTCTGGTGTCCCCCACTGTGATATTGCTAACAGCGGCTTATAATCATACTCACTCTTTCACTCACTTTATCGGTATTTATCAAGACCAATTTTTTCCTGTGAAACAAAGTTGTTCAATGTTCTTCAGAGTTCTCTACCCTGAATCATATACGGAGCAAGACGCCATCTGATGTCCAGTCAACGGCTGCAGCCGACCTCATCAAGCGGGTCATCGGGGTCAGGGCCTCGGATTTCCTGGTCTCTGTGGACCCCAGTATTGGACCCAAGAACAGGGACACATTCAAGGTAGGTAACTCCAGCATACCAGAAGACCTCATTTGTCTGATGTTATTCCAGAGAACTTGCTTTTATTACAATTGACAATTTAATGTCTTCTTTAGGGAGGTTGACAAATGTGAGTAATGATGTATGTCTTTTGTGTATTATTCTCAGACATATACTGAACAAGAAAAGTAAGGATAATGAATATTCTGGGAGATACTCTTATTAAAGGACTGCATGGTCGGCTTGGAGTCAGTATACTGTGTCTGAGTGGGGTATTCATGTTAATTTGGGTGGCACGGGTGTCCTAGTAGTCTAAGGCGTTACGATTCATTGTGCAGAGTTGCGTCCCTGGGACATGCCAGAAACCTATGATTGTGGGTTCGAATCCCGGTTCGCCCCAATGAACTTTCTAGGTTTGTCAGCACCATACCTTTGCTCGTGGGTTTCACCGAAGTGGTAAACGTCTGAGACCTGCATCACTTCGGGCTTTCCTCCCATACTAAGCTGACAAGCCATGATATAACAGGAATACTGTTAAAAGCGGCGTTAAACCCAACTCACTCACTCACCAGAACTAGACTCAACCAACCTGAATTCCTCATAGAGGTGACTAAATGGATTGAGTGATCAGGCCTGGTGACTTGGTTGATTGCATGTCGTCATACCCTGACCCGTGAAGATCCGGGGTAGAATAGGTCTTCAGCAACCCATGCATGCCAAAAAAGGCGACTATGCTTGTCATATGAGGTGACTAACGAAATCGGGTGGTCAACCTCGCTGACTTGGTTGATGCATGTCGTCATACCCAGAACCCGTGAAGATCCGGATAGAGAATCACTCACTCACTTATTAAATTGTGTGGTCGGAATTACTACAGAAAAATATCCCCAAAAATATTCAGGATCCCTAACTTTTTCTGTTAAGTATACACGTTATAAATTGTTGTAGTAAACTAGCCTCTGTCATAATTGGATGGTTCCTTGTATGTTAAGTTTGAATTCTTACAGTTGGTGTCAAGTGGCGCCAAGCTGTCCATCACGGGGACCAGTGGTGTGGCGGTCGCCATGGGCTTCTACTACTACCTCAAGTACTACTGTGGGGGGCAGTTCACCTGGGCGGGACAACAGGTCGCCCTGCCAACAGTACTGCCAGTTATTGCATCTCCTGGAAAAGTGGTCACTTCCAATGATCAGTGAGTAGCACTTTCAACATTAATTACCGCCTTTTTTTCCTTCATTTTTTGTTTTCTCTCAAAACTTGTGGTTGGTGCTAAAAAAATATTAAAATATACTCTTCAAAACAGTTGTCATTGTTCAGTGTCTTTAGGTGAGAACAAAGGGTCCATGGGATAAGAAATAATTAATATATCTAGTTCTGACCAGTAGTTAATTTTTTTTTAAAAATTGACGTCATTTCAATAGCAACAAAGCCACACACGGTTTCGAGTGCCATGAAAGCTATCAATAGTATTTATGAAACTATTCATTCAGGATCAGCGTTAAAGTTTAATTTTGTTGAACATTCCTGATTTTAAGGATGAGCACATCTCTGTATTTTCCTAGTAAAAGTGGTAATTTGGGTTACTTGTGGTTCATGTATCGCTTATCATTTATATGGCACTGGTTTGATTCTCTACACTACTAACCTGAACTCGTTTATAACAGTTTTCTCAGCTTATAATGTCAATATATGGACTGTTATGAGCTGTGTGAGTATGGTATTACGCCGATTTTAGCAACATCACATTGGGGGACCTGAAATGGGCTTCACACATTGTTCCCATTTGGGGAATTGAACCTAGGTCTTCGGCACGATGAGCAAACACTTTAACCACTAGGCTACCCTACGCCCCTATTATGAGCTGAGTTATGCAGAAAGCTGTTTTGCTTCAGTTGTACATCCTGACATTATTGATCCTGCTTTCAACATTGTTCTAAACCCTATTTAGTCTGATCCAGGGTTAATAACTTACATTTTCCCTTAGCTGTAATATTAGATTAAACTTCAATCAATCACTCTCTCCATGTTATGATGAAAGAGACCTCTCAGAGACCTTGAACCAAACAAGCATGAGCTGCATTGATTTTGTGGTTTCATCGATCATTTTTGATGGGCTATTCTGTGGCCTTTGCAAGGTCCGGGTATTCATGGAGAGTTATACACATCCAATCCTCCAGGGATTGAGGAGACATCTGTATGTCTGACATGCTGCTTCAAATACAGGTTTCGGTACTACCAGAATGTCTGCACTGTCAGCTACTCCTTCGCTTGGTGGGACTGGGCTAGATGGGAGAGAGAGATAGACTGGATGGCCTTGCAGGGCATCAACCTGCCCTTGGCCTTTACAGGACAGGAGGCCATCTTCCAGAGGGTAAGTAGACTGGATGGCCTTGCAGGGCGACAACCTGCCCTTGGCCTTTACAGGACAGGAGGCCATCTTCCAGAGGGTAAGTAGACTGGATGGCCTTGCAGGCCATCAACCTGCCCTTGGCCTTCACAGAACAGGAGGCCATCTTCCAGAGGGTAAATAGACTGGATGGCCTTGCAGGGCATCTACTAGCTTCACATTCTAATTTTGTTTCAGTGAATGGTTCTAGTGCTGTTTCAGTGAATGCATCTCCTGTTCTTTCAGGTGTACATGGCTATGGGCTTCACTGATAAAGACCTTGAGTCACACTTTGGTGGAGCAGCCTTTCTAGCATGGTAAGACAAGATTAGACTAGTCAGAACTTTAGCATCATGTTTTTAATCATAGTTTATACACTGTACTTAATAAGTGGCTATTAATCAAAAGCACACTTGAAAGTAATATGATAGACGTATGTATGGTTTTCTTAGAAGTAGTGAAAGTGATGTCTTCAGAATGCTCATTTTTTCCAGCAGGAACTAATGTTTAAAATGTAAGAACAACTTTGCAGTTTAAATGTTGGGGGGGAAAAATCCCCAATATGACTTTTAATATCTCCACTGTGAAATGATGAACATTAAAAGAAAGGGCACTCCTAACCTGGTCGTCAGCTTTATGTGGTCCTATCAGATTATTTTAGGAATAGATTCCTTTCAGTATATCAAAAGATGTCGCAGTGCTAAGATAGCACAATATTTTAAGAATTGATGTTGTTGACATTGTTGAAAAAGAAACTAAATCTAATTTTGTGCCTTATAGGAATTGTCTAGCTTCAAGTCACAATGAAAGTGGTTAAACTCTATATTTCCTAGGGCTAGAATGGGTAATATACATGGTTGGGGAGGCCCATTGCCCCAAACCTGGATGGATGCTCAGCTGATACTCCAGCACCAGATAGTGACCAGGATGAGGTCGCTTGGTATCACTCCAGTCCTGCCTGGGTTTGCAGGGCATGTTCCTGCTGCCATTACAAGGTAGGTGCCATTGGTGTCCCAACTCTGTTCAGCATAGTAGATTTGCTCGAAGAATCCTTGGTTTGTCATGTATGAATGTTCAGTCATGATCAGATCCATCTTCCCGAGGCAAGGGGGTTAACTGACAATAAAAGTCCACAGTTTTGACCCTTGCTGAACTAGGCTGGAATTCTGGAGTTACATTTTGGCTGGACTAACAAGTCTTTGCATAGTCCAATCAAGATCAGTAGAATCGACGTCAGGTTCGTAAACTGCCGTGCAGATTTCGATCAAATGCAGGATTTACAAGGTATGTGTACTGTCAACTTCGCTGCCATTTTGTTTGTAGCAAATGCAAATGATATGAGAGGTAAAATTTGATTGGTCAATAGGAGGGACATAGAAGGGACATGAAAGGGACATAACTCGTAATAGCCACTGGTTGTGCTACAATCAAGCCCAGAAATTTCAGCCTAGTTTGGTCAGTTAACTCCCTTGCCTCGGGAAGATGGTTCAGATCTCAATGAACCTTTGTCGTCATAAATCAGATCTTTCATGAATGAATACTGTATCCTGTCCAGTGTTCAGGGGTTCATTGCAGAGTTGCGTACCTTTAGTCATACCAGGATACAGTGATCTTGGCAGGAGTGTCGATAGTTAAATTGGCCATAAACTTGATCCACGGTCTGTCAAGAGTTTCACCAAAGTGATAATTGTGTATGACTTGCTTCACACTGGACTTTCCTCCAGTATTTAGCTGACATGACACGATGTAGTTAACATACTGATAGCGGTATAAGCCCTCACTCAGTACCACGTGATAATTGATTCAGCCATTGTGTAGTTTTAATGTGGCAGCTTTTATGAGGTAGATGGTTACTCTCACATAATTATGGCAGCCATTTTCATGATAATGAGGTGGGTGGGTCCCCTCAAGTAAGTATAGTCATGAAGCAGCTGGAGTGTCGCTCTCCCTGCAACCATTGTAAAATGTGACTGACATTTGTGTTTTAGTTGTCACATTGAAATTTGGCTTCAGTAAAAAAATAAGTATTTATATATATTTGGATTAATTGTTATTTATCTGTTTGAATATTTTTGAGCATTTTGGAGTTTGGGGGATGCACCATGTTTTATTGCTCGCAGCAGAGCACAACTGTGATGCTGTAATTTAACCGAAAACTAATAACAATTATGAATATGTACTCCAAACTACTGTACGTCTCTGATGGGGGAAGGGAATAGTCAGACATTTGAGTAAGGATAAGAATTTATGGATGAACAACTTCTTTATTACAATTAAGAGTGACGATTTGGTGTTTGTACTAACACCGTTATCAAGCGAGGTGTTAGAACCTGCACCAAAACGTCGCTCTTAATTGTAATAAAGAAGTTGTTCATCCATAAATTCTTATCCTTACTTAGTACTCCAACTCCTAAATGCCTATCAAAGAAGTCAGACATAAGTTACACAATAACTTGTGTAAAGAACTTTGAAGTCAGAATTTGGAATTGAAAATTTGAGTGTGTTGATATTTTCATTTTAAAAACAAAAGTCAGCCCATCTTGCCTCAGCCAGGGTCATCTATATCTTTTCGAATAAACTTTTAATTCTTCAAAGAATTAGAAAGTAATGAGCCTCCAAATGTCCCAATAGAATTTACAAGAACATGCTCAGTTACTTTTGTGGCTGAGTATATTACAGTATTTTAGTTATGACTTACTTTCTTTTTGTTCTACTTTACTCTGATTTATTGAAAAGTGAGGATGTCTTCAGTTCAGTGTGACATATTTTCAGGGTGTTCCCCCAAGCTAATGTCACGAGACTTGGTGGATGGTCCAACTTCCATCAAAACTATTCAGAGTAAGTAATAAAATGTTGGTATGTGCTGGTGGCAGTTGTACTGATGGTGATACCCACGATGACTCCAGGTCCAGAGCTCCCGATTGGCTGAATACTTAGGGTGACTCCAGGGCAGAATGGGTTAGAGCTCCTGATTGGCTGAATACTTTGGCTTTACACAAGGGCAGAATGGGTTAGAGCTCCTGATTGGCTGAATACTTCAGCTTTACACAAGGGCAGAATGGGTTAGAGCTCCTGATTGGCTGAAATCTTTGGGTTGACACAAGGGCAGAATGGGTTAGAGCTCCTGATTGGCTGAATACTTTGGGTAGACACAAGGGCAGAATGGGTTAGAGCTCCTGATTGGCTGAATACTTAGGGTTGATTCCAGACTCCAGTAACATTACACCACTGCCAGAGGCTTATTTGCACATCACATGACCAGACTTTTCACTTGTTTTTATAACAACTGCGACAGTGAGGGGCAGGACAATATATCTTTATACATCAAAGTAACTGTATCACTAGTTCTCCACAAAGCATCAATGCCGTACAACCAATGTAAACAAAAGATAAATATGCAAATGGATATGGTTTTTCATGTCTTAGGGGGGCGGTTGGGTAGCCTAGTGGTTAGGCGTTAGCTTGTCACGCCGAAGACCCGGGTTCAATTCCTGACATGGGTACAATGTGTGAAGCCCATTTCTGGTGTCCCCCGCCGTGATATTGCTGGAATGTTGCTAAAAGCGGCGTAAAAGCATACTCACTCACTCACTCACTCATGTCTTAGGATATTTTTACCCGTTTTATAACATAATAATGTTCATCTAAATGTGTAGACTGTTGAAAAATGAAACAGATGTTCAACATATGTAATGTGTTGAATGAGCTGTAGCAGAGGTACTGGCTGGCTGCAAGGAACTCTGGGTAGCAGGGTGGTTTGATACCAGGGCAGATTGCGTCAGAGTTGTGTCCCTTAGGCATGCCAGAATCCCAAAGTTGCATTGGTATTTGCTTATGTATCAAGGTTTGTCAAGATCATACCCTTAAATGTTGGTTTCATCATGGTAATAAATGTCTCACTAAAATCTGCATCACTGCACGCTTTCTTCCTACATTAAGCTGTGTATGCTGTGATATACCCGGGACCCGTGAAGATCCGGGGTAGAATAGGTCTTCAGCAACCCATGCTTGCCGTAAAAGGCGACTATGCGTCGTAAGAGGCGACTAACGGGATTGGTTGGTCAGGCTCACAGACTAGGTTGATGCATGCCATCGTATCCCAAATCGTACACGCAAGACTATTCTCATGATTTCAATCACTGGATTGTCTGATCAAAACTAGGTTAATTACAGACCACTGTCATATAGCTGTAATATTTTGTGTGTTGTTAAGCAACAAACAAACAAACAAACAATATTTCTCTATATTATTTTCAGAACCTATCTGCTGGATTTCAGTGACCCGTTGTTTTCAAAGATAGGTGGCAGCTTCATCAAGGCAGTATGTACCTCTTTCTATCAACTGTTATTTTATTTAATTTCATATTTAACTTAATATATTGAAATTTCACATTCATATGGATTAATATACCTTTAGGCAAGACTACAAAATGTTATGGGTTTTTTAAAGAGCCTATCTTGTAAAGAATAAGAAGCAGTAAAATGTCCGAATTTGTGTATTCAAACTTATATTTTGAGAGTTCTTAGGAAGAATCAGCCCTGATCCAAAATGCGTTAATTAGCTATCTCTTTAAAATCAGATCTTTGTTCTTGCTACCGCTAAACAAAGATGTGAGGACATCCAATTATGGGGCACGTCAGAACGACCTTTCATCTGACCAATCAGAGCATTGCTTATCAGATCATGAAAGTGACTGTTAGAATGTGATTTTTGATCGTGCAACCTCGAAAAAAACCACACAGGGTATTCCTAACGACAGTTATGGGCTTTATGTCTGTATTCATACAATCTAGACCATCTATTAGACATTCCAGAATGTTCTTTTGTTCAGTTTTTAATTTTTTTAATCGGGTATATGTCAAAATATGTTTCGAAGCGTAGTCGCCAGTTTCGATTAAGCTGCCTTCTGATTGGCTATTGTTGACTTCTTGTTAGTCATTCCATTGGTCGGTAAAAGTTCGCGAAAGGTAGTTCTGATGTGACCCATACTGGGATGTCCTCAGACCATTGTTTAGCGGTAGCGAGAACTAAGATCTGATGTTAATGCGATTGGTTAATAAGTTGTCTTTTTCCACTTGGTACATTGACCAAGGAACAAAAAGCTGCACTTCTCAGCCTTTTAAACATGATTAAATGAATACAAAGTTGAAACTGTATGGTCAGAGTTACCTGGATGTATTCATTGCATCCTGGTTGTCGCAGTTGGCCTTTCCCAAATGTAGGACAAATTTTACCATGAGAAATTTTGGAGCAGATGACCATGATGAAAAGACCTACTTCTTTCTCATAACAGATGGAATATGAATTTGGTGTTGACCACATCTACAATGCTGACACCTTCAATGAAATGACCCCACGATCAAAGTAAGTATGTCCAGAAGGCCTTCATTATTGTCTTTCCAAGGGATGACTAAGATAAGGAATGGAAATGGTACAGTTAAACACTCCCCCTTGATATGTGCAATAATCTGGAAAGCGACATTACCCCTATTTCACCCACTAACCTAGTCTTAGCTATTCCAGCCATCAGGGCCACCGGTGGCTCAGTTGTCTAAGGTGCCGCGATTCGCTGTGCAGAGTTGTGTCCCTTGGGTACGCCAGAAACCTACGATTGTGGGTTCGAATCCCGGTTTGCTCGGTTAACATTTGCCAGTTATGTTTCTAGGTTTGTCAGTGCTTTTGGGTTTCACCAAAGTGGTAAACGTCTAAGACCTGCATCACTTCGGGCTTTCCTCCCACATTAAGCTGACACGTGGTGAAATAACTGGAATACTGTTAAAAGTGGCGTTTTCCGATGCCAGATTTACCCTGGTTATAATTCTTGTGTTGTCAGCACCATACCCACGCCATGGGATTTACTTTGTATTTTACAATGTTGATAAACATTATGTGTTTTCAGATTTGCAGGTGTTATTTTGTATTTGATGCCCAAATGTTTATGTATTTTAAAATGAATTTTTTTCTGGCATTAAATGCTCATACCACTCACAAATTTGAAAAAAACATGTAGTTTATCTCCTGAATGTAACAAGATTATAGACCCTCAGACTCGCTCACAATGTCCTTCTTTCTTCAGTGATCCAGCATACTTGGCCGCAGCCGCTAAAGGAGTCTACAATGGGATGTTGGCAGGCGACACACAAGCTATCTGGTGAGAAGGGATCTCTGTTCCTACACTGGCATTACCTTCAGACAGTCATCAAATATAATGGTGTCCTGTTCTCTAAGATGCCACTATTCTCTGTTGAGAGTTGTGTCCCTTAGGTTTGCCAGGAACCTATGATGGTGGGTACAAACCCTAAGTTTGCCCTGATAGTTTTACTGATATTGTCAGCACAAGCCGTGCTCAAATGTTTAACCAAGGTGGTAAACATCTTAGTCCTGCATCACTTTGGTCTTCCTCGCACTTGAAGCTGATACGCTGTGATGTAGCTGAAGAAGTGTCCAAAGAGGGTTTACTCACTCACTCGCTCGCTCGCACACTCACTCACTCACTCACTCACTCACTCACTCACTCACTCACTCACTCACTCACTCACTCACTCACTCACTCACTCACTCACTCACTCACTCACTCACTCGCACACTCACTCACTCACTCATTGAAAGAAATTGTGTTGAGTTTAACAAATATTATCTTTTGGATTACACTTTCTTAGTAAGGTACACCTAATTGCCAGCGCAGTCAGAGATCTAACCCACTCAGCCATCAAGGCTTACATGAAAATGGATGTCCGACAACTGGTAGTGTAAGACATTGTCTGATAATTCTTGAGTTGACAAACCAAACGTTGTGTCTTTGTTTTGCAACATGTTCAGTTCCTGCCCAACCACTTAATGTGGCTTAGTCCTCTACTGATGGATGTAAGTAGGGGAACAGCTGAAAGAGATTACATCATGAATGTCTGTTGGAACATGAAAGATATCCAGAAGTTGACGTTGTTGTGATGACAGCAGATTCTAACATTGTGCTATATTTTGTTGGTGTGGTGTGTTTACTGTACAGGACATTTGACACAATGGTGCTGTATTTCTGGATTCCCTTACCTTTTACTATGAGTATAGTTATGATAAATATTGTATCATAACAAATTAGAAATGCAGATATATGTATTCATTTCAGAACGTAACTATGGTGACTTTTACAAAAATTCCTCAGTGACTCAAAAATAAATATCACTGAGCCCAAATGATGCAACATAATATCCCAATATGTTTTGATTGGCTGGTTCAGTGACTAGGCCGAATTAGTTTTAAGATTGTATTCTTTGGTCTCATATCCTTGTCACATGTGGCCATCAACTTCAGTGTCTTAAATGAAAACTGCAGAATATGATTATTTACATTTACGGAATAAGTATCCTGACATGGCAATTCAGTAGGACTATGTCTGTTCTATGACAGTTCTTGTTCATTGTCAGTGACTTGTAATTACTTACTTGAAGCCTGTAGCCAGGACTGTGTGTTTACTTGAAGCCTGTAGCCAGGACTGTGTGTTTACTTGAAGCCTGTAGCCAGGCCTGTGTGTTTACTTGAAGCATGTAGCCAGCACTGTGTGTTTACTTGAAGCCTGTAGCCAGCACTGTGTGTTTACTTGAAGCATGTAGCCAGGCCTGTGTGTTTACTTGAAGCATGTAGCCAGCACTGTGTGTTTACTTGAAGCCTGTAGCCAGGACTGTGTGTTTACTTGAAGCCTGTAGCCAGGCACTGTGTGTTTACTTGAAGCCTGTAGCCAGGACTGTGTGTTTACTTGAAGCATGTAGCCAGGCCTGTGTGTTTACTTGAAGCCTGTAGCCAGCACTGTGTGTTTACTTGAAGCCTGTAGCCAGCACTGTGTGTTTACTTGAAGCCTGTAGCCAGGACTGTGTGTTTACTTGAAGCCTGTAGCCAGGCCTGTGTGTTTACTTGAGCCTGTAGCCAGGACTGTGTGTTTACTTGAAGCATGTAGCCAGCACTGTGTGTTTACTTGAAGCCTGTAGCCAGCACTGTGTGTTTACTTGAAGCATGTAGCCAGGCCTGTGTGTTTACTTGAAGCATGTAGCCAGCACTGTGTGTTTACTTGAAGCCTGTAGCCAGGACTGTGTGTTTACTTGAAGCCTGTAGCCAGGCACTGTGTGTTTACTTGAAGCCTGTAGCCAGGACTGTGTGTTTACTTGAAGCATGTAGCCAGGCCTGTGTGTTTACTTGAAGCCTGTAGCCAGCACTGTGTGTTTACTTGAAGCCTGTAGCCAGCACTGTGTGTTTACTTGAAGCCTGTAGCCAGGACTGTGTGTTTACTTGAAGCCTGTAGCCAGGCCTGTGTGTTTACTTGAGCCTGTAGCCAGCACTGTGTGTTTACTTGAAGCATGTAGCCAGGCCTGTGTGTTTACTTGAAGCCTGTAGCCAGGACTGTGTGTTTACCTGAAGCCTGTAGCCAGGACTGTGTGTTTACTTGAAGCCTGTAGCCAGCACTGTGTGTTTACTTGAAGCCTGTAGCCAGGCCTGTGTGTTTACTTGAAGCCTGTAGCCAGCACTGTGTGTTTACTTGAAGCCTGTAGCCAGGCATGTGTGTTTACCTGAAGCATGTAGCCAGGCTTGTGTGTTTACTTGAAGCCTGTAGCCAGCACTGTGTGTTTACTTGAAGCCTGTAGCCAGGACTGTGTGTTTACTTGAAGCCTGTAGCCAGGACTGTGTGTTTCAGGCTGATGCAGGGCTGGCTGTTCATGGAGCAGGGGTTCTGGAAGCCTCCCCAGATCAAGGCCCTCCTCACCGGAGTACCACAGGTAGAATGAGGATTCTTTTGAATGCGAAATACATAGGAAGTGTTTACTGCAAAGTTTGAAGTTTGAAGCATTGTAGGTAGATTACGGCCCTTAGATATGAGATAAAGGTGGTACAATGGCAATATTCATGGCAGTGGCCTTGTGTGTGCAGTCAGGATTTGTTTTTTTACCTCTGACTTTGTAAGAACTAGTCAAATTTCATCAACAAACTATAACAAGATTAATCACTTACTTGCCTCAGTTATTTACAGGCTGCCAACATATAGAACACTGTCAAGTGCCATGTTAAACACACACATACCACAGACCTGTCTGGAGTCATCGTTTTGTGCTGTCATGGATGAATGTTAAGAAATGTTCAGATCAGCCTCGGGGCACAGGCGGCCATGCAGTCTAACTTATATGCATTCAATTAGATTTGCCAGCATCATGGGAAGATGAATGTTGATGGTTCAAACCCCTGTCCTTGCAAACCAAAAGATGTTAAATGATCGTACTTGTTGTTACCCTGCCTGGCACCCAGCATTAAGGGGCTAAATCAAGTCAGCATGTGTCTGATAGGATTCATGTTAAACTACGGCATGGTATCTGAGTCGGCTAGCGCTATATAACATGGGGGCACAGGTGGCCCAGTCGTCTAACATGTCTAAGGCACCGCAATTCGCTGTGCAGAGTTGCACGCCAGAAACCTATGATTGTGGGTTCGAATCCCGGTTCGCCCTGATTATATTTCTAGGTTTGTCAGCACCATACCCGTGCTCGTGGGTTTCACCGATGTGGTAAACGTCTGAGACCTGCATCACTTCAGCTTTCCTCCCACATTAAGCTGACACGCCGTGATATAACTGGAATAATGTTAAAAGTGGCGTTAAACCCAACTCACTCACTATATAACTGGCTGAAGTCCTGACTGGTTCAAGCCACCACACAGACATATGCATGCACGTCGTTACATGCGTGTAATAGTCTTGAATGTGACCATAAACCCCATTTCACCCACCTCATCACCTGATTATGATCAGTGATCTGTTTGGGTTTCACTTACAAAGTACATGTCTACAAGCTCCTTCCACTGTAAGCTCACATACGTTGACATAAGTGACTTTCTGTGAGTGGTGTTTAACGTAACTTGCTCACTCCACTCATACGTCTCAGCCAAGAGTCATATACATTTTCGAAAGTTTTCTTGAATATGTTGCCATATGTCTTGGAAACCGGTTGCACCGATTTAAAAAAGTATCAACATAGCCCTTTAACCAGTGACCTAAAATTCACTGAAGACAAATACTGACTCTTGCCATGCAATATAGAATGAGTTTGGATTTTGAGCTAGTCCTGCACTGTCTAAAAATATATTTGAAAGCCATCATGCATCAAATGTTACTGTCATTTGTCCAACTGTTGTCAAGCCCTATGTACTGAATTAACATGATTAAGCTATCCTGATGTGGCAGTTCCTGACTATTCAGTATGACTATGTTCATACACATGACAGTTGCTAGTGCAGGATTTCTTCTCAAAGACCAAGAACGAATTTACACTCGCCATGTTTCTTTGTAGGGCAAGATGATCATCCTTGATCTCATATCGGAGTTATACCCCATCTACGCCCGCACCGAGTCCTACTACGGCCAGCCATTCATCTGGTGCATGCTGCACAACTTCGGGGGCACCATGGAGCTGTATGGAGCCCTGGACAAGGTCAACGGGGTCAGTACAGCGCCATCTACTGGACACCACCGGTGTTTGGTTGACATAAAGCACGAAATGAGACATATCCTATCTCAGTCAATAAATCAATCAATCTTTATTCATGGTACTTATGAGGCCAAAGGCCCAAGTACATTGTCTAGGGCGTGTTACAAATTCTCAGTCAATGCTTACTTTATCAAAAATATTTCTCCAATGGTGGTCTTAAATTTGTCCTTCAGATGATGCTTGTTGTGAAAAGTGACTACCTGCTTGAGAACCAGTTGTTCTATTTTTTAGGGCTAATTTTGTTTATATAAGTTTAATCATTTCTTTTTTTTCAGGGTGAAATATGTTTTGATCCTATTGAAAACATGACAAATTAGCAGTAGATGTATGAATGTATAATTCTCAAAGGGGAAACAGGCTGGCCAGTGGTATAAGCCACTTTCCCCTGTGAGTTACTTCCCCTAGTTGCTAGCATCTCCACATCATGGTTTTGAATCCCAGCATTGCCGAAAAATTGTCCTTATTTTTTAACATAGGGTTTAGTCTAAAGCTTCAATGATAACAGGAGGTATGATTATTTCAATTAAGTCTTATTATCCCCCTTTAAAATCTTTTCCAGTTTTATTTGCAATTCAGAAAAAGTCCTCATCAGCACATTCTGATGAAGAAGGTGATAAAAAAACAACATGAAATGGAAGTTTCGTAATGATACAACCTCATGAGTTACACAAATTGGATTTACCATTCCTTTTACTAACTAAAGTTGACATTAAAATAGTAAAATGTTCATTACAGTCTGTAAAGCAACCAGGGCCATATGACAGTAAATACATTTATTTGCAGGGTCCTTCCGCAGGCCGCTCTTTCCCGAACACCACCATGGTGGGCACGGGTCTCACCCCGGAGGGCATCAACCAGAACGAGGTCATGTACGAGTTCATGAATGAACAAGCGTGGAGACCTGGACCGGTTAACCTGCTTGATTGGTGGGTTCCAACTTGCTGGAATTTCAACATTTCATTTCTGTCGCTAGTGTCATACATACATTGACCTGTGATTCTGTGCAAAAGAGACCCGTGAAGATCCGTGGTAGAATAGGTCTTCAGCAACCCATGCTTGCCGTAAGAGGCCACTAACGGGATTGGGTGGTCATGCTCACTGACTTGGTTGATGCATGTCATCATATCCCAATTGCGTGGATTGATGCTCATGATGTCAATCAATGGATTGTCTGGTCCAGACTTGATTATTTACAGAACGCTGTCATGTAGTTGGAATATTGCTGAGTGTGGCGTTAAACAAACAAACAAACAAACTGTGTAGATGAGATCTCCAGTAGGTTAAGCTTGTTGTAAGAACTGTCTGAACGTTGACAGGTGACATTGTGTGACCTTGCTGATGTCATTGTGACTTGGATTATTGATCATGCCATCAACCTCTGGTTTGCTCTACACGGATTATTTAAAGGCCCTCATGACAGCTGGAATATTGGTGACATTGGCATAAAACAACATGCACTCATAATTCAACTGCAGTCAATTCCTATAAATAAGGACAGTTTGATTAAAGGATATATTTATATGTTCATGAGTGATCAACATATTGATTAGTATACATGGAAAACTTGGGTGAGGTGAGGTGAAATGGGGTTTAACGTCGCGTCCAAGATTATTGCATTTATATAGCGATGTGCATGCACGTGTGTGTGTGGCTGCTTGTAATAGTCCGGACTGATGCCGATTTATAGTGCTAGCACACTGAGATACCATGCCGCAGTTTAACATGAATACCCCACTCAGACAAGCCGACCAGTGCTTGTTTTAGCCCCTTAATGCCAAGCGCCAGACAGGGTAACATCAAGTACCATCTTTTAACGTCTTTTGGTATGACGCGGCCGGGGATCGAACCCCGGACCTTCAGCTCTTCGGGCGGACGCTCTACCACTAGACCACGGAGGCGGTTGGAAGACTTAGAAATACCTTTGTAAAGTTGTCACCATTCACCCCTTGCCATACCTTGCAAGAACTCTCCAAGAAGACCTCTGTCATCCATGTTGTGGAAAACATGACAACCCAAGACGACTAGCGCTACTTCAGTCAAAGAGTCCCTCAAAAATTATTTTGTTTGTGGGTTGTTTTTGTTTGGTTGTAAATTGAAACTCTTCTGGCAGATTCTTTATTCTATCGGGCAGTGGTTAAAGCGTTCGCTCGTCATGCCGACGGCCCGGGTCTGATTCCCCACATGGGTACAACCTGTATTTCCACCTTAATAGAGCTGCAGTATTGCTGAAATATTGCTGAAAGTGGCATAAAACTAAACTCACTCAGTCTCTATTCTATCAATCATGAATGCAGCATTTCTGTAACGAGTGCTAGTATCTTTATCAAGCAAGTGCTCACAGAGTCCATCCGTCCATCAGCTTCTAAATGCCACTTAAACATACTGGAAACTGTTCTAGTGAGGAAATATCCTTATGCAGCAGTATCAGAAGAATGATTCAAATTGTAAGAAATGTCTTGACAGTCCAGAAAACCGGTTTGTTTTGTGTGTTGACCCAGGATCGACAGCTACCAGAAGCAGAGGTACAATGGGGGAAACAAGTTCACCTCTGTAGCCTGGGCTCTGCTGAAGGTAGGATTTGAGAACTTATGTTTCTTACAATCACAGTTTTGGTCGGGATTACCAAACTATGCCTGCTCATGAGCAGAGCTACAGATAAACTGCATATTTGCGTAAAATATCCCCCCAAACTATGCAAAACCAAATTACTTTCAATTAACTTGTGTAAAGAATGAAAAACTCAATTGTTTGAAAACAGCACCTGTAAATACCCAATGAAGCTTTTCAGAATGCGTACACCGGAGCTAATTACCGAGACTCAATTATGAGCTAATTTACTTTCCGAGTCATTAGAACCTTTATATACATCAAAAACATTAATTCATATTTTTTTTAGTCTCCAAATGCTTACTCATTTTGGGAAAAACCAAAATGGGTGATGAATAGATGAGTGAAAATATATTGGTTACCCAATAAAAAATGAAATAACCAAATTAAAATAGAAACCTTCGAGCAGAAATTCAATTGCTCAAAAAGTCATCTGGAGCTCTGGTCATGAGTAAAGTTTACAAATGAAGATCAGTAAAGTTGATTGTAAATCATACATGTTTTTTATAGCTACTTATATATTTATTTCGTTTGGCATATTTGGGATGGGTGGTTTTGTGGGGAAAATAATGCTAATACTGTTAAAAATTCATGATGATTAGTGTTATTTACAGTAACATGTATTATTTATTTACTTTTGAACGTGCTTCATTCCCTGTATAAGGGGTTGGTAGTGACCAGAGACTACAAACAATATGTTGATCAATAACTGTTTACAAAGTTCACACTTTAATTTTATATACCTCTTTATTATTCAAATCCATCGAAGATGGTCAGGCATATAAAATAAATAAAGCTATTTTATTTGTGTGTGTGGTTTTGGGCTCCTGGAGGTTGAATCTGTAAACTGGAAAAATAAATAAAGTGTTTTTTATTTAGGCCAGAACATTTCACTTCTTCAGGTTATGGTGGAATTTACCCTAATTTTTGGAAATGTGAATGGTAGTTTAATTTTAGTTAAAAGTATGAAAGCCTCACCTTATGTCTTGGTAGACTTGCTGTAGCTTCTATGTCCACAGCTTTGTTGGTAGGGGAGCAAGTCTCCAGTCTTGTTTCAAATGAAATGTGAAGACCCGGGTTCGATTCCCGACATGGGTACAATGTGTGAAGCCCATTTCTGGTGTCCCCCGCCGTGATATTACTGGAATATTGCTAAAAGCGGCGTAAAACCATACTCACTCAGTCATCTGAAATGTTGAGCCGCGCATCGTGTGCTCGGATGTATAGTGTGTTACCATTTGTATCTGGCCGGAGGCCTATAGATAAACTTTGACTTGACTTTGTTATTGAGGAAAGAACAATTGGCCAAAAATTAACAGGGATTTGGGGAAGAAAATTGTTATTTATTTTAGTCATTTTACTCTTCAATGTTACTGATTATGAACACTTCTAGCGAAGAAACTTCTCATTTTTCAGTACAATGAAAATATGCCCAATAATTTGTTCAGGTTCAAGAATGTAAATGGACATTCAATAGATTTGGTTTAGATTTTGTATCATTTCTGATAACAGATTTGACAGAAAAACAGAAAAAAATGGACAAAACTGAAGCATTAGAAAAACTCCTCATATGCTTTCGAAATAATTATGATCTTTCCCCAGAAAAGTGTTTACGCTTATAATACAACTGAAAAGTTCCATGGAAAGAATGGCTATGTCAGAAGACCTGGGTTGAAACTCAACATTAGAGTATGACTTTGATTATACTGACTGTTTCAGTAGTTGTTTGTGTCGGCATGGAGGGGGGAAATGATTCACTGTGACTCTCGTAAATGCCAGGTGCAAGTTCCTACATTACAGATATCCTTATATTACCATGATTACACCAAGACCAGGGAGCCGTTGTACAAAGTGATCTTAGCACTGAGGTGGTCATAACTCCCATATCTAACATAGACTTACAACAGTCATAGTACTAAGGTTGTTTTCTACAACGGCACCCTGTGTTTGAAATAAAAAAATTGCCAGACTGCCATCAGGACCCACAGACTTTATAAGCTGCAGGCCCTGACGATACTCTTCAGGCCCTCATTTAAGCTTATGGTGACAGATAAATAGACATGTAAATGTACCGCAGGCCATAAGTACCCATATAACTTTAAAACTATGGGACTGACACGAGGTCTTCTTGCCATGGCCCTGCGGGCAAGTGCTTGTTTTGTACACTGACCAAGTCCATTGTTAATAATATCTGCTGGGCCAGAAGTATGAAATTTAGCAGGAAGACCAGGATTGTTTTTTTTACAACGACCATTAAGTGATTAGCGAAATTTTTCAGTTCTAAGGGACAGAGAGACAGACGTTCTGATTTCAAAGCTGATTTGGTTGGTCAGTCAGGTTCCCCCAAACAGAGGTTGTTTTTTTTATTGTGGCTCTTAGGATTCTTAGAACAGGTCCACACTACACCAGTGTTAAACAAAATTCTACATTGAAATATCTTTTCATTCTGATTGATCAGGGGGCGATGGGGTAGCCTAGTGGTTAAAGCGTTTGCTCATCATGTTTGATTCCCCGCATGGGTACAATGTGTGGAGCCCATTTCTGGTGTCCCCTGCTGTGATATTGCTGTAATATTGATAAAATCGGCTTAAAACCATACTCACTCACTCACTGATTCCAATCACAATATCCACCTCTGATTGAAACGGTTGTGACTATGACAGGACTGAGCTAAGACATGTTCTACAACAGATTTCAAAAGTAAACTGTCGTTTATCTAAAGTATAGGAGTTGTGATAGTCCTAGTGGTATGATCACTTTGTGAGTGAAGCCCTACGTTCTGTGACGTCAACTTTATCAGCATATGATGTTTTAAACTGTGTAAAGATATCAGTAGCAAGATTATTGGCGCCCATTACCAAGAATACATACCTTTAGATTTTGAAAAGTTTAAATTTCCTTATCAGGTAAATATGTTGCCAGTCATGGGAACTAACACCACACATTAGGCATCATCCATTATAATTGAAAGTCTTGCAAACTTGTTTAATGTTCGACTGTGCAGATGACCACATCGTCCAGTGAGTTATGTCCCCCTGATGGTACTAGCATGTGCTGTGTTGTAGTTTTAGTACTGACTGTGTCTGCTGCTGCCACCCCTATGTGTGTGTTATCAAGCCGGGATGTGTCCTCCTTGTCCCTCTGTCCACTAAGTCTTACATTTAGTCTAATATGGCGTCTGAAGGAACATTGACTGAAAGGCTCAGTAAAGCCATCAAAATTATAATGGCTACCTTTTTCAATCTGATCTGTCAACATGTTTACATTTTCTAATCTCAGTGGAGTGTGTACAACTGTTCTGACACCCATCGGGAACACAGTACAAATGTCCCAATCACTACACGACCGAGACTTGTACCTGAACTTGCACCAGATGTAAGTAAGACCACCCCTAACAATTCAAGGAGTAATCTTCCCTTGTGAGAGAAGAGTTATCCCCCCTTGCTGGAAAAGTGGAATGGCTTCCTGGTGATGCCTTACACAGCATGTGGTGATCCCATGTATCAAGATTACTTATCCTTGTCCTGACGCACAGTTGTCTCCCTTTGGTGTTGTCACATTGGTTGTCTCCCCATGTATATTTGCTCTCTGTTTGTGCTGCTCTTGCTACTATAATTATCTCCCTTTGTAACCGTACACACCTCACCTTACCAAGCTTTCCGTGTATAGAACCCTGCATGTATGGGCAGCAGTAGCCATGATGGATCAATGTTACAGAGGTTTGCACACAAACTCATTTCTATATTCAGAATTACGTAAAAAACAATTTTACTTTTTTGGATAGATTTCTTATTTACCAAACCCATATCCACTTATTAAGACTTAACAGAAAGTTTTTATTTCAAATAGTATTTTACCCAACTGTTATTTGTATCCTTGAAGCATTTATTCCTGATGACCTTGTATCATGGCAACAAGCAGTTGACCAGAGGTCAGATCTCGTTGAGTTAACAGGATCCTTGCAAGGACACTACTTCTCTAGTGTTAAGGAGATGGGTGGTTCACATTGCTCAGCTTAAATAATTGGATCTATACATACATAAGGAAGAGAATATATGGATGTCAACTTCTTTATTATGAGGAACGAAACGTTTCGGAGTATATGCTTACTCCTTCATCAGGTGCTGTTGGAAACGTTGTGTTCCTCAAAATAAAGAAGTTGACATCCATATATTCTCTTCCTTATGTGAATCACTTCTAAATGCCTTTCAAAGACCTTATACATATATGTATATATAGGTTTTTATTTCACTTCATGATAATCAAGTTTTCTTTCATGTTATTGAATAGCAGAAGAGCAGGGATTGTTGTTTCCAAAAGCCATAACACTTCAGCATTTGGGGCTTTTGTTTTCAATATTTCAATATTTGGTTACTCAGTTGATGACAAACGTATGAAGTCAAAACTTGTTGCTCTTGCAGCAGGTACTTCAGGTGCTCCTGTTCACTAGTCCCCTTTCTAAAACTCTGTACATTCTAGCCTCCTTGTTTCAAAAACACACACATTAAACCAGACTATTTGAGGAAATTAGTACACAACCATCTGGTTTATCGAGGCTCCACCCTCTCTTGCAAAATGGTCAGTTTCTGCATCACCATGGCAACGTTCATAATCTGTGACTGTTTGGGTTATGTATAATCTTGCAAGGTTTGTGGGGGTGAAGCAATACAGAGTAGACTCTTATCCATGATACGTTGATTTACAAGGGATTTATCTTAAAGCAAGTAATGCATGGATATATTTCCACAATGTTTTCTAAATATTTACAAAAATGTGGCAAATTAAGATGTTTCAGATTCTGAAATATTGAAATTTGTTGTGGTTTGTATTGTATAATCTATCTCTCTTTGTCTAAAAAGGGGGTATCACACTTCTGTATCGCTACACATCCGATGGTCACTGTCACCAACCTCAGACTCATTAAGATCAGATCTGTTACTCTAATACCACAACTATACCTCTCTGTGTTAAGATCTGAGGATGCCTCCATGGAGGTCACGTCAAGTGTACTTTCTGATCAGCCCGTCAGCTTTGAGGCTCTCTGTATCAGTGAGCGAAACATTCACTACACCATATTTTATTTCTGTATCTTGAATACGAACTAAAACAACAGTTTCCGAATGTAAATAAATAAAGTCATGCTGTAATATTTTTGTGGATTTTACAGACACCCTGTCATTAAAATTGCCTTGGCATCTACACCCAAAAGGACATACCACCTAAGGAATATTTGTGTTTTGAGTGAGTTTTCACTTGTACAAATCAAATTTGAAAATTGATGTTGTAAAGAAATGAAGATGGATATTTAGAAAAGTGACATCTGATTTTATCAAGAACCCAAGCATCCTTTATTTCACACTTATTGTTCACCTGACTTGACACCCTGTGAAGATCCGGGTAAGAATAGGTCTTCAGCAACCCATGCTTGTCATAACAGGCCACTATACTTGCCGTAAGAGGCGACTAACGGGATCGGGTGGTCAGACTCGCTGACTTGGTTGATGCATGCCATCATATCCCAATTGCGTGGATCGATGCCATGATGTCAATCACTGGATTGTCTGGTCCACACTCAATTATTTACAGACCGCCATCGTATAGCTTGAATATTGCTGAGTGCGGCATTAAACAACAACAATAGACAAACAAAACCTGACTTGACACCCTATGGATGTGTCCTGAGATCTACACACACAGGTATGATATCAGAGTGAAAGGTCCGACTTTAATGAGCCCTAACCAACCCCTGTATCTTCCTGATATACTGACCCATTACTGCACATGCATTAACACACAGGCCAGTGTGTACAACTCGACCAGTGGCCACATGGACTTTAATGGTGTCCTGTACACCAGACGACCTTCTCTGCTGATGAAGGAGTATGTGAGTAGACAGACGACCATTATTACGACTACTTGTTTAGCCTGTGCAATTTGTTGTACATTTTTATCCTTACTGTAACTGTAATCCTTGTTTAAAACATTTTGATCATGTTACCATGGTTACTAAATTGCAAAATTTGACTAATCTCACTGAATCTATTTAGAATTAAGATTGGCATTCAGTGTGTATTACCTTCACATCTGACTGGTATTTTGAAATTTTGTTTTTGTTTTGTATTTGTTCTCATTTATTGTGTATACATTCCGATACAAAACACACATTTCAGGCCTGTTTTTGCCATTGGTCAGTGGTTGAATTAATATTTTATGAAAATTCACATCAAAATTTGTGATATTTTTATTTTTAAATATTTGTTCTGGTAATGTAAAGAAGCAGGGTTTTTTTTATAAGTCAATGGTTTACCTCCCCTTCACTATAAGCCTTATTAAAATTTATTTAAAGAATTTTCAAAAGAATATTTTGGTCCCACATTCATGGAATTTTGAGTGAACATATCCATGTAGCTGCCTGCCCCAAGTAAAGGCTTACAATCCACTTCCATAGCGCAGTCAGTGTGTAGATGCCTGCCTCATACTTGTCCTGCATGGCTGCCTGCTTGTGAATAATGTCTGTTGTTGCTCTGTGTCATGTGTCACATTGTTGCACGGTCGGTCGGTCGGTCGGTCGGTCGGTCCCTCTGTCTCTGTCTCTGTCTCTGTCTCTGTCTCTCTCTCTCTCTCTCTCTCTCTCTCTCTGTCTCTCTCTCTCTCTCTCTCTCTCATTTTAACAGCATGTCCTAATCCATATATATTATATTTAAAATAACATCAACATGACTTTTATCTTCGTAAAAGCTTATGAAGAAAATTTAATACAACTTTGAATAATTCTAATAAAGATTTCATTTCATTATTACTTTTCTACATTATACGATTATAGATTGAAAATAGTATGATGACTATTGTACAGAACATGCAGGATGTCAAACAAACATTTGAAAAATAATCGAGTACTATTCTGTATTATTACCATTCTTATGATGATTATTAGATATGGTATGATCCGGAGCAGCTTTACCAGGCCTGGGACAACATGGTTCTGGCATCAACGACTCCAGCCCTGGGGAACAACACACTGTTCACGTAGGTCCTAGCGTCTCCTAGAGGAGATTTCTAACAACTGTGTCTTCCACAAACATCAAATGTCAATATAAATAATTGAGAAGTTATGATTTGTCTATTGATGACTACTCAAAATTAGTCATGATTATGTGAAAAACATTCAGTTTATTTAATTGAAATAAAATAAATTTAAATCTTAATTATTTTGCTCCAGTTCACTGTTTGAAGTAAGTGTTATTTGGCACAATTTTGTAAAGTTGGTTGTGGTTATGGTGATCTCTGTGTCACACTTGTTTCATACTAAATGGTTTATAGCTGTGCAGAGTTGCACACCTTGGCCATGGCAGGATCTGCTGGCCATCAGACTAAATCCCAGATGTGCACTGATTGTGATCCTTGGTCTGCCAGCATCATACCTGTAATCATGGGTTTTACATTTCTCTGTCATCTTTGTATCTCACTGTCTCTCCTGTTATAGTAGGGGACATGGGTGGCCCAGTCGTCTAAGGTGCCGCAATTCGCTGTGCAGAGTTGCGTCCCTTGGGCACGCCAGAAACCTATGATTGTGGGTTCGAATCCCGGTTCACCCGAATTATGTTTCTACATTTGTCAGCACCATACCTGTGCTCGTGGGTTTCACCGTGGTAAACGTCTGAGACCTGCATCACTTCGGGCTTTCCTCCCACATTAAGCTGACATGCCGTGATATAACTGGAATACTGTTAAAAGTGGCGTTAAACCCAACTCACTCACTCACTCATGTTCCAGTATGGTATATATGACACTTATGTAACAAGAGTTACTGCCTCCTGCAGGTATGACCTGGTGGACGTGACCCGCAACAGCCTACAGATCCTCTCCTCCATGTACTACCATGACATCATCGCCGCCTACAACACAACCAACACCTCACAGCTCCAGTAAGTGAATGCTCCATTAACTCAACTTGATATTCTCCAGAGTCCAAACTCATCTTTTGAATTATAAGATATTCATTACCAAATACAGTTCAAATGAAACATTCAAGGCAGGGTATCTATATATGTGGGTTGTTCTACATGTCAACGTGTAGAATGACTGAAATTTTCTCTTTAGCAATTTACAAAACACCGAAATATTTTACAATTATTTTTCCATTTATTGATATGATAACGAATTCCAATCATTTTTAAGCTCTATTTCATAACCCAGTGACTGAAAATGATAGGGTGAAAAGAAAACAAAAATCAATGTTCTTTTGCTACTAATCCAAGCATTATTAGTCTATTGTGATGGGTTTTTTAATTTCTTTTGAGCTTGTTAAAAACTTTTAGTCAATCTGACAGGGAAAATAATCGTAAAATGGCTGGAATATTTTGGCGTTTTGTAAATTGCCAAAGTTAAAAATTTCAGTCATTTTACACATTGACTGTAACATATACACAATGATATACTGTAGGTATTTGGACAATATTGCCCTAACACATGTTACATGTGTATAGACAACAATTGTGTATCATAAAAACATGACAGCTGTCTTTTCTTAGAACGGCAGGCCAGAAGATGGTTGACCTTCTGAGTGACCTTGACACACTTCTTGCCTCCGATGTTCACTTCCTGTTGGGCACGTGGACAGAAGCAGCTCGGCAGTTCTCACTAGATGTAAATGATACAATCTTGTATGATCTCAACTCTCGGAACCAGGTGACATTGTGGGGTCCTACTGGACAGGTGAGATGCGGAGAGGTTACTCTGTGGTACAAACGTAGAGTTAACATATCCATCACTCTGTGATACGAGGTTGCTGATTGGTTGTTTTTTAAAACACTCAAGTCAGTTGTCGATTGATCAGACAGGGAACTAATTGCATGTACACTTATATTACTTCGGAATTTGAAACACCACATTGTCTTTCTGAAAAAAAACCAGTTAATTATTGTCAAAGTAGACACAATTTAATTACTGTAAGGGAGACGTTTCGGTATAGATCTTTATATCGTTGTCTAGCAAGACTGTATAGATCCTTATACTGTTGTCAAGCATTACTGCTTGACAACGGAATAAGGAACTATACCAAAATGTCACCTTTACAGTAATTTAAGAAGTTGTTATCCATAAATTGTGTCTTCTTTGTCGTCCGTCAACTTCTGAGTAATGCCTATCAAATAATTATTGTTACATTGCCTCCACCATTTGCTACAGACTCATTCGTCCCCATTAATTCATGTAGGTATTGTTATGATAGCAATAATAACTATAGGCTGATTGTAATGTACAACACTCCACATTAGGGTCAAAGGGGATCATTTTTCATCAAACTGCATTTTCAGCTCCCTGAGGAGTATATAATTCAAGCTGCCTCTTAGACACTGGGAATTTCTCACTTTTCTGAGTATCCACTCATAGCTGGGTAAACCAGTGCCGTAGCCAGAAGGGGGGGGGGGGGGGGGGGAGGTGCCCCCCCCTAGAGTCACAGACTCTGTCACCCTCCCACCTACTTTCCACTGCCATTATTTACTATCGTCACCTAAATTGTAGCCTTGCTCCATGGCTGTACCATGGCTGAAAGATAAGTCAGTGGATGTGCAGTAACTATCCTCATAGTAGGCAAGTCTAGATATGTGACAGTGCAGTGACGCCAGTCCTTTATGGGGGCAACTTGTTCTTATTATCAATATAATCTAGAAATTATGATTTAAACTAATAAATATTGCCTTAGAGACTTGTGCAAGTCTACTTTAATTGTGACCATTGTGTACTGCAAAGGTCCAGGAGTTGATTCCTATAGAGGACTTGTGAAGATTCTGGAGTAGAATAGGTCTTCAGCAACCCATGCTTGCCGTAAAAGGTGACTATGCTTGTCGAAAAGGCAACTAATGGGATCGGGTGGTCAGGCTCGCTGACTTGGTTGATGCATGTCATCGATCCTAATTGCGTGGATCGATGCTCATGATATTAATCACTGGATTGTCTGGTCTGGACTCGATTAGTTACACACCGCCGTCATATACATGTAGCTGGAATATTGCTGAGTGCAGCGTTAAACAACAAATCAACCAACTTTGCTAGAGGTAAAGTCATCACTGTGTTGTGTCGTGTTGCAGATCAGGGACTATGCAGCCAAACAGTGGTCTGGCTTGATAAACAGGTATGTCATTAACTGACTGACTGATATAGAAGATTTAACGTGCGCTTTCCGACTGTAGCGTATTTCGCACACGGCATTAACTTACAACTGTTCCATTTATAAGGGAGAGAATTGATGTATGTCAACTTCTTTATTATGAGGAACACAACGTTTTGGAGTATGTACAGTCAACTAGGGTTATAACAAACTCAAAGGGACCCCTGATTTTAGTTTGTTATATCCCTCGTTTGTTTTACTCATTTCGACTGTGAGACATCTTTTATCAAGTCATGTGACATCATGTTACTCGATAAGAAACAAAACTGTGCACTGTACATGTACAGAATATATCCACTTCAATCACTGTGTTACTATTGTTAATTGAGGGTGTAATTTGAGGACAAGGTGTCACGACTTAAGAGTAAATCAATTGCTGCCGTTGTTTAATGATGCTTTCAACAGCAGCACTTGTCCGCGGGTCGGCAGACTGGTGACACGTGAGCAGCTCAGCTCAGGGATTAACAGTTCGTCATAAACTTAAACATTATCGTGGACAGAGTCCTCGGGGCACCACATATCCATTATTTCGTTATGAGCATGTTCGTTATATCCATCAACTTTATAGGATAAATTATATGGAAAATGGCTGGGACCAAAAGAACAGTTCGTTAGATCCGCCAGTTCGCTATAATCACGTTCGTTATAAACATAGTTTATTGTACTTACTTCTTCATGACGTATTGATGGGACCAAAAGAACAGTTCGTTAGATCCGTCAGTTCGTTATAATCATGTTTGTTATAAACATAGTTTACTGTACTTACTTCCTCATCACGTACTGATGAAGAAGTAAGCATATACTCTGAAACGTTGTGTTCCACATTATAAAGAAGTTGACATCCATTAATTCTCTTCCTCATGTGTATCACTTCCAAATGCCACTTGTCCCATTTATATTCAAGAACATGGACATTTCTTCATTGTAAAGGTCTTGGTTTGGAACAGATATAAGATGATTTAATGGTACAGATGTTAATCATACCTGCTTTGAATTCTAATATCCATGTACCAAAAACATCTTAGAGCACTAAAGAGAGGTCAGGATGTTTTGTGTCCTGCAATATATTGTGCACAGTTGTGTCCCTTTGTAGTACAAGGATACCATGATCATTGGTTTGAAGGCAACATTTGTCCTGATTATGATAAACTGGTACATAGCCATTTTATGTTCTTGCTGCAGATACTACAAACCTAGATGGCAGTTGTTTGTTGATAGCCTGGTCAACTCCACTAAAACGGTGAGTAAACAGTAGGATACCATGTGTTCGTCCTGCATGCTGATTGCCTCCAACAAATATGTGACCCGTGAAGATCTGGGTAGAGAATACGTCTTCAGCTGTAAGTGGCGACTATGGTTGTCGTAAGAGGCTACTAAAGGGTTCGGCTGGTCAGGCTCACTGATTTGGTTGTTGCACGTCATCGTAAATTACGTAATTCGATGCTCATGATGTCAATCACTGGACTGTCTGCTCCAGACTTGATTATTTACAGACCGCCGTTAACTTACAGCCCCTGTCATTTGGCTACTCTGCTGTGCAAAGTGATATGGACTCCTCTATTGCTACTAAAGCACTTAGCATCATCATGCAGGGGCTTATGTCTTCTCTGTTTAGTTTTTGTTTGTTTAAACATATTTATTCACAAGGAGTGAACGGGATTGGGGGACAAGTTCTTCCAACTTAGAATGCCCTCTCCCTGGTATTTACAAAAAATTCACAATTTCAAATTCAATATATATGCATGAGAGAGAGAGAGAGAGAGAGAGAGAGAGAGATACATTGTTGAATGAACAGTTCTTTACACAAATCTTTTAGTTGTACATATATAATGTTGTACTGCCTTAAATATAGCTTCATTTTCTGTAACAACGTGATCTGCATTGCCGTATAACAGTAAGTGTATATCAACAGGTATGTTATGAACAATAATTTTTAAGGCTGTTTAACATAATTTCACGCTGATGACTAAACAATGGACATTCCATGAGATAATGATATGCATTTTCACATGTATTCTCTTCAAATGTTTTAGGGCATACCATTCAACAATGTGAAGTACGACCAGGACACATTCAGCACAGTGGAGCTTCCATTCTCCAATGACCACACAGCCTTCCCTACCACGACTACTGGTTTGTATACGCAGCACATTCACCTGATGTTGTATACGCAGCACATTCACCCCATATTGTATACGCAGCACATTCACCCCATGTTGTATACATAGCACATTCACCCCATGTTGTAGATGCAGCACATTCACCTGATATTGTATACGCAGCACATTTACCCCATGTTGTATACACAGCTTATTCACCCCATGTTGTATATGTAGCATTCACTCCCATGGTATATATGCAGCACATTCACCCCATGTTGTATATGCAGCACATTCACCCCATGTTGTAGATGCAGCTCATTCACCTGATATTGTATACGCAGCACATTCACCCGATGTTGTATATGTAGCATTCACTCCCATGGTATATATGCAGCACATTCACCCCATGATGTATATGCAGCACATTCACCTCATGTTGTGTGTGCAGCACATTCACTTCATGTTGTATATGCAACACATTCACCTGACATATATGCAGCACATTCACCTCATGTTGTATACACAGCATATTCACCTCATGTTGTATATGCAGCACATTCACCTCATATTGTATATGCAGCACATTCACCTCATGTTGTACAGACAGCACATTCACCTCATATTGTATATGCAGCATATTCACCTCATGTTGTATATGCAGCACATTCACCTCATATTGTATATGCAGCATATTCACCTCATGTTGTATATGCAGCACATTCACCTCATATTGTATATGCAGCACATTCACCTCATGTTGTACAGACAGCACATTCACCTCATATTGTATATGCAGCATATTCACCTCATATTGTATATGCAGCACATTCACCTCATATTGTATATGCAGCATATTCACCTCATGTTGTATATGCAGCACATTTACCTCATATTGTATATGCAGCACATTCACCTCATGTTGTACAGACAGCTCACCTGATCTCGTACAGGCAACTCGTGATCTTGTACATTCTACTAATGTGATCTCATACGTTCTTCTCAAGTGATCTTATACGTTCAATTTTTTACGTTCTACTCATGTGTTTTGGTACAGGCAGCTCACACGATCTTGTACAGCATACCCGTGTTATCTTGCTGTCCATTTACATTGTCTTGTAGTCCACTTGTGATCTTCTAAGTCCAATCACACCTGATCTAATATAATCCACTCGTGATCGTGTACATCCCCATGTATAGAGTCTCGGGCAGAATAGGTCTCAGTACTCTCATGCTTGTCTCTGAGATTCTCTCAGCGATTGTACAAACCAACCAAGTAGCTACTTGCAGTGTGTCACCTGATTCCTTGTCTGTCATCCAACCTCCATAATCAGGTGAGCACGAAGGGTTTGTCTGGTCCAGAGTAGATTGCTGCCATGATGTAACAGTAATAATGCATACCATGGCAAACACAAATCACTCACTCATACATCCGCATGATATTCATTCCAGGAAGTTCTGTGGATCTAGCAGCCAAGTTCCACCAGAAGTACCGGTCAGAAACCAAGTCCAAGTTCTTTTCCCAGTTCCCCAGAAAGTCTGACAGAACTTCTGCCTTCTCTAAACAGCTGGCAAGACAATGGGGGCGAGCTCTGGCTTAATGAGGAGCAGGGGGGTGAATATATCAGCCTTGAATCTGCCCCGACATCTATCAGTACGGCAATACCATTGGGTTGGTGGAGGGTATTTGTTAGGCCGACAATGAAGCAACATTTTGTGAAGCTCTCGTAAAATCACAAATAGAGTAAGATTTCCTTCACTAAAGATGTTTTTTACTACAGTAAGCAGTATTTACAACACCATTTTTCATGTCATAGATGTATAGATTATTTAACATGGGTACTCAACCTTTGTCACATGGTTAAAGGGGACATGCAGCTTGACCGTACACAGAACCACCAAGAGATATGTGATTTTCTTGAATGGGTAACTCTTGAAATGGCCTGTTTGTTTTTATGAAATGGTCATTACTCTGAATATGCCTCGGTGTATAAATGAGTGTATATAACTGTCGTTTAGTGTCAAGAAGCTTGTTATTACCTGAGGAATACTCACAATCACAAATGTATCTTGAGGTTCAGAAAAAGCGACTTCCTGTGAGTTTTAAAGACTACTCAATCATTGACTAGCAGGGTACTATGGTGCACTGGTGGAGATAACTAAACTGTAATGCCTACAGAGACATTGTTAATATCTTGCTAATCATGCCTGTACTTAAATTGTCCCCTCTGCTGGCTTCCTTTCATGACCTCACTTCGGCAAGGGTCTCGTCTCACAAGTTGCAAAGTTGGGTGGGGGGTAAGTGGTTAAGGTGTTGGCTCATCAGGTGGGAGATCTGGGTTTGATTCTCCTCATGTGCTAAGCCCACTATGTCCAGGTTATGTTATATAGAGGGCTTAATGCTAAAAGAGTGTAACTCACTCAATCACTGAGTCTTCATTGTCAGTATTTGTACTTGATGTGTTGATATATGCAATACTGTAAATGTTTGAGGTGATGTGTAAATATCTCGCCAAACATGGTAATGGTCACTTACCCTGTCCATTGTCTGAGGGTTTGTGACACTATCTGCAAATCCTGACATAGTTATTTTTGTATCATTTTGTTTTGAGTTTAAAATGAGTTGTCACTGATCACATGTGTGTTTTATACATTTTGTGTACTTTTTGTGGGAGTATTTTTCAAGATGTGTACATTCCCTGGAATAAACTGTGATACCTCTAAATGTCTGGTGTTGCATCATTCAGATGGTTATTCCAGAGAGATAGAAAACAGAATATAATAATATGATTGTGGAATCTGATTGTACACTATGCAAATAGATGGGGGATCTAAGTGTTTATATGCAAATAGATGGGGGATCTAAGTGTTTATATGCAAATAGATGGGGGATCTAAGTGTTTATATTCAAATAGAGGGGGGATCTTAGTGTTTATATGCAAATAAGGTTTGTGGATCTGGTAGCAGAATTTCATTCTTAGTACATGGTTTGAAATAGTTTTCGAGAATTTAAGCCTCACTCACTCACTCACTCATTCATAAAGGGTTGGTTTTAGATATTGTTCATGTCCATTTGATAAAATGAGAACCCGAAAAATGAAAGCAAAACATTTTTTTTACATTTTATTAGATGAAAATATCTACAAATAAAGTGTTTTGACAGTTAAAAGATGAGTGATGTCATTCCTTCTTGTAATACTACATGAACTGGCCTTACAACTGGAATGTTCATGGTGGTCGTAGCTGTCATGTCGGTAATGGACCAACCATTTAATAATTGGGTGTTGGGGATTGTATGAAAAAAAATACACTGTCCTAGAAAATGCTTGAAAAAAAAGAAGTCTTCAGTCTGTAGAAAAAAGGATAGTGTCTGCAACAAAAGTACATTGTTGCAAGATTATTTTTTCAAAATCATTTAGGCTCATAGTCAAAATTAAAAAAATAATCTGGTTTTGCGGGTGTAGATGGAAAAATATCAAGTCTCCATACAAAATCCCACACGCCCACCCCTCGATGCTATGAAATGGTTGGTCCCTGGGGATAGAAGTAGTTGATTTGGTGTTTACAGAGTGTAGCCTGCCTGACTGGGTCACCGTACCGGTGGCTTGTTTGTTGTTCAGGCTATCAACGATTGATCTGCCCGGCACTCGCTTATATACAGGCTGCCATGATGTACCCGACTGCGACACAAGGTAACATTCATTCACTCGGTTGCCTTGCACTCGCTTATATACAGGCTGCCATGATGTACCTGACTGCGACACAAGGTAACATTCATTCACTCAGTTGCCTGGCACTCGCTTATATACAGGCTCCCATGATGTACCCGACTGCGACACAAGGTAACATTCATTCACTCGGTTGCCTGGCACTCGCTTATATACAGGCTCCCATGATGTACCCAACTGCGACACAAGGTAACATTCATTCACTCGGTTGCCTGGCACTCGCTTATATACAGGCTGCCATGATGTACCCGACTGCGACACAAGGTAACATTCATTCACTCGGTTGCCTGGCACTCGCTTATATACAGGCTCCCATGATGTACCTGACTGCGACACAAGGTAACATTCATTCACTCGGTAGCCCGGCACTCGGTTATATACAGGCTGCCATGATGTACCTGACTGCGACACAAGGTAACATTCATTCACTCGGTTGCCTGGCACTCGCTTATATACAGGCTCCCATGATGTACCTGACTGCGACACAAGGTAACATTCATTCCCTCTGTTGCCCGGCACTCGCTTATATACAGGCTGCCATGATGTACCTGACTGCGACACAAGGTAACATTCATTCACTCGGTTGCCTGGCACTCGCTTATATACAGGCTCCCATGATGTACCCGACTGCGACACAAGGTAACATTCATTCACTCGGTTGCCCGGCACTCGCTTATATACAGGCTGCCATGATGTACCTGACTGCGACACAAGGTAACATTCGCTCACTCGGTTGCCCGGCACTCGCTTATATACAGGCTGCCATGATGTACCTGACTGCGACACAAGGTAACATTCATTCACTCGGTTGCCTGGCACTCGCTTATATACAGGCTGCCATGATGTACCTGACTGCGACACAAGGTAACATTCATTCACTCGGTTGCCCGGCACTCGCTTATATACAGGCTGCCATGATGTACCTGACTGCGACACAAGGTAACATTCATTCACTCGGTTGCCTGACACTCGCTTATATACAGGCTGCCATGATGTACCTGACTGCGACACAAGGTAACATTCGCTCACTCGGTTGCCTGGCACTCGCTTATATACAGGCTGCCATGATGTACCCGACTGCGATACAAGGTAACATTCATTCACTCGGTTGCCTGACATTCGCTTATATACAGGCTGCCATGATGTACCCGACTGCGACACAAGGTAACATTCATTCACTCGGTTGCCTGGCACTCGCTTATATACAGGCTGCCATGATGTACCCGACTGCGACACAAGGTAACATTCATTCACTCGGTTGCCTGGCACTCGCTTATATACAGGCTGCCATGATGTACCCGACTGCGACACAAGGTAACATTCATTCACTCGGTTGCCTGGCACTCGCTTATATACAGGCTGCCATGATGTACCCGACTGCGACACAAGGTAACATTCATTCACTCGGTTGCCTGGCACTCGCTTATATACAGGCTGCCATGATGTACCCGACTGCGACACAAGGTAACATTCGCTCACTCGGTTGCCCGGCACTCGCTTACATACAGGCTGCCATGATGTACCCGACTGCGACACAAGGTAACATTCATTCACTCGGTTGCCCGGCACTCGCTTATATACAGGCTGCCATGATGTACCCGACCGCGACAAAAGGTAACATTCATTCACTCGGTTGCCCGGCACTCGCTTACATACAGGCTGCCATGATGTACCCGACTGCGACACAAGGTAACATTCATTCACTCGGTTGCCTGGCACTCGCTTATATACAGGCTCCCATGATGTACCCGACTGCGACACAAGGTAACATTCATTCACTCGGTTGCCTGACATTCGCTTATATACAGGCTGCCATGATGTACCCGACTGCGACACAAGGTAACATTCATTCACTCGGTTGCCCGGCACTCGCTTATATACAGGCTGCCATGATGTACCCGACTGCGACACAAGGTAACATTCATTCACTCGGTTGCCTGACATTCGCTTATATACAGGCTGCCATGATGTACCCGACTGCGATACAAGGTAACATTCATTCACTCGGTTGCCTGGCACTCGCTTATATACAGGCTGCCATGATGTACCTGACTGCGACACAAGGTAACATTCATTCACTCGGTTGCCTGGCACTCGCTTATATACAGGCTGCCATGATGTACCTGACTGCGACACAAGGTAACATTCATTCACTCGGTTGCCTGGCACTCGCTTATATACAGGCTGCCATGATGTACCTGACTGCGACAAAAGGTAACATTCATTCACTCAGTTGCCTGGCACTCGCTTATATACAGGCTCCCATGATGTACCCGACCGCGACAAAAGGTAACATTCATTCACTCGGTTGCCTGACATTCGCTTATATACAGGCTGCCATGATGTACCCGACTGCGACACAAGGTAACATTCATTCACTCGGTTGCCTGGCACTCGCTTATATACAGGCTGCCATGATGTACCTGACTGCGACACAAGGTAACATTCATTCACTCGGTTGCCTGGCACTCGCTTATATACAGGCTGCCATGATGTACCCGACTGCGACACAAGGTAACATTCATTCACTCGGTTGCCTGGCACTCGCTTATATACAGGCTGCCATGATGTACCTGACTGCGACACAAGGTAACATTCATTCACTCGGTTGCCTGGCACTCGCTTATATACAGGCTGCCATGATGTACCTGACTGCGACACAAGGTAACATTCATTCACTCGGTTGCCTGACACTCGCTTATATACAGGCTGCCATGATGTACCTGACTGCGACACAAGGTAACATTCGCTCACTCGGTTGCCCGGCACTCGCTTATATACAGGCTGCCATGATGTACCTGACTGCGACACAAGGTAACATTCATTCACTCGGTTGCCTGACATTCGCTTATATACAGGCTGCCATGATGTACCTGACTGCGACACAAGGTAACATTCATTCACTCGGTTGCCTGGCACTCGCTTATATACAGGCTGCCATGATGTACCCGACTGCGACACAAGGTAACATTCATTCACTCGGTTGCCTGGCACTCGCTTATATACAGGCTGCCATGATGTACCCGACTGCGACACAAGGTAACATTCATTCACTCGGTTGCCCGGCACTCGCTTATATACAGGCTGCCATGATGTACCCGACTGCGACACAAGGTAACATTCATTCACTCGGTTGCCTGATATTCGCTTATATACAGGCTCCCATGATGTACCCGACTGCGACACAAGGTAACATTCATTCACTCGGTTGCCTGGCACTCGCTTATATACAGGCTGCCATGATGTACCCGACTGCGACACAAGGTAACATTCATTCACTCGGTTGCCTGGCACTCGCTTATATACAGGCTGCCATGATGTACCCGACTGCGACACAAGGTAACATTCATTCACTCGGTTGCCTGATATTCGCTTATATACAGGCTCCCATGATGTACCCGACTGCGACACAAGGTAACATTCATTCACTCGGTTGCCTGGCACTCGCTTATATACAGGCTCCCATGATGTACCTGACTGCGACACAAGGTAACATTCATTCACTCGGTTGCCCGGCACTCGCTTATATACAGGCTCCCATGATGTACCCGACTGCGACACAAGGTAACATTCATTCACTCGGTTGCCTGGCACTCGCTTATATACAGGCTGCCATGATGTACCTGACTGCGACACAAGGTAACATTCATTCACTCGGTTGCCCGGCACTCGCTTATATACAGGCTCCCATGATGTACCCGACTGCGACACAAGGTAACATTCATTCACTCGGTTGCCTGATATTCGCTTATATACAGGCTGCCATGATGTACCCGACTGCGACACAAGGTAACATTCATTCACTCGGTTGCCTGATATTCGCTTATATACAGGCTTCCATGATGTACCCGACTGCGACACAAGGTAACATTCATTCACTCGGTTGCCTGGCACTCGCTTATATACAGGCTCCCATGATGTACCCGACTGCGACACAAGGTAACATTCATTCACTCGGTTGCCTGGCACTCGCTTATATACAGGCTGCCATGATGTACCCGACTGCGACACAAGGTAACATTCATTCACTCGGTTGCCTGGCACTCGCTTATATACAGGCTGCCATGATGTACCCGACTGCGACACAAGGTAACATTCATTCACTCGGTTGCCTGGCACTCGCTTATATACAGGCTGCCATGATGTACCCGACTGCGATACAAGGTAACATTCATTCACTCGGTTGCCTGGCACTCGCTTATATACAGGCTGCCATGATGTACCCGACTGCGACACAAGGTAACATTCATTCACTCGGTTGCCTGGCACTCGCTTATATACAGGCTCCCATGATGTACCCGACTGCGACACAAGGTAACATTCATTCACTCGGTTGCCTGACATTCGCTTATATACAGGCTGCCATGATGTACCCGACTGCGACACAAGGTAACATTCATTCACTCGGTTGCCTGGCACTCGCTTATATACAGGCTGCCATGATGTACCCGACTGCGACACAAGGTAACATTCATTCACTCGGTTGCCTGGCACTCGCTTATATACAGGCTGCCATGATGTACCCGACTGCGACACAAGGTAACATTCATTCACTCGGTTGCCTGGCACTCGCTTATATACAGGCTGCCATGATGTACCTGACTGCGACACAAGGTAACATTCATTCACTCGGTTGCCTGGCACTCGCTTATATACAGGCTGCCATGATGTACCTGACTGCGACAAAAGGTAACATTCATTCACTCGGTTGCCTGGCACTCGCTTATATACAGGCTCCCATGATGTACCCGACCGCGACAAAAGGTAACATTCATTCACTCGGTTGCCTGACATTCGCTTATATACAGGCTGCCATGATGTACCCGACTGCGATACAAGGTAACATTCATTCACTCGGTTGCCTGGCACTCGCTTATATACAGGCTGCCATGATGTACCCGACTGCGACACAAGGTAACATTCATTCACTCGGTTGCCTGACACTCGCTTATATACAGGCTCCCATGATGTACCCGACTGCGACAAAAGGTAACATTCGCACACTCGGTTGCCTGAGATTCGCTTGTATACAGTCTGCCAGGATATGAATAATTACAGCACAAGGTAGCATTCATTCACTTGGTTGCACAAGAAAACGGTAAGCATATAGTATAAAGACACGTCTCCATACGTCGTCTGAAGCAGGGTACAGCACTAAAACTAAGGACATGAAGCTATAAATCCCATACACGTTTTGACACATTAAACACACATGAACTACATTGTAATGTTTCTCGGATGAAAATATGAATAATTTACTTTCGTGAATAAAGTCTGAAAAATAATAGCGTCCGTTTGAAATAGGTTCATAGTAGACTGAAATATTTCATCCTTGGTTGCATTTAAAACAAGTACATCCGTGGGTTATTTTCAGGAGCGTCCAGAAAAGATCAAACTAAACTTGAACTTGATCCATCTTAAAGATTTGTTATTACCAACTGAGTTACATGAGCTAACATGTTTACATTCAAAATATACATGCATCACGTCTTCAGCCAGCCTCTAGTTCACAGAATACATGTTCCAGTTTCACCCTTAACAGATCTCTCGGTGAAATGTCTGTGCACAAATTTGTATTCGTATCTTTAGTATTGCACTAAAATATTTTCTCCCGATTATTTATTTTGGTTAAAGGACAGAATCGCACTTTCCAAAGACGATGGGAATTCTCACCTTGCAGTTTTTGATTTGATGTCTTATTTTTGACCGGTCGAGAATCTTTCTATTTTATTCAAGACTAGCTCCCTTTGGGCATTTCCTGAAGGTCTTGGAAAAACAATATACCATCGGAGATGCAACTGTCCCTATTCAGTGGTGATTTCCTTGTCCAGTTAATGGTTATTCGAGTCTACGGCCTTAGTCTGGTCATTTTTCATTTTCGTATGGCAATGTATTTCCGCAACATAGGAAAGGAAATACAGACACTCAATACGCCAAAAATAACATATGTCCCCCTTACACACCACATACATTATGACGGTAACAAAGACTGATACCCGTGAAGCATATCCTGTATAGGCACATACATGATACACATGACTTGTGGTTAAAATGATAATTCCATATCGCTACCATGGCGACAATTCTTAAAATATTTTCAGGAAACCCATTTGCCGACATCTAATAGACAAAATCTTGTGAGAACAGTTCAGAGATCGATATTAAAAAGGTTCATTTGCATGAACCTAGAGGTTTCAGAGGACATGTGAAATACATTTATGGGATTGTGACAAGTTCATGAAAGGTATTAGTAATCAGCAGATACAACTGGTACGCAAATTGCATACTAAACAAAAGTTCATGGTTAAGTATTGAAAGATCTCCCAATGGCCATGTCCTAACCAGTCCATGCATTCCAACAAGGTGCAGGTCATTCCAGAACTTCCCCAGTGGTCAGCTGAGTACAGGGGTCACTTCAGTCTGACCCCCCAGTCACCCACAGACCAGCTGACCATGGGGCTGGGACGTTTGCACTGAAATACAACAGTTGTACATTTATAAATTTTTCATTTAGATAACTGCTACGTGATAGGCTTGGTTATATGTATCGATTCTTGTGGCATTAAGATTATCGACCAGAATTTAAACATGTATGTGCAATCTGCAATATGCCAGCTCTATCATGGCGACCTGTAAATTATCAAGTCAGATCGATGTTGTGAGCAACGATCCACCATCGGGTTATGATGACGCGCAATCAACCAAGTCACCGACCCTGACCAACCAATCCAAACTCAGGACCTACTCTAACCCACAGAAATATGTAACATGTGAACAGAATTCGACAGCAAATAAACTGCCGAGTTTAAAGTAAAATTGCTATGAACACTAACTTGTCTCTTGGACAGCTACACGATGAGGACGTCGTTGGTTTAAGATCATGGTGGTAAAAGTCCTGAGAGCCACGAGGAGCATTCCTATCAGCAGAACACACGCCAACATCTCGGCCACTTGGAGATTAGATCCTACAAACAGAAGTCAAACGTAAAGGGACCGACCGTTAATGTTAAATGTTCTGGAGCTAAAGGGCTGTGTGTTGGAGGGGTGGGGTGTTTGTGGATGTGTGTGAGGGGGAGAGAATAGTGGTTGAAAAACCTGAGGTTTGTTCCAGTTTATTGTATAGTGATAACCTGATTACTGTTGAACTGAACAACTTAGAGTGTCATGGATTATTTATCCAACAAGGTATATGGACTATTTGTTCTATGTGCGATTGTTATTAGTGTTTTATTTAGAAAGAGTCCTCATTTTTAAAGCCCTGGGCCAGCTCTGATGGCAATACCAACCGTCGGGGTTAGAGGATACTCTAAATCCGGGTTTGTATTACCAACATCACAGACAGTCTTTCCAGACAACCAACCCCACAGCCAGTCGACCCAGACAACCAACCCCATAGACAGTCTACCCAGACAACCAACATCACAGACAGTCTACCCAAACAACCAACCCCACAGACAGTCTACCCAGTCAACCAACCCCACAGACAGTCGACCCAGACAACCAACCCCATAGACAGTCTACCCAGACAACCAACCCCATAGACAGTCTACCCAGACAACCAACCCCACAGTCAGTCTACCCAGACAACCAACCCCATAGACAGTCTACCCAGACAACCAACATCACAGACAGTCTACCCAAACAACCAACCCCACAGACAGTCTACCCAGTCAACCAACCCCACAGACAGTCGACCCAGACAACCAACCCCATAGACAGTCTACCCAGACAACCAACCCCATAGACAGTCTACCCAGACAACCAACCCCACAGTCAGTCTACCCAGACAACCAACCCCACAGACAGTCTACCCAGACAACCAACCCCACAGACAGTCTACCCATACAACCACCCCCATAGACAGTCTACCCAGACAACCAACCCCACAGACAGTCTACCCAGACAACCAACCCCACAGACAGTCTACACAGACAACCAACCCCACAGCGGTCTACCCAGACAACCAACACCACAGCCAGTCTACCCCGACAACCAACCCCATAGACGGTCTACCCAGACAACCAACACCACAGACAGTCTACCTTGACAACCAACCCCACAGACAGTCTACCTTGACAACCAACCCCATAGACAGTCTACCCAGACAACCAACCCCACAGACAGTCTACCCAGACAACCACCCCCACAGTCTACCCAGACAACCAACCCCACAGACAGTCTATCCAGACAACCAACACCACAGACAGTCTACCCAGACAACCAACCCCACAGACAGTCTACCCAGACAACCACCCCCATAGACAGTCTACCTTGACAACCAACCCCACAGACAGTCTACCCAGACAACCACCCCCACAGACAGTCTACCCAGACAACCAACCCCACAGACAGTCTATCCAGACAACCAACACCACAGACAGTCTACACAGACAACCAACACCACAGTCTACCCAGACAACCAGCCCCACAGACAGTCTACCCAGACAACCAACCCCACAGACAGTCTACCCAGACAACCAACTCACAGACAGTCTACCCAGACAACCAACACCACAGACAATCTACCAAGACAACCAGCCCCACAGACATTCTACCCAGACAACCAACCCCACAGACAGTCTACCCAGACAACCAACCCCACAGACAGTCTACCCAGACAACCAGCCCCACAGACAGCCTACCCAGACAACCAACCCCACAGACAGTCTACCCAGACAACCAACCCAGAAGACAGTCTACCCAGACAACCAACCCCACAGACATTCTACCCAGAGAACCAACACCACAGACAGTCTTTCCAGACAACCAACACCACAGAAAGTCTACCCAAACAACCAACCCCACAGACAGTCTACCCAGTCAACCAACCCCACAGACAGTCGACCCAGACAACCAACCCCATAGACAGTCTACCCAGACAACCAACCCCATAGACAGTCTACCCAGACAACCAACCCCACAGTCAGTCTACCCAGACAACCAACCCCACAGACAGTCTACCCAGACAACCAACCCCACAGACAGTCTACCCATACAACCACCCCCATAGACAGTCTACCCAGACAACCAACACCACAGACAGTCTACCCAGACAACCAACCTCATAGACGGTCTACCCAGACAACCAACACCACAGACAATCTACCAAGACAACCAACCCCATAGACAGTCTACCCAGACAACCAACCCCACAGACAGTCTACCCAGACAACCACCCCCACAGTCTACCCAGACAACCAACCCCACAGACAGTCTATCCAGACAACCAACACCACAGACAGTCTACCCAGACAACCAACCCCACAGACAGTCTACCCAGACAACCACCCCCATAGACAGTCTACCTTGACAACCAACCCCACAGACAGTCTACCCAGACAACCACCCCCACAGACAGTCTACCCAGACAACCAACCCCACAGACAGTCTATCCAGACAACCAACACCACAGACAGTCTACACAGACAACCAACACCACAGTCTACCCAGACAACCAGCCCCACAGACAGTCTACCCAGACAACCAACCCCACAGACAGTCTACCCAGACAACCAACTCACAGACAGTCTACCCAGACAACCAACACCACAGACAATCTACCAAGACAACCAGCCCCACAGACATTCTACCCAGACAACCAACCCCACAGACAGTCTACCCAGACAACCAACCCCACAGACAGTCTACCCAGACAACCAGCCCCACAGACAGCCTACCCAGACAACCAACCCCACAGACAGTCTACCCAGACAACCAACCCAGAAGACAGTCTACCCAGACAACCAACCCCACAGACATTCTACCCAGAGAACCAACACCACAGACAGTCTTTCCAGACAACCAACACCACAGAAAGTCTACCCAAACAACCAACCCCACAGACAGTCTACCCAGTCAACCAACCCCACAGACAGTCGACCCAGACAACCAACCCCATAGACAGTCTACCCAGACAACCAACCCCATAGACAGTCTACCCAGACAACCAACCCCACAGTCAGTCTACCCAGACAACCAACCCCACAGACAGTCTACCCAGACAACCAACCCCACAGACAGTCTACCCATACAACCACCCCCATAGACAGTCTACCCAGACAACCAACACCACAGACAGTCTACCCAGACAACCAACCTCATAGACGGTCTACCCAGACAACCAACACCACAGACAATCTACCAAGACAACCAACCCCATAGACAGTCTACCCAGACAACCAACCCCACAGACAGTCGACCCAGACAACCAACCCCATAGACAGTCTACCCAGACAACCAACCCCATAGACAGTCTACCCAGACAACCAACCCCACAGTCAGTCTACCCAGACAACCAACACCACAGACAGTGTACCCATACAACCACCCCCATAGACAGTCTACCCATACAACCATCACCGTAAACATTATGTCCAGACAACAGCTAACGGCTTTTAAGCTTCTTAAACAAACGTTATTATATCTATCTAATCGGTGTGACGACCGACTATTGTTTTCGGATCTGGCAATTCCAAACCCACAAATAGCATGTCGAATTCAAAACGAAACTGCGTGTTTTGTGACATGTTATCGCGTATCGGGATGTGAGATATTCCATTACAAGGATATTTATTGGTCGAAAGTACTTGTAACGGACAGTCATTTTTTTTATATTTATTCAGTGAACCAAAGGACAGAACCAGCTTTCTCTTGCCGAGAAATCAACCCATTATGTGATAAACGATGTTACATATGTGCTCCTTAAGCATGTACGAATCGATAACCTAGATTGTATATGGAACTGATTTACTAGCTGACATAGTTTAAAACTCGATGACATTAATGGAACACATTGTACACATGTGATCCTACCGATGGTTTGTTTAACCTGTATAGGGGCGGTAGGGTAGCCTAGTGGTTAAAGCGTTCGCTCGCCACGCCGAAGACCCGCTTCGATCACACACACACCCCTGTAATAATATTAAAAGGCGTAAAACCATACACACTCACTCACTTGTACCTGTATAATTCAGTTTAAGTTTTGTTTCCATGGCAAGCGTGATGTAAAGGCTTTGGTAACTTATGTATTAAGTTAACATACATTCTGAAATAAGAGATTCAGTGTGAGGCAGGTGAGACATGAACTAGAATAAAATATTTGCTGATTATCTTTAAGAGTTTTGTGTCGCCACACGAGATATCCCACTTTTAGTGTTCGAAGGGTTAGTATGGGTAGATATAAGGGTGGTTTGAATAGGTTAACTTACACCAACAACTATACGGTGTCTGGAACTCAGCATAGGAGGATACTGTTCCTACCTGTCTTTTACAAAGCAGTTGTCCCCTAGATGCGAAATCGTAGTTATGTACTGCGTTAACTATCCCACTGGCCAGTAATACATGCACTGTATTCACATATTCGACGCAACACCGTGTACCGTGTGGTACAATTTATACAAGATAAATTAATAATTGATGCATACATGAAAAAGTATCAACAACATACCTCTGCTCGAAAGATTGTTTCCTGACTTCAATTTGTGACTCCAAACAGTGTATTGTAATCTATTAACGCAAACACGTTTGTGACATCATATATTTCTGTGTCCATTGTGTGCATAAATGGGTGAGGACACACAAAAGTATGTATCCAGCCTACTTGTTTATAAGTGACACAAATCTACTTAAATTCGAGCAATGAAATGAGTCAAGTGTTAGTTCATGGAGTCAAATGAATCCTATTCCAAGCATGATTTTTATGCCGACCCTAGTGTTGCCTGATAATGAAGCTATGTGCAGACAGATGACCACAGTTTCCAAGCTTGCAGCAGGTTGCGCGACACATAGCGTTGTTGTGCGATGTAATCCGAGTGCTCATTGGTCACTTGCTGGTTTACCAGGACATAGCTCAAATCGTTGGTTAAAAATAGCGACTACACCGCATTGCTATGCGACCTTATGTATTCACAGGTAATGGAGAAATGTGTACTGCATGCAAACCGGTACATAATTTTTTATGCATTGCTGATGGGAATTTAAAAAAAAAATCGTGACCAATGCTGGCATTACCACTCACCCCTCTCTTAAGGGGAGATGGAAGAACGTAGTGTATACAGACCCATGAAGTATTGACGATGCTGTTTGGCATGGATCAGACCAAGGCATATCTGCCAAAGTACTCCCCCTCCCTGGTCATTTGTTAGAACTCCTCATCAGCAACCCATACTTGTCAGAGTGAGTGAGTGAGTATGGTTTTACGCAGCTTTTAGCAATATTCCTGCAATATCACGGCGGGGGACACCAGAAATGGGCTTCACACATTGTACCCATGTCGGGAATCGAACCCGGGTGTTCGGCCTGACGAGCTAACGCTTTAACCACTAGGCTACCCGACCGCCCCCATACTTGTCAGAAGAGGCGACTAACAGGTTCACACGGTCAGGCTCACTGACTTGGTTTGATGCATGTCATTGTATCCAAGTTGTGTAGTTTGATCATCATGACGTCAATCACTGGATTGTCTGGTTCAGACTTGATTATTTACAGACCGCCTCATATAAACAACAAAACAACCAAAGTACCATGCTCTAGCTGAGGCAACAGACAACAGACGAGGCATGTCAATGATATTAACAACACAGTTTAATGACGGAGCGATGGATCCACAGCGGACTGCAGTGACAGCAAGGAAATCAGTGTCAATGACATGCCAAAGATCGGCAGCAACAATGTTATGTACAACTCATCGATTTCTATACACATTTTTATACAAAATTCATACAAAGCCAGTGATTTGCGACAACACTGGCAGTAAGCGTGTTATTTACAATGTACAATAAGAGGAATTTACAAGGAGGAAATTAAAATTACAAAAGATGAAAAATGAATTTTGAAGATTTTTTTCAAACCCCTTGCTTCTTTTGTAAATTTGTCACCTGTAGTCCCCTTAATTTTTCAATTGACAAATAAACAATTATTAACCCTTAAAATGAATTCCAAGCTCAAATACCCCTACCCATTAATGCAATGAGAACCATATAGTAACAAAACATAACAGTTGTATTGTTGCTTATAATAATTTAACTTTTGTTAAATTCTTTAAGAAACTTATGTGTCGTTGTCACACAACCGAGTGACCAAGTTAAGAGTTCAATGCCATTTCTCAGTACTACAAACACTCTACACAGCTTGCCCTGGGCAGGCCTTGATGATTTATCTGAATCTAGGAGACGAAAGGAATCATTCTGCTGCCTGCCCATCACACAGGCACACACTAAACATTCACCCGTTAATATTTGATATTAGTCGAAACTTTCAGTAAAACAAAACGAACCAAACGAACTACGTTGAAAATGTAGGACAAATATATAGTTGATTGCAGCAAATGTGCAAAATGAAATTACTTCCAACTAATGAAATCGTGTACTGACTGACATTGAAGCATAGCAATACACCCTACTGATGCAGCCTTGGCTAGCATATCTACAGCAAGATGACAAATCTGGTAAAGGGAACAAATACCCCCAAATTACAAACTCTCCTTAACGTGAAATACAATAGAAAAATCCTGTAAAAAATTACTAACACCTGATCAAAAATACACAGCTTTACTAAATACATGAATTCAAATATATATCTTATTAACACTGATCAGACCAACTGAAAAATCCCATGGTGGCTATATAAACAGGGAAATATGTAATGATGGACATGAAAGACAGGATGTATGATGGGCTACGATGCTAACAGTAGTGATAATAGTGTACAAGAATGATGGTTACACAGGGTTGTCTCCCCTTGTCAGGCCATCTTACACAAGACAGGTCACCAAGAGCTTAGTCATTGATCTTTGTGAGCATATACCACTCAACATTTGCTAAGGACCACACCTTCGACTAAAGATGTCTCTTTTGGTCCTCAATAAATGTTGAGTAGTATACAACAAATACCAATATATTGTGAAAGTTTGAGAAGAGTTGAGCTACCATTGAACATATCCCTACACTGAGAGTTGTGTCACAAAGGAATGTTAATGACTTTTAATGGCAACTGAACTACCGTATTCGACGTAATAAGCGCCCCGCTCTAATAAGCGCCCACAGCGATATTTGCTAATATATTGGCTAGTGAACAATCCCAATAAGCACTCCTTCTTATTGATCAATGTACACAAGACTTATTTATTTGCGTATACCACGCACCTGTGTGTTATATGCACCCTTAATTATGGGCAATTAAATTCTGGAAAAATATATCTGTTGTATATAAACATATCAGGCTGTCACCATAAATCATGAAATTTATCTTTCCACACTGTTTTTTTCACCAAAATAATATTCTAATAAGAGCTCCCTATTTCTAATTTTGAGAGCGCCCTGGGCACTTATTACATCGAATACGGTATTTCAGGATCACATCCAAACAAACTAAAACGCAATCACCTGTGGTATTTTGTACCAAATCTAAAGTCAATCCTTGGCCATAAGAAACAACTCTCTGAATTTCGTGTTTTCTGCCTCCCTTTGTCCAACCTCCAGCATGTAAAATGGCCTCCCAACAGGGTCACATGGCAGTGACTGATATGCTTGAAAGACATGTCAAACGTCATAAATGAGCAAAGTGAGCGTCCGTAATGACCATGGGACGATTTTCTACAACATCAAATACATTGTGTATCCCGCATCAGAACTTGCATTTCCATTGGTTGAAACCTATAGCCAATGGAGAACAGAAAGCAACAGTTTGCGACTTTACAAAGAACAATTTAGCTGACAAAACTAGTGGTTTTTGCTAAGAGAAGACTGTATCCAAACGCTTCATATCATCAAACACTGGGACCAAATAGAACAAGCTGAGAATTTCTAGATGACTATATATAGATTAGAGTTGTACAGATCACAGTTTAGACATTGAGATGAATACTGATGGGGTTCCTGCTAAGATAAATGTCAAACACATATACTCATCCATTCCTACAGCTGCACACAGCTGGGATCCTCCAACCAACTTGTACACCCTGTAGCCTACAGCTGTATATAGCTGGGACCATACACACTCTCCTGCCCAGTGTAGTCCACATCGACACTACAGCTTGGACCACACACCCACACTGTGTAGCTTACAGCTGTATATAGCTGGGACCATACACACTCTCCTGCCCAGTGTAGTCCACATCGACACTACAGCTTGGACCACACACGCACACTTCTACACTGTGTAGTCTACAGCTGTATAAAGCTGGGACCACACCCACTCCTACCCCAGTGTAGTCCCCATCGACACTACAGCTGAGACCACACACACACACTGTGTAGCTTACAGCTAGGACCACATACTCACACACCCACACCCACTCCTACAGCTCGACAGCTGGGACCAAGGGCCTTGTACCACAAAGCGATCTTCATGTCACAACTATCACTATCAGAACTCTTATACTTAAGAAATGTGTACCCAATGCAGAGAGGGTGTTCTAAGAAAACAAAATACAGACATAAAAACACATCAAAGCCCTAGCTCTGTTAACCCATATTCAATTATTTGGGTGTTCGCTATAGTATTTTAAGTACATTTTGCCATACAGTGGGATGTAACATGTAAGAAAGCCTCTGCAAGTTACCTGTACGTTACTTTCATTTGCAAACGAGTCAATTCAATATTAAGCATTTTACACATTTATCTGGCTACCAACAAAAGAAGCTGTCATTTTTCTTAACTAATAAAAGACATTAACCATCCCACAACTAGCATATATGTATCTTTCTTGTCCCAGCTGGCATTTTGTCTGCAGACAAACCTACACCACACACGTCTTCAAACCTGAACCACAAGGTTGATCATGAAATGCAATTTTAAGTCTCTGAAACATGACCTTTGAACCTGATATAAATAGTCATGAAAAAAGGACAATCAGCACCAAACACGTTAAAACATTAAGTCGTACATAAGACTCAAGTTGAAAAAATAGTTTGACACAATATAGTCAGTCCCTTGATTAAAAAAAACGAACTACATGTACTTTGAAATCAAAACTGAGTGGTGTAATGTTTTCTATACAAATGACATACTTACAAGCACTTCACAAAAGGATTTACAATATTCACAGTATGTATACAGTACACAAAAGGAGTCTTGCAACATTTCATGGGAGCCTCCTCGTATTACGCATATTGAACAATTATGACTTAATTTGTGCATGTCTTTAGCTGCAAGCCTATCCAACTGTACGTAGATTATGAACGGACCATTTATTAAAAAATATCAAGCATATGGAATAAAGTGAGACAAGGGGTTTGAAGCAGCATACCTTGAGGTAAAGAAGCAATATTTCCTATTTCTATAAATGAATTCCACTTTTCCATCCATCAACTTTTTACATGATGTGTAATGTAAAACTTCTGATTCAGCATTAATAAGTAACCACTCTTGATCATAAAGATTATCCTTCATCAAATGTTATTCTGCTATAAAGAGAAAAAGTAAAGATCATCAAAGACATTGCTAACAGTTAACTTAAAATCCTACGGATACTCATTTGCAAATGGCTCTGAATTGGTAAAAAAAGCTTGTCAATAACATTTCAATGAGACAACTTGATATACATCCCTTGTTGACCAATCACAGACAGCGTAACTCTGTATCATGGCAAGCTGACCACTGAAAATGTCCGAAACACACACACCACTGAGATCAAGATAATGCCACCTACAACTGCTTGTACAGGAAGTCCAAGCAAAACACACTCAGTTCCTATTCCCACTAAATCTGTTCAAGAAATCCTATCCAGCACTGTGCTATCACATTTGATTTGTCAATGTCAACCACGTATCCACATGTGAATGTTGACCATCCTTCAAAGCGTCTTCAAAACGGTCGACCAATTCACATGAGCAAAGACCTGAACGATATACTTCTAAAGACTTTTGGAATGTTTGGCCACACGCAACAATCCTCCGAGAAAATAATTTACATCTCCAGCACTTCCAGAAGTCGTGTGTCCAGCACATCATTGCATCCCATACGAAGTCCCATACTGTCATGGATGATTCCTCACAAGGTCTTCGCCAACACATTATGTACATCTTATACAAAATATATCTCCACTGTACAACCAGGACCACGCTGACGAGGTCCCGTCTCCAATCCTCTTAAGAACACCCAGCACTTCATATGAACAGCAACAAGCTTGTGGTTTGGTTTCGTTTCTGACAGTAGAATACGCTCCATGTTGAAAATATTGGAATAATACACAATCTCTCGCGGATGTACAACCACAGTTATTAAGCACCTTTGAAACAACATACTAGTTAACAGTAAAATAGATTACAAATCTAGAGTGTTTTTCCTCTCCTGAAGGGAAGCTTTCCTCTGGACGGGCAGTTTTTCAGCAGAACTTGGGTGCAGCCTGTCCGGGGACAATGCCCTCCTCAGTAACGGGGAACTAGGCTCACAGCTCTTCGGCCTTGTCAGGGTTTTCTTCGTGGTCGGGGTAGAGGTCTGTCCCCCGCAGGTCGGGTTCAGATAGGAGGGGATGGTCTGTTGAGGCATGTTGGAGCTTCCCACCTGATGCCCATGAACACATGCTAGGGGGGAGGGGCTGCGCGCCGGGGAAGAGGCAAGGGGGGAGGGAGAGGGAGTGCGAGCGAGGGGTGAGAGGGGGATATTATGAACTGACTTTCTCCTGTGAGGAGATTTGAGGCTCTGTGACTTCTTATGCTTGTTGACGACGTGCAAGGAGCTGGGTCGGCCAAAATGGGCTGTGTTGGCCGGCGAGTTTGGAGCACTCGAGCCAGGGGAACTGCTGTTGGAGCTCATATTGGCTGAAGTGTCAGGAGTCCAGGGAATTGTGAGGGGAGGCGATCGCCCCGATTTTGGAGGCGGGGTGCAGTCACTGGATGAATGAGCTCGGAATCCTCCCAGAGCCCGGGATGGTGTTCCTGGTGAACCTGGATGGGCCATGTGGCCTTCTGCTTTCTTAGAGCTGAGTCGTCTCAGGAGTGACCTCCCAGTCTTCTTCTTGTCACCCTTGTCTCGCTGTCTCTTCTTCAGCGATCTTCGCGCCATCTTTCCAGGATGTGACCCCTTCTTGCGAGCACCGGTTCTGATGGAGGTGTTCTCGATGGGTGTGCTGCGGATGTAGAAGACATTGCCGCTGCTCATGAGCTGCACGACCTGCGTGTGGAACAGGTTCTCCACCAGAGTGTCGTTGATGTGGGTGATCAGATCACCGGGCCGAAGTCCTGCCTCAAAAGCTGGACTGTTGATAATCACATCCTGTAACAAACATACAGCTTTCATTAATTTCAGATGACAAGTATCATGTGGTATGATACACAAATTGACCGTCTATGGATGAGAGTCATTCTCCCAAAACATGTAGATCTAAGTTAAAACCAAGCTTGTCAGATCCAACAGAAACTCTCTATACGAGGACCCTCATCTAGAGTGAGTGAGTATGGTTTTACGCCGCTTTTAGCATTATTCCAGCAATATCACGGCGGGGGACACCAGAAATGGGCTTCACACATTGTAGCCATGTCGGGAATCGAACCCCGGTCTTCGGCCTGACGAGTGAACGCTTTAACCACCAGGCTACCTGACCGCCCCCCTCATCTAGAAATATATATGGACATCATCAAGCTATTGTGTGGCTTAACAGTATCGGCTTCAAAATAATAACATAGTTTGATCATTCCTGTGTCGGTATTACATAGAAGGGATAGCAGTTAAAGAGTGTCTTTGCTCCAGTCTGATGAGAATGTTAGATAGTATATCCTTGTTTCTTGGGCACTGTCGATCATATTGCCGTTTAAACTTATTTAAATTTGCTGGGTCTGCGAATTTGACCAGAACAGCTCCTCCTTTATAAATTCTTCAAGTCAGACTTCCATTTCTGATTATTCACAAGGGTGATTGAACTCCACTACTCAGTCATTGATTGGAATATTTATATCTTTCCATGATACACTAAAATGATTCTCATGTCAAGTTGGGCGGTCGGGTAGCCTAGTGGTTAAAGCGTTCGCTCGTCACGCCAAAGACCCGGGTTCGATTCCCGACATGGGTACAATGTGTGAAGCCCATTTCTGGTGTCCCCAAACGTGATATTGCTGGAATATTGCTAAAAGCAGCATAAAACCATACTCACTCACGTCAAGTTTATACTTAAATATATATGAGTATCTCTATCAAAAGAAACATCGAGGTAGATCCTTTCTATTTTAGTCTCACAGATCCATTTTGGGAACACAGGTGAAATCCCAAACCTGGAGGCCCATGTTTGACAAACCCTGGTTCCACCTTGACATCCATCTGGTTTCATCCACTTACCGTGACGATGTGTTGAATGGTGTAGACATCAGTATTGCCGATGTACACTCGGATAGACTGGAAGTTGAAGCCAAATCCACGAGCACCTCTCTTGACAACAACTGGTGGTTTGAGGCTGCGTGCAATGGGGGAGGAGTCGCGGTTTGGGGAGCCATCACGGGAGCTGGTGCTGGATCCTGACCCCCCAGGGGAGGCAACCGTGGTTGGAATGCTGAAGTCTGGGGAGGAACACAGTTACTATTATGATATCAGACACAATATTTACCAATGATTATGTTACGGATTATATTCTTAAATCATTGTGTCTGCAGTCAAAAGATAATAATAAATTCCAATACATTTCTTTTAGGGGAATTAAATTGCTTGGAGTGTCTCATTGAATGGAAAATCAACAAACTGTTTTCCTTCCTGTTTCAAACAACTTTGAAGGATTATTTATTACAGAAACTTGTCAAAGCTTTTAACATGTTCGTTGGGAGGGAAAAGGACTGTTCTCAAAATCTTTTTTATTTATCATGATCTTATACTTTACTCAAACAGTGTGTGTCTGGCGTGTGTGAGTGTGTGGTGTGTGAATAAGTGTGTGTATGTCATGTCTCAGTGTGTGGTGTGAGAGAGTGTGTGTGATGTGAGAGTGTGTGTGGTGTGAGAGTGTGTGCATGTCATATCTCAGTGTGTGGTGTGAGAGAGTGTGTGTGTGTGTGCATGTCATGTCTCAGTGTGTGATGTGACAGTGTGTGTGTGTGTGTGCATGTCATGTCTCAGTGTGTGATGTGACAGTGTGTGTGTGTGTGCATGTCATGTCTCAGTGTGTGTGATGTGACAGTGTGTGTGTGTGCATGTCATGTCTCAGTGTGTGATGTGACAGTGTGTGTGTGTGTGCATGTCATGTCTCAGTGTGTGTGATGTGACAGTGTGTGTGTGTGCATGTCATGTCTCAGTGTGTGATGTGACAGTGTGTGTGTGTGTGTGCATGTCATGTCTCAGTGTGTGTGATGTGACTGTGTGTGTGTGCATGTCATGTCTCAGTGTGTGATGTGACAGTGTGTGTGTGTGCATGTCATGTCTCAGTGTGTGTGATGTGACAGTGTGTGTGTGTGTGCATGTCATGTCTCAGTGTGTGATGTGACAGTGTGTGTGTGTGTGCATGTCATGTCTCAGTGTGTGATGTGCGAGAGTGTGTGTGTGTGCATGTCATGTCTCAGTGTGTGTGATGAGAGTGTGTGTGTGCATGTCATGTCTCAGTGTGTGTGATGTGACAGTGTGTGTGTGTGCATGTCATGTCTCAGTGTGTGTGATGTGACAGTGTGTGTGTGTGCATGTCATCTTTCAGTGTGTGGTGTGAGAGAGTGTGTGAATGTGTGAGAGCACAGGATACAAAAACATAACGCAGCTACTAACTCCTACTAGAACACTGACATAATTGCAACTACTAAACAAGGGAAATAAGTAGCACTCACTTTGCCAGCACCTACCTCCTGAATGTATAAGCAGAGTGAGAGCAGTTGCGGACGCTGACTTCTGCATGCCACACTTCTCCCCTGATACTGACGCTGACGCCGATGCCGACGTCCCTGCTGACGGTTTCTTCCTCTCGATATCCTCCACCTTCTCCTTTGCCTCATCCACCGGTGACAGCTCTACACAACAGATGCAGGAATATTAACATTGTGTGAGGACAACTGCAGGGTGGGGTTGGGGTTGGTGTTTGGGTTGGGAAAGAAGAACTGTGAAAGACTATGGTGCTCCTATATTGCAGCTATAAAACAGTGTCCTTTAAATACTCAAATTCGGTCATTGCTTCATTGCACAGTGATTTATCTAGGATTCCGAACATGATGCCCATGGCATTCAAATTGCAAACATTCGTTATTTTGTTCCAAATAGGGATAATTTTTGGGTATTTAGCAAAATTCAAAGGAATTCCAGTGATTGACATCATGACCATCGATCCACGCAATTTTGATACATTGACTTGCAATGACCACCTGATCCATGTCTCACCTCTATAAAATAAACATGACTTTTGTTCAGAATCCTACTACTGAGAAGGGTTGGGATGCGTAATTTGGATACTCATGTTGGGTGGTACGTACGAACCGGGTACCCACAGGACGACCCAGACCCGTGGTTCATCACATGATATATTATTTATCGACAAATATTATCGATAACTCCATGGTCACACTACGAGTCACTAACGTTCACATTTCTTTCTGACAATGCACATTCCTAACTTGTATATGTTTGAACAAAGACAAAGCTACAGTAAAATTCAGTGAACGAATGATAAGATCGTTTCATATGTGTCTCTAAATACTTATTGCTAGGGTTCCGGTTAAACAATTCTCAACCAGACTATTTCTACCCAACGCTTCAGAGGTTTTCAACTGGTACCCGGGTAGGGTCCGGATAATAGGGGGTTGGGTAGCTGGGTAAATAATTTGACCTCATCCCAGCCCCAGTATTGAGTGAGCGAGGGAGTGGGATTTAACGCCGCTTTTAAAAGTTGTCCAGTTATATCATGGCGTGTCAGCTTAATGTGGGAGGAAAGCCTGAAGGGATGCAGGTCTCAGATGTTAACCACTTCGGTGAAACCCACAAGCACAGGTATGGTGCTGACAAACCTAGCAACATAATCGGGTCGAACCGGGACTCGAACCCACAATCATAGGTTTCTGGCGTGTCCTAGAGACGCAACTCTGCACAGTGAATCACGGCGCCTTAGACAACTGGGGCACCCGTCCCCCCACCCAGTATTGAGCAAAAATTAACATCTCACAGTCATTCAACATCATGCTGATACATACCTTCACATATTGCCCCAAGTTTAATCCATTAGTTTAACCCATGACTATTTTTACCACTGACCTTTGGAGCCACATGACCTCTCCTCCTCCGACGAAATGGCAAGGCGGGGAATGATGTTTTTGATTGAAGGCTTTGATCTCGTGACGAGCGGGGACCCACACGAGTCACTGTCTGTCTGAGAGGAGTCTGAGATGCTGGTGTTGTCACGGGAACGAGGGATGCTGGAAATCAACACAGCAATATTGATACCATTCTACAGTCATTTTGTTTTGCTTGCACAAGTGCTTCAAAAAAGATCCAAATGTAAACAGTCTAACGTACTGATGCCTATCTGTGCTACTGTAATGACAGTGTTGGAGAACCTGTTTAACTTAACCTCCTCAGTATGCAAGGAAAAGTGCTGTGTTGGTTCAAAATTGCCCACTCAGACACATTATCCCCTTCGGACTGAGTGCAGGCAAAGCAACAACAAGTACTACATTTTAATATCTTTTGGCATGACGCGGCCGGGATAGAACCACTGACCTTCCACTAGTACAAACAGATGTGAATACACAATGCCATTTAGAATGTGGTCAAATGTAACAAATGTTATATTTGGGATATCACTTTCTTTGCAAAGTACAGATTCTCGTACATTTTGGGGTGGAGTCCCATCCAGGATTGGAACCCACACAGATGAGTTAGTTTGACCAGCTCACAGGGGTGTCTGCTGTACATGATGGGGCTGGGCCCACCTGCACAAACCAAACACAGCTGTATGACTACTGTAAGCCCATGTAAGTATCTGAGCTGCAACCATGCTTGCTAGATTTAAGGCCTATTGACAAACGTTTAGGTCTTAAATTCATCCTTGAAGGTTGGACTGACGAGCAATGGGTCTGAAATGCACTGCCTTTTCATGCCAAAGCGAAGCTTCGATTACGCCGGCACATAAGTTTAGTCCGTGTCAACAGTCTGTTTACTAGAAAGGTTACGATCGTGTGTTGAATGATTACCTGATTTCGGAAACACTGAAGACATCTTCATCCATTTTGATGGTACTGGCATCGGTCCGGGAGTCTGTCGTGTCTGACTGCCTGTCTGTGCTATCCTTCCTGAAGGCGTTCCTGACTTCAATGGATCCCTCAGAGCTTTCTGATTGATTGGAGTCCTTCCTCTCCAAAGCTCTCTTCTCCAACACTCGTGTACGGAAGTCGTCAGCACTGGAGTGACGGCGCCTGTCTCTCTCGTTAGGGTCCTGAAGAGTACAGGAAATAATTTGTTGCAAACTGTTTTCAAGCTGACCTAAAATTACAAACTCAAAACCTCTTCTTGTTCCAGGAGAAATTCATAAGAGAACCATATAGCCTATCTATTCTTAAATTGCACAACTTGTTGACTAAAGAACCTTCTTGTTTTTGTTTTTTTTGTTACCGTCGCACTCAGCAATATTCCAGCTCTATGACAGTGGATTGTAAATGATCAAATCTGGAGGAGACAATCCAGTGATCGATGTTGTAAGCAACGATCCACACCGTGGGGGTATATGGGCACACTATCAACCTGTCACCAAGTCTGACCATCCAATCCATTTGGTTGCCTCTTACGACCAGCATAGGCTGCTGGGGACCTATTCAGAGTGAGTGAGTGAGTGAGATTGGTTTAACGCCGCTTTTAACAGTATTCCAGTTATATCACGGCGTGTCAGCTTAATGTGGGAGGAAAGCCCGAAGTGATGCAGGTCTTAGACGTTTACCACTTCGGTGAAACCCACGAGCACGGGTATGGTGCTGACAAACCTAGAAACATAATCGGGGCGAACCGGGATTCGAACCCACAATCATAGGTTTCTGGCGTGTCCAGGGGACGCAACTCTGCACAGCGAATCGCGGCGCCTTAGACGACTGAGCCACCCGTGCCCCCCGGACCTATTCAGAGCCTGGATCCCAAGAAATCTTATCAATGAGATGAGTTTGAACAGTATTTCAGTTATGTCTTGCAAGAAACATAGGAGGGAAAGCCCAAATGGTCAACAGACAAATTATTGGGCTAATCTACGATTCAAACTCATGATGATATGATTCTGGCATGCCCATACACGCAAATCAGCGAGACGTGGTACCATTTACCATTATGCTGCTTGTAACTACAATAACCTCCACAGAATGCTACAAACACAGATGGCATTATCGGGAATCTGTTTGGCAAAGCAACCATATCACTACAAAGACTGTGATGGGAGTTACCACAGGGAGTGTGGACGGCACTGTTACATTATGGGAGAGTCAGTAACTGTTGGTGGAAGGGTGAGTAACAACAGAGAGACATGCATTGGAAGTGAGAGAGTTAGTAGAGCTTGTGAGAGTTGGGTTTTAGCAATGTAAAGCCATATCACAATAGGGGACACCAACAATTCACTTACACATTGCAACCCTGTGTATCCAGTGGTTTTATTTAAAACAGTCATCAAAACTGGTTTCACAATAAAATAGTGGACGTAACTAAATACTACCCTTTGGACAATATTTACATCCTTTTCAAATAGTCATGTTTTTCCCTCAAATATGTTTGACAATGTTAGACCACTGCCGTCTTCTTGAATTATGTCACATACTGCCTAATTAGATGTCAGCTCATTATGATCTTCTTGTACTATAAGGCCTATGAGGAAAGTCCATATAAAAGCTTGGTAAAGCTTGATGTCAGCTTGATGTTGGAGGAAAACCTGAAGTGATGTAGGTCTAAGACGTTTACCACTTTGCTGTAAACCATGAGCAAGGATATGGTGCTGACAAACCTTAAAACATAATCAGGGCAAACCAGAATTTGAACCCATAATCATCTGGTGTGCCCAAGGGATGCAACTCTGCACAGCAAATTGTGATACATCAAACGAATGATGCCCCCCCGAAACCCAAAATAAAAGCAGACGTGTCTATTTTTTTTCTGATCCATTTCTGAAATAAAGACTTACAGAGAGGATGTATCCTGTAAATGTTAAATGTTGCTTAAAAGTCTGAATGCATACAGCATTTGTACTAGACACATGGTCCAACAGCCCTAGAAGTAAACTAACCAGTCAATATTTGGCACATACCCAAGCATGGAAACACTGATGTGGAGAATCAAACCTGACCAAACAAGCAAACGCTGTAACCACTGGACTATTCCACCCCCTCATGCATGGGCAGAACATCCGGGGCAGACATTCCATCCACAACAGCACACAGACAGGCTGACGAGATAATACCCCCGACCTTGACTCTAAGTACCTCATGAAGCTCGTCTATCTTGGAGTAGACCTTGTTGTAGCGGGGGCTGCAGGAGGAGAAGCTGTGGAAGAGGGGGTCATCGGCATCATCCTCCGTGTCCTCTGCCTCCAGCTCATGGTTGTACCTGTCAGTGCGAGCTGAGGACCACATAAACAGGGCTGGTTCAGTACAAGTATTGAAGGACATACCAGGGCTGGTTCAGTTCAAGTATTGAAGGACATACCAGGGCTGGTTCAGTACAAGTATTGAAGGACATACCAGGGCTGGTTTAGTACAAGTATTGAAGGACATACCAGGGCTGGTTTAGTACAAGTATTGAAGGACATACCAGGGATGGTTTAGTACAAGTATTGAAGGACATACCAGGGCTGGTTCAGTTCAAGTATTGAAGGACATACCAGGGCTGGTTCAGTTCAAGTATTGAAGGACTTACCAGGGCTGGTTCAGTTCAAGTATTGAAGGACATACCAGGGCTGGTTCAGTACAAGTATTGAAGGACATACCAGGGCTTGTTCAGTTCAAGTATTGAAGGACATACCAGGGCTGGTTCAGTACAAGTATTGAAGGACATACCAGGGCTTGTTCAGTTCAAGTATTGAAGGACATACCAGGGCTGGTTCAGTACAAGTATTGAAGGACATACCAGGGCTGGTTCAGTTCAAGTATTGAAGGACATACCAGGGCTTGTTCAGTTCAAGTATTGAAGGACATACCAGGGCTGGTTCAGTACAAGTATTGAAGGACATACCAGGGCTGGTTCAGTACAAGTATTGAAGGACATACCAGGGCTGGTTCAGTACAAGTATTGAAGGACATACCAGGGCTGGTTCAGTTCAAGTATTGAAGGACATACCAGGGCTGGTTCAGTACAAGTATTGAAGGACATACCAGGGCTGGTTCAGTTCAAGTATTGAAGGACATACCAGGGCTGGTTCAGTACAAGTATTGAAGGACATACCAGGGCTGGTTCAGTTCAAGTATTGAAGGACATACCAGGGCTTGTTCAGTACAAGTATTGATGGACAGCTGACTAAAGCTATGGTTCTGTATCTACCCCTCTTAGTAATATTCATACAACATTGTAACAGCCTTTAAAAGTATGGGGCTGCACACACAACCTGTTTTAGAAGGGCTAACACATGAAACTATTCCACATGATACTGTTCTTGCCTTCACAAGGTTGGTTAAAGTAAACTCACTGTCGAAGTAGCTAGTGTCCTCGTCATCGTCCAGCTGGGGTACAAACTCCGCCTTCTGTCGCAGCAGGCTCTCCCAGTTGAGCCCCATGAAGAACAGATGCTCCTTGACCTCCTGCGCCCCTGTAGTTCCTAGCCTGGCCACTGGGTTGTTAGTCAGCAGGCGAGTGATAAGGTCCTTGGCATCATCCCGACCCTGCCACTCATCCTCCAACGGCCACTCAATCTCCTCTGTTGAATCACCATGCAGTGTTAGAAATAAGGCAAATGGGTCCTCTCATGACCCTATGTTAAAAGCTTCAGATTCAAGGGGTCGCTTAATTGTGAAATTGTGTCATGACTATCATCGATCAAGATTTTATCATCAGGCTAAAAGATATTATCTGAATAAGACGACAAAACCCTTTCCATATCCAATAGTAACCTGTGCATAAAGCAGACTCGATTGTAGGATTCTGACTATCTTATGAGCATGCGTTTATTGCCTCCTCTTCCTCATCATCATTGCCATAATTATTCCAAAAATATCTTCTATTATAATCAGAAGAATGACACTGACATATTCATTCCACATACACTAAGGTCATATAGAGAAGGATGGCCATTAAAGTAGTCTTATAAGTCATTCCTTTCGCTACTATGGACTTTTTAATGTTCTAAGGACAAGGAACTTCACTACCAGAAATACATACCGTGAATAACTTGTGCAAAAAGTTCCTCTGTAGTGCCTCCGAAAAAGGGCACACATCCCACCAGGAACTCATACAGGATAATTCCCATAGACCACCAGTCCACACACTTGCCTGCAACAGTAGGGACGATCTTACAATCCTGTCTAAGATGCTCAGTATTTTCGACTAACAGTTGCACACTCTGACCAACAAAAATTGTGATACCATAAAAGTTCTCGATAGTTTGTTTGTTGACTAACACAGCACTCAGAAATATTCCAGCTATGTGATGGTAGCCTGTATTTTGAAAGAGTCTGGGCCAGACAATCCAGTGATTGATATTCTGAGCAATGATCCAAGCTGTCAACATGCTATAAACCAAGTCACAGAGCCTGACCACCTGATCCATATTGTCGCCTCTTTTGACCAGCATGTTCTAACCAGGAATCCCCACAGGGAAGTTCGAGATCAATTTAATTTAAGAACTTATTACTTGAGCTGCAACATCAATCTAGGCTCACTCAGTTTCTTCATTGCAGGACAACCACTCACCATATCCCTGTCGGAGGATGACCTCGGGGGCGATGTACTCAGGTGTACCGTACACCTGCTTGTCCTTGAACTGTTTGTAGTCCTTATCCATGGCCCCTTCGTATAGGTTGGTGGTCACTGAAACACAATATGTTTGAATTGTTGTCTCCTCTTATCTCAGTGTTATCCTTCCTAATTAAATCAAGACCAAATTGAATTTGCCATTCTTTTGAGCTTACAGATTTAATGGTATGTAGTTTGTACTTCAATCAACCATTACTCTCAGTACAGTTTCTTACCAATAGTGCCAGGTACTGTAAGTCTATTCAGTATAATTGATTAATAGTGTTCACATATGATTTCCAACCCAATAATTGACATCATGAGCATTGATTGACACAAATGGGATACGATGACACGAGTCTGACCACCCGATCCTGTTTGTGGCCTCTTACGACAAGCATAGTTGCCTTTTACGGCAAGCATGGGATGCTGAGGACCTTTTCTAACCCGGATCTTCACGGGTCGCATCAAGTAAATACTGTACACAATGACATCATACTTACAGCTCATGAGACCAATCTTGGAGAGCCCAAAGTCTGTCAGTTTCACATGTCCAGTAGCGTTTATCAGTAGGCTGCAAGAAAGGAAAGAATCTCAATCATCCTCAATCTTTGAAATCTTTTAGGAGTGAGCGAGTATGATTTCACACCGCCTTTTGCAATATCACAGCAGGGGACACCAGAAATGGGTTTCACACATTGAACCCATGGGGGGAATAGAACCCAGCCCTCTACGTGATGAGAGAAAGCTTTAACCACTAGGCTATCCCACTGCTCACATCTTTTTTTGGAAACACTGCACATCAAATATGACATTGGAGTGAGCATGGACTAATGCCATCTATAGCAATATTCCAGCAACATCATGACGGGGGACACTAGAAATGGGCCTCACATATTGTAGCATGTGGGGAATTGACCCCAGCACTTCTGCATGAAGAGCAAACGCTTTATTCACAAGGCTCCCCACCAACCCAACATTTAAGGAACACGGAACAAATTAACATGGTTACCATAGCTGGTGAGTAGCGGACTTACTTGTCAGGTTTGAGGTCCCTGTGCACGATGCCATAGCTGTGCAGGTACTCCAGGGCTAACACTGTCTCAGCAAAATACATCCTGGAACAGATAGCAGAGTGTCAGCATGAGCTTACTGGTTAATGCAGAGTAATAATAACAATAATCATCATGATAATGATGCCATTAATATTGCACCATAATTCCATACGAAACTAGGGAAAGCTCAAAGCACTTCCTTATTCTATTAATCAAAACAAAATTCAGAAAGAAGAAGTTGAATGTAGCATAGTTCTGAGTCTCACTTTTGATACCTAGAACTGACAGAAACAGTTTCCAAAATGAAAGGTTTCCTCACCTGGCCAGGTCAAGTGGCAGAGGACCTACGTTCTTGAGTAGTGTAGCACAGTCCCCTCCTTCAACATACTCCATAACCATACACAGGTGCTTCTGTAATAAACATCACTTGTGTGAGAAGGTGGTAGGTCTTACTCTATAAGCACCATACACAGGTGCTTCTGTAATAAACATCATTGGTGTGTGAAGGTGGTAGGTCTTACTTTATAAGCACCTTTTACAAGTGCTTCTGTAATAAACATCATTGGTGTGAGAAGGTGGTAGGTCTTACTCTATAAGCACAAAAAGGTGGTAGGTCTTACTCTATAAGCACCATTTACAAGAGCTTCTGTAATAAACATCATTGGTGTGTGAAGGTGCTAGGTCTTACTCTATAAGCACAAAAAGGTGCTAGGTCTTACTCTATAAGCACCATTTACAAGTGCTTCTGTAATAAACATCGTTGGTGTGTGAAGGCGGTAGGTCTTACTCTATAAGCACAAAAAGGTGGTAGGTCTTACTCTATAAGCACCATTTACAAGTGCTTCTGTAATAAACATCATTGGTGTGTGAAGGCGGTAGGTCTTACTCTATAAGCACAAAAAGGCGGTAGGTCTTACTCTATAAGCACCATTTACAAGTGCTTCTGTAATAAACATCATTGGTGTGTGAAGGCGGTAGATCTTACTCTATAAGCACAAAAAGGTGGTAGGTCTTACTCTATAAGTACCATTTACAAGTGCTTCTGTAATATACATCACTGGTGTGTGAAGGCGGTAGGTCTTACTCTATAAGCTTGTTTGTTTTATTGTTTAATGCCACTCAGCAATAGTCTAACTATGTAATGGTGGTCTGTAAAAATCAAATCTGGACCAGATAATCAAGTGATTGATATTATGAGCAATGATACGGGCTGTTAGGGTATGATGACACACCATCAGCCGGCCTGACCACCCGATTCATTTATAACCAGCAAAGGTTGACGGACCAATTCTAACCCGGGAAACACCACGTTAATTTACTAGCTCTTATGACAAGAAATTGGGAGATGGCAACACATTCTACCCATGTACCCCGTGTACCCTGATAATACTCCATAAGCACAATACGCAGGTGTTTCTGTGAGTGGATTTTGCTGCCAGAGATGCTGAATTCAGAATTTCCACTTCGATGAAACCCACGAGTGCGGGCATGGTGGTGAAACATAATCAGGGCGAACCGGCATTCAAATCCACGATCATAATTTTCCAGTGTGCCCAAGGCATGCAACTCAACCAATGACTCAGCCACCCCTAGCATTAACATGAATACACCAGTCAGACATATGAAACCGACCCAATCTCATTAAAATCAGATCTTAGTTCTCGCTACCGCTAAACAAATATCTGAGGACATCCCATCAGGGTTCACGTCAGAACGTCCTTTTATCCGACCAATCAGAGCGTCGCTTACCAGATCACGAAAGTGACAGTCGGAATGTGATTTCTAATCATGCAGCCTCGAAAACTTTAAAACGGGGTATTCCAAACGATAGTTACGGGCTTAACGACTGAATCTATACAATCTAGACCATATATAAGCCATTCGAGAATGTTCTTTTGTTCAGGTTTCAAATTTTTAAGCGAGAATTTGTCAAAATATGTTTCGAAGCGTAGTCGCCAATTTGAAATTAGTTCCGTAAAGCACAAGAAAGATGCCTTCTGATTGGCTAATATCAACTTCTTGTCAGTAATTCCATTGGTCTGTCAGAGTTCGCGAAAGGTCGGTCTGACGTGACCCATAATGGGATGTCCTCAGATCTTTGTTTAGCGGCAGCGAGAACAAAGATTTGATTTTAATGAGATTGGAAACCGACCAGTCCTGCTCTTATCCCCTTAATGCTGCGGGCCAGGGTAGTGCAACAAGTACCATCTTAATGTCTTTCTGTATGACGTGCCCAGGGGATCGACCCACCAACCTTCCGCTCTCTCTGCTCTACCCACTAATCATATTGGTGAGTGTGTGAGAAAGGCTACACACACTGTTTAGGGACTGACCTTTGTCTCAAAGCTGCAGTACATGCTGACAACGAATGGGTTGTCTGTGAAGGACAAGATGTCTCTCTCCAGGAACACCTGCTCAATCTGGTTCCTCAGCATCAGGTTGTGTTTACAGATCTTCTTCATGGCAAACCTCTGCCTGTTCTCTCGGTGACGCACCAAAAACACAGCCCTATAACACAACAGTACAAGAATCAGAAACACAGCATTTTAAAAGATCGCATCTTGCTTACCCCTCTACCTTTCATTTTTACCATGTGAAGCAAATTCTAGCTTATGTATCAAAACATATTACTGTCATGGATCCTACTCCATAAAGAGGTTTAGATGAGCAAGTCAGTAGTTGATAGCAAGAGCAACATTGCATGCTGTCTGAATTTGAACAAATGCAATTTGTCACAGACAAAGAGGGCAATTTCCAGTTCTCATACTGATCTTATTAAGCATCCACCCAGATCACACATTGAAGCATTTATCACCCCAGCCTAATCCCTCTCAGAGGTTCTGGGAAACTAGAGATGTTTGAGAGTGACAAAGCTGTGTGGGAAGTTGCCAGATAAGCAGCATCTCATCTACTTACGCATAAGCACCATTACTGATGAGTTTGATTGTCTCAAAGTCTTCTTCACATGGAGGCTTTTGCTTCATCAGCTTCTGAATCTCTTTGCTCTGGAATACAAACAATAACATGTAATGTCAAATGTCGTGAGCTAGTTCGTATTTAAAATGGCTTTATCAATATTACAGACACAGGTGCTATCTGGAACCAAAATACACAATGAAATAAAACATCAATGTGTCTAAAATGAATCTGAAGGTAAAATCTGAAAGGTTCATAGGCACTTCATTAAAGTGATCACAGACACCATAATATCTGTCCTGTAGATATCCTGCTTCAAGAAACAGTGTGACACCAATATCACCAGTCATGGCCTTAAACCCAGTAGTTCTAAGTTTCCGCCTATGTTTATGAGATGCACCACAACTGACCTCAGGGTCCTCATCTTCCTCTTGGAGTTTGCCATCAAAGTGGTCATCCACAATAGGGACGTCTCGGATACCTGCAACAGAGCCACAGAACCATCAACTTGAATTCTGCACATTTTCTCTGACCAATGTTGAAAGAAAATATACATCTCACTGTAACCACGTTCCTTAAAGGCTCAGGATGTGTTCACTGTTATAGTGAAATCAGCATTTGAATGAAAAGTCTGCTCTCACTGTTTCTTGGGTATATCTTTTCAAAAACAAATATTGGACCTAACATTTCACCAAGGACTACATCATCATCATCATCATCATCATCATCTTCATGATGTTCACTATTGTTTCTCCTACCTTCCAGAGGGTCTCTGTTGAGCCCGAGTTTGGTGATGATGTACTGGGGGATGTCTGCCTTGATGGTCTGCTTGGCCTCTCCCTCTGCAGCTTCCAGCAGCATGTAGAACTCCTCCGGGTCAAACTCCTGCACACAGAGGGACCATAAGAGACACCCATACAGACATACATCAGCACCAACACTTGTGCACACCAACTTGTGCACACCAACAAGTGTCTGATTGAAAAGAAGATTCCATACTCCTATAATGAAAGTTCCATAATGATAAAACGGTTAGGTTTGTTGTGAAATATGTTTCAGGGTAACAAAACAGATTGATCTAATCATCAAAATTCAGTCAAACTGTACAGAACACATTTGCAGGTGACATTTAAAAGAAAGTCCAGTTTGTCTTGTCCAAATCTACTCTTCATGTTCACATTAACTATCCCTATCCCAACATGAAAAGAATAAGGTTCATTAGAAACAGGGTGCAATATCCAAATTAGTTGTCTGTTGCCTCTAGTTACCTACATATTACACTTTTGTCTTATATGTTCAAACTATTCTGGACAGACAGATCTCACAACTTGACATTATGTTTCACATTATCATACACAAGTCTTACATGTACAAGTGAGTGAGTAAGTATGGTTTTACTCCGCTTTTACCAATAATCCATCACGGCGGGGGACACCAGAGTGAGTGAGTAAGTATGGTTTTACTCCGCTTTTACCAATAATCCATCACGGCGGGGGACACCAGAGTGAGTGAGTAAGTATGGTTTTACTCCGCTTTTACCAATAATCCATCACGGCGGGGGACACCAGAGTGAGTGAGTAAGTATGGTTTTACTCCGCTTTTACCAATAATCCATCACGGCGGGGGACACCAGAGTGAGTGAGTAAGTATGGTTTTACTCCGCTTTTACCAATAATCCATCACGGCGGGGGACACCAGAGTGAGTGAGTAAGTATGGTTTTACTCCGCTTTTACCAATAATCCATCACGGCGGGGGACACCAGAGTGAGTGAGTAAGTATGGTTTTACTCCGCTTTTAGCAATAATCCATCACGGCGGGGGACACCAGAGTGAGTGAGTAAGTATGGTTTTACTCCGCTTTTAGCAATAATCCATCACGGCGGGGGACACCAGAGTGAGTGAGTAAGTATGGTTTTACGCCGCTTTTAGCAATAATCCATCACGGCGGGGGACACCAGAGTGAGTGAGTAAGTATGGTTTTACGCCGCTCTTAGCAATAATCCATCACGGCGGGGGACACCAGAGTGAGTGAGTAAGTATGGTTTTACGCCGCTCTTAGCAATAATCCATCACGGCGGGGGACACCAGAGTGAGTGAGTAAGTATGGTTTTACTCCGCTCTTAGCAATAATCCATCACGGCGGGGGACACCAGAGTGAGTGAGTAAGTATGGTTTTACTCCGCTTTTAGCAATAATCCATCACGGCGGGGGACACCAGAGTGAGTGAGTAAGTATGGTTTTACGCCGCTCTTAGCAATAATCCATCACGGCGGGGGACACCAGAGTGAGTGAGTAAGTATGGTTTTACGCCGCTTTTAGCAATAATCCATCACGGCGGGGGACACCAGAGTGAGTGAGTAAGTATGGTTTTACTCCGCTTTTAGCAATAATCCATCACGGCGGGGGACACCAGAGTGAGTGAGTAAGTATGGTTTAACGCCGCTTTTAGCAATAATCCATCACGGCGGGGGACACCAGAGTGAGTGAGTAAGTATGGTTTTACTCCGCTTTTAGCAATAATCCATCACGGCGGGGGACACCAGAGTGAGTGAGTAAGTATGGTTTTACTCCGCTTTTACCAATAATCCATCACGGCGGGGGACACCAGAGTGAGTGAGTAAGTATGGTTTTACTCCGCTTTTACCAATAATCCATCACGGCGGGGGACACCAGAGTGAGTGAGTAAGTATGGTTTTACTCCGCTTTTACCAATAATCCATCACGGCGGGGGACACCAGAGTGAGTGAGTAAGTATGGTTTTACTCCGCTTTTACCAATAATCCATCACGGCGGGGGACACCAGAGTGAGTGAGTAAGTATGGTTTTACTCCGCTTTTAGCAATAATCCATCACGGCGGGGGACACCAGAGTGAGTGAGTAAGTATGGTTTTACTCCGCTTTTACCAATAATCCATCACGGCGGGGGACACCAGAGTGAGTGAGTAAGTATGGTTTTACTCCGCTTTTAGCAATAATCCATCACGGCGGGGGACACCAGAGTGAGTGAGTAAGTATGGTTTTACTCCGCTTTTAGCAATAATCCATCACGGCGGGGGACACCAGAGTGAGTGAGTAAGTATGGTTTTACTCCGCTTTTACCAATAATCCATCACGGCGGGGGACACCAGAGTGAGTGAGTAAGTATGGTTTTACTCCGCTTTTAGCAATAATCCATCACGGCGGGGGACACCAGAGTGAGTGAGTAAGTATGGTTTTACTCCGCTTTTAGCAATAATCCATCACGGCGGGGGACACCAGAGTGAGTGAGTAAGTATGGTTTTACTCCGCTTTTAGCAATAATCCATCACGGCGGGGGACACCAGAGTGAGTGAGTAAGTATGGTTTTACTCCGCTTTTACCAATAATCCATCACGGCGGGGGACACCAGAGTGAGTGAGTAAGTATGGTTTTACTCCGCTTTTACCAATAATCCATCACGGCGGGGGACACCAGAGTGAGTGAGTAAGTATGGTTTTACTCCGCTTTTAGCAATAATCCATCACGGCGGGGGACACCAGAGTGAGTGAGTAAGTATGGTTTTACTCCGCTTTTAGCAATAATCCATCACGGCGGGGGACACCAGAGTGAGTGAGTAAGTATGGTTTTACTCCGCTTTTAGCAATAATCCATCACGGCGGGGGACACCAGAGTGAGTGAGTAAGTATGGTTTTACTCCGCTTTTACCAATAATCCATCACGGCGGGGGACACCAGAGTGAGTGAGTAAGTATGGTTTTACTCCGCTTTTACCAATAATCCATCACGGCGGGGGACACCAGAGTGAGTGAGTAAGTATGGTTTTACTCCGCTTTTAGCAATAATCCATCACGGCGGGGGACACCAGAGTGAGTGAGTAAGTATGGTTTTACTCCGCTTTTAGCAATAATCCATCACGGCGGGGGACACCAGAGTGAGTGAGTAAGTATGGTTTTACTCCGCTTTTACCAATAATCCATCACGGCGGGGGACACCAGAGTGAGTGAGTAAGTATGGTTTTACTCCGCTTTTAGCAATAATCCATCACGGCGGGGGACACCAGAGTGAGTGAGTAAGTATGGTTTTACGCCGCTTTTAGCAATAATCCATCACGGCGGGGGACACCAGAGTGAGTGAGTAAGTATGGTTTTACGCCGCTCTTAGCAATAATCCATCACGGCGGGGGACACCAGAGTGAGTGAGTAAGTATGGTTTTACGCCGCTCTTAGCAATAATCCATCACGGCGGGGGACACCAGAGTGAGTGAGTAAGTATGGTTTTACGCCGCTCTTAGCAATAATCCATCACGGCGGGGGACACCAGAGTGAGTGAGTAAGTATGGTTTTACGCCGCTTTTAGCAATAATCCATCACGGCGGGGGACACCAGAGTGAGTGAGTAAGTATGGTTTTACTCCGCTTTTAGCAATAATCCATCACGGCGGGGGACACCAGAGTGAGTGAGTAAGTATGGTTTTACGCCGCTTTTAGCAATAATCCATCACGGCGGGGGACACCAGAGTGAGTGAGTAAGTATGGTTTTACTCCGCTTTTAGCAATAATCCATCACGGCGGGGGACACCAGAGTGAGTGAGTAAGTATGGTTTTACTCCGCTTTTACCAATAATCCATCACGGCGGGGGACACCAGAGTGAGTGAGTAAGTATGGTTTTACTCCGCTTTTAGCAATAATCCATCACGGCGGGGGACACCAGAGTGAGTGAGTAAGTATGGTTTTACTCCGCTTTTACCAATAATCCATCACGGCGGGGGACACCAGAGTGAGTGAGTAAGTATGGTTTTACTCCGCTTTTACCAATAATCCATCACGGCGGGGGACACCAGAGTGAGTGAGTAAGTATGGTTTTACTCCGCTTTTAGCAATAATCCATCACGGCGGGGGACACCAGAGTGAGTGAGTAAGTATGGTTTTACTCCGCTTTTACCAATAATCCATCACGGCGGGGGACACCAGAGTGAGTGAGTAAGTATGGTTTTACTCCGCTTTTACCAATAATCCATCACGGCGGGGGACACCAGAGTGAGTGAGTAAGTATGGTTTTACTCCGCTTTTACCAATAATCCATCACGGCGGGGGACACCAGAGTGAGTGAGTAAGTATGGTTTTACTCCGCTTTTAGCAATAATCCATCACGGCGGGGGACACCAGAGTGAGTGAGTAAGTATGGTTTTACTCCGCTTTTAGCAATAATCCATCACGGCGGGGGACACCAGAGTGAGTGAGTAAGTATGGTTTTACTCCGCTTTTAGCAATAATCCATCACGGCGGGGGACACCAGAGTGAGTGAGTAAGTATGGTTTTACTCCGCTTTTACCAATAATCCATCACGGCGGGGGACACCAGAGTGAGTGAGTAAGTATGGTTTTACTCCGCTTTTACCAATAATCCATCACGGCGGGGGACACCAGAGTGAGTGAGTAAGTATGGTTTTACGCCGCTTTTAGCAATAATCCATCACGGCGGGGGACACCAGAGTGAGTGAGTAAGTATGGTTTTACGCCGCTCTTAGCAATAATCCATCACGGCGGGGGACACCAGAGTGAGTGAGTAAGTATGGTTTTACGCCGCTCTTAGCAATAATCCATCACGGCGGGGGACACCAGAGTGAGTGAGTAAGTATGGTTTTACTCCGCTTTTAGCAATAATCCATCACGGCGGGGGACACCAGAGTGAGTGAGTAAGTATGGTTTTACTCCGCTTTTAGCAATAATCCATCACGGCGGGGGACACCAGAGTGAGTGAGTAAGTATGGTTTTACGCCGCTCTTAGCAATAATCCATCACGGCGGGGGACACCAGAGTGAGTGAGTAAGTATGGTTTTACGCCGCTCTTAGCAATAATCCATCACGGCGGGGGACACCAGAGTGAGTGAGTAAGTATGGTTTTACGCCGCTTTTAGCAATAATCCATCACGGCTGGGGACACCAGAGTGAGTGAGTAAGTATGGTTTTACTCCGCTTTTAGCAATAATCCATCACGGCGGGGGACACCAGAGTGAGTGAGTAAGTATGGTTTTACGCCGCTTTTAGCAATAATCCATCACGGCGGGGGACACCAGAGTGAGTGAGTAAGTATGGTTTTACTCCGCTTTTAGCAATAATCCATCACGGCGGGGGACACCAGAGTGAGTGAGTAAGTATGGTTTTACTCCGCTTTTAGCAATAATCCATCACGGCGGGGGACACCAGAGTGAGTGAGTAAGTATGGTTTTACTCCGCTTTTAGCAATAATCCATCACGGCGGGGGACACCAGAGTGAGTGAGTAAGTATGGTTTTACTCCGCTTTTACCAATAATCCATCACGGCGGGGGACACCAGAGTGAGTGAGTAAGTATGGTTTTACTCCGCTTTTACCAATAATCCATCACGGCGGGGGACACCAGAGTGAGTGAGTAAGTATGGTTTTACTCCGCTTTTAGCAATAATCCATCACGGCGGGGGACACCAGAGTGAGTGAGTAAGTATGGTTTTACTCCGCTTTTAGCAATAATCCATCACGGCGGGGGACACCAGAGTGAGTGAGTAAGTATGGTTTTACTCCGCTTTTAGCAATAATCCATCACGGCGGGGGACACCAGAGTGAGTGAGTAAGTATGGTTTTACTCCGCTTTTAGCAATAATCCATCACGGCGGGGGACACCAGAGTGAGTGAGTAAGTATGGTTTTACTCCGCTTTTAGCAATAATCCATCACGGCGGGGGACACCAGAGTGAGTGAGTAAGTATGGTTTTACTCCGCTTTTAGCAATAATCCATCACGGCGGGGGACACCAGAGTGAGTGAGTAAGTATGGTTTTACGCCGCTTTTAGCAATAATCCATCACGGCGGGGGACACCAGAGTGAGTGAGTAAGTATGGTTTTACTCCGCTTTTAGCAATAATCCATCACGGCGGGGGACACCAGAGTGAGTGAGTAAGTATGGTTTTACGCCGCTTTTAGCAATAATCCATCACGGCGGGGGACACCAGAGTGAGTGAGTAAGTATGGTTTTACTCCGCTTTTAGCAATAATCCATCACGGCGGGGGACACCAGAGTGAGTGAGTAAGTATGGTTTTACTCCGCTTTTAGCAATAATCCATCACGGCGGGGGACACCAGAGTGAGTGAGTAAGTATGGTTTTACGCCGCTTTTAGCAATAATCCATCACGGCGGGGGACACCAGAGTGAGTGAGTAAGTATGGTTTTACGCCGCTTTTAGCAATAATCCATCACGGCGGGGGACACCAGAGTGAGTGAGTGAGTATGGTTTTACGCCGCTTTTAGCAATAATCCATCACGGCGGGGGACACCAGAAATGGGCTTCACACAATCTACCCATGTCGGGAATCGAACCTGGGTCTTCGGTGTGACGAGCGAACGTGTTAACCACTAAGCTACCCGACTGCCCCCTTACATGTAGAAATGAATGGAACCCAGCTTTTTCAGACTGAATGAAATTGTCATTGCTCTGTACATATCTGCACATTGCTCAAGTTATATACAAATTGAAGCAATTTTTCCCTTTTGATTAATTTTGTAATAAGGAATACCTGGGTTCTAGATGCGTTACTATGCATAATAAAGTAAGTTACTTATTGTTTATGTGTTAGTGTTTAACTCACAACAGTATAATATTTGTCATTCAGACACTTGTCAAACGTTAAGAATATGTTTTAAATGGTTTTGTTTTAATATTGGTTACTATATTGACTACTGTGTACAAGTGATTTATGGTCACTACTAGGATACCGAAACTACAAACTCTTACCCTCTCTGCTCTCTTCAATACAAATATAGGAGATATATAGGGTGATTTCCAACCAGGAAGAACAAGGTTTCATTCTCTCAACAACAAGCAGAATTTAGGCGGGACACCTCAAGCCACCAATAATAAGCATCAATTCCCAACAATGTTTCAGACTGCAATTTACTGTTTTATTTGAAGGAAAATCAAACACATGGGCTTCAGCATGGTGAAACTTAAAGAAATATAATGAAACATGAATTCTATTTGCATGGGTTAGTGAGTGAGTTTGGTTTATTACTGCTTTGAATACTATTCCAGTTATATCACAGTATGTGAGTTTAATGTGAAAGGAAAGCCTAAAGTGATGCAGGTCTCAGACATTTACCACTTTGGTGAAACCCACGAGCACGACTAAGGTGCTGACATCGCATTAAAACCAACATATTTTTTTTCAATTTTAAAGTTGAAACCTAGAATATAATTACTGTTGCCTTCAACTGTGGAAATTCACTTGATGTTAACATACAATCATACTGTACTGGAATATACCGATTAATTGTGATGAAACAATACACATGTCAACACATCCAGCAAAACCTTCCCATTCAGGATTAACTTTTATTAATAGCCAACATAAAATACACACGCTTTTGATCATGACTACTGTACTTAGTTGACTTTCTAGTTGAAAGAACCTCCCAAAATAGTCCTAACATGATGACGAAATGCTCCCGAACCTGGCATCCCCCTGCAAGGCCTGTTTGCAAGCAGCAATGACGTACTCACCAGACACTCCAGGAGCCTTGCGGGTCGCGAGATGATGATGAGCAGCTGTTTAATGAGGGGGTACACGTGTGTGTAGGCTTCAACCGACTTGTCCTTCGCCTGAGGGAACAAACAGCCTAATTAACGGAGTCTGTATGGGGTTATTTCCCTTTTATTTGGTTACTGCTACAACTGTGGGAATTATCTCCCCTTGACTTGTGTGTCAGCCATGAAATCAGTCTGGAGGGGAGTATCCCCTTGAATAGCATATCTGTTACTACAGCTGTGAGCAGTTATCTCCCTTTGAATCTTGTATCTGTTACAACAGCTGTGAGAATTATCTCCCCTTGACTTGTGTGTCAGCTATGAAATCAGTCTGTATCGGACTATTTTTCTTTGAACAGCATATCTGTGGATACAGCTGTGGATATTACCTCCCTTTGACAACTATCATTTTCACGATTTTATCCATTACTGACAGGAAATTCCTCTATGTGATCACCAAAATTGGAAAAAATCTTCAGGACATTTCAGGACAATCTGTCAATGTCCAAGAAAATGAAGCGATCTGAATCCCTGCTCTGATCTCAGAGAGATAATCTGATAATCAGAGTCCAATCAGCTTAGAAAAAATAATCTCACAGAACCAGACTGACCAAAAGTGGCTACATTTATAAGAAAGTATCACATATTCAATGAGGGAATATCCTAACATCTATAAATTACAACCAAGGACTCACATCGTTGGCCAGTTTCTCGAGATTGTCAGACAGCTCATAGAAGTAGTTGGTGGTGATGAGCTTCTGCTTCGACTTCTCCAGACAGTCCCGAGCCAGCTCCAGCACCTGATGGTGGATGAAGCACAGCACAGCATCCTTCTCCTTCTCCTCACCCAGCTTACTGCTGTCTCGAACAAACGTCCGCAGACGTTCCTCCATCTGGGCTGTCGCCTACACACACAAAGTTTTCAACACACAATAAATATTTGAATGATCTTTCTAAAAACAAATGCATTGTTTTTCTTACATGTTTGCACCAATTATTGTCTCCTTTGGTGTGTCTGTACAATTTGGAATATAAGCAAGGAATGGCTTTCATTTGTTTGTTGTTTAACGCTACCCTCAGCAATATTCCAGCTATATGACGGAGGTCTGCAAATAGTCAGCGGCACAATATTTGACTTGGGTCTCTTGCATCAGAAGCAAATACTAAAACTGCTGACCTTCGAAGTTACATTTTCATTAAATTAAGAGACTAAAATACCTGAAATGTGACAAAGAGTGACAGTGTTTTTACTGTCAGTTCATAAGTTGTGAGTGTACAGCTCCATACATATTGACAGAGCTATCAGTAATAGCAAAAACAAATCAAAGGGCCACTAAAAACTGGCTTCATACATTCAAGTTGGGAATTAAACTGGAACTAATTTATATGAGAGGTGAACACAGGACCTTCAGAGTGCTTCTGTGTGTTGGAGAAATAAGACTCTCCATTTCAGCACCATTTCAGTGCTACATTCTAGTGCTACAGCTATCGCAACCCCCACACTTAACAGATTTACGACACTAGTAGCGCTACGAATAATCTGTGCAATGAGGCCAAGATCTCAAAGCAAAGTGAGAAGTTCATATAATGCAGCTTTGAACTGTATTTCAGTTACATTAAGGTGGGTACAATAAATGTGGGAGCTAGGAACCCTGAAGTCACAGCAGAGGATGGATGTTTCCTACTTTGTAACCTGTGACAACTTGCAAAGTGCAGTGAAACCTGTAACTCTAGGATTCAAGCCCACTACTGAAGGTCTCTGGTAAAGATGGAACTCTGCACGGTGAAGTGCAACGCTTTAGACGACTGGACCATCCATACCCACTCTCAAATTAGAAACTACTTACCTTGGGAAACCGTTCCTTGTACACGCTGTTCATGATGATGATCTCCGAGTCGCCACCGGGGGACCGAGCTGGACTACTGCAGAAGGAGACACAGGGGTAACAATGCATTCTTAATGTAAGCAAGTAGACAAAGTAAGCAAAGTAACAAGTCACTGGCTCAGCAGTATTTCAGCTACTTATGGCTTTGTTTGTGTTGCAATCCACAAAGTCACCGAGTCTGACCACCCGATCTCATTACACGCTTCTTACAACAAGCATGGGTTGCAGACCAATTCTACCCGGATCTTCAAGAGGCTACTTATGGCAATCCACATTAAAGATTATATCTGTCTGTTTTGTTGCCAATCATTGAGGAATTTCAACACCCTGATAGTGAGAACGTTTTTATCTCCATACCACCATATTAGATGTGAAATATTAATAAGCATGAGCCTTCCCAACAGCACAGTTATTGTAAGGTGTTACTTTTGTAAGTGCTGTCCTTTTTCTTACATATTAATCAAAAGCTGTGTAACAATATAAATGTCATATAGTACGTTTGTTGTTTAACACCGCACTCAGCAATATTCCAGCTATATGATGGCAGTCTGTAAATAATCGAGTCTGGACCAGACAATCCAGTGAGTGTCATCATGAGCATCAATCCGCGCCATTGGGATACGATGACATGCATCCTCAATCTAACCAAGTATCAATAGTCATACTTACACAAATCAACAAACCACTGGCTCAGCAATATTTCAGCTACTTATAGCTTGCCGTGTTACACCGAACTCAGCAGTATTTCAGCCATATGACGGCATGATGACATGCATCGATGAAGTCAGCGAGCCTGACCTCTCCATACCGTCCGTTGCCTCTTACAACAAGCATGTGTTACTGAAGACCACTTCCAACCCAGATCTTCACAAGGTTAATGTAATATAGGGAATACATATGTATTGAAGCATAAGAATCATGAGAATCTGAAGCATTGCTGATAGAAATAAACGCAAATAACATCTTAAAGTTTATCAGCATCATCAATGCTTCACCCGGAAGACTGCAACCAAATCATGCTACTCCTCTGCTGTACATCCTACAATCATGCAGAACTCAACATGAGTAGCTGACACAATGGGCATGATGCACAACTAATCGGATAACACATCCACACGAACTAACACAAGTCCAGCACAAGGCAATAATAACTGCTCTAATTGTCATTTTCAGTTACCAAAGTTAATAACATATATGTTTGTTGAAATGTGGCCTTGACACACATGACTGATGGGGCTGCTATAGAACTACTATTTTTGAATACTTTTTCAATGAGAATGTGGGATTTTTTGTTTATGAAATGATTTGATGTAGAATTTCCTGGTCCATTCATATTTAACCATTCAAGTGAGTGAATATGGTTTTACGCTCGTTTCAGCAATATCACAAAGGGGACACCAGAAATGGGCTTCACACATGGTACCCATGTCGGGAATCGAACCCGGGTTATTGGAGTGACGAGCGAAAGCTTTAACCACAAGGCTACCCAAGCGCCCCTTAAACCATACAAATCAAGCAGGGTAATTTGTTTGGAATTATTTTGAGCTGTATCCTCATATTTTTAAAATAGCCAAGGTATACAGCATGGTACCCTGCTGAAAATTTGCTTGAATATTTCCATCTATGACACGGGATCCATTTAAGTTTTCATACAAATCTTTTTGTTGTTTAACATCAAACAGAAAAAAACTCTGTAACTGTCCGATTGGAAAATAGTTTTCATTCATCAATTAGTGACTTTATCTTTTCCCATCAATTATTTCATTAATAACAGCTAGATATGTCATAATTATCCATTTTGTGGAGAATTTCAATATCAAGACAAGAATAGATCGAAAACTGGTACAGTTAAGTTCCTGTCAAGTTGTGTCATGTATCATGGCGTCAGTTTCTAAAACCATGAATAAGCGTGCAGTATGTACAAAGGTGGTGAAGACATATATAGAACCAGGAATGTCACATTAACTTCAATCTCATTAAAAACAAATCTTTTACTTCGACACGATACCTCTCTGCATCAAGATGTGACCAAACCCCCTGAGGAGGTCACGTCAGCTGAACTCTGAGCAAAATTGAACCTCTCAATTTAAATTAAGGATGAGTGGTTATGGGCCAATGGGATGTCAGCTTTCTGAAGTGATTCGGCTTCGTTTCTTTTACAGCCTTGATTTGGAAATTTGAAAAAACCCACACAGAACACAATTGAGGTGAACCTTTTTGGTCTAGATACCAGAAAAAAAACAGATTGTGAAATATCCACAACAAAACATTTATGGCGTTAATGTTCTGCATGCGGAAGCCTCAATTATATTCATTTCCGAGATACGGACGTCAGATATGCCTGTTGGAATGGTTGGCTCATTCGTACCGAACATTTATAAACCTCATGCTAATTGGGTCATAAGAAAGCTCTTCATGTAGAGACATATCTGTCACACTAAAGGATTATATTTGAATGAGATTGCATTATGCTATCCCCCTCAGCGACTTATTAATTGGGGAGCCTTGGCTTAGCGCTGAGTCAGCATTATTACAGCTAACTTACAACAGCTTATAAATAATCCAGTCTGGATCAACAAACCAGTGGTTGATAGCATGAGCATCTAGCCAGACAACCAATTTTATTAAAATATTAATCTTCAATACATTTTTGCCCCTAAACAACCAATTGGTCTGGCCCAGTGAATAAACATAACATTTTTTTTGTTTCGGCAGTACCCAAACTGTGTCTCCGTGTAAGCACTGACACCATTTTTGTATGTCCAAAAATATAGCATTCATTAGCCAAAGAAAATAGGTTTCAAGAAACCATATATACTACTCAAAATAAGAGGAAGAACACATGATCAATATTATTCTACAAAACCCAACTAATCAATAAATGCAAGGTTTTAGTCATATGAATTTATCCCTTGATCATTTCACAATCGATTGGCTAATATTTGCTCTGCTATATTCCCAATCTTTATCACAAGGCAACTCTCAGAGCCTCGTATCCATAAACTCAATGAATGGGCCACTCGGCATCCAACAAGTACAGCAACATTTTAACGCTATTTGATTGGTGCTGTATTAGATCTACATACTACTTGCTACTACGAGTACTACAAAACAAATAACAACAAAAAAAGTCTTACTCTAGAGCAAGCCAGGATAGGCTGTTGAGCCCAAGCGGGAGGTAAAAAGAAGATAAACATCATCAAATATAGCACTAGAATCATACACAACTTACTCAACAGTACAGTATTTACTAAGGAAACTTGAACAAGAAAGATCTAAGTTAGGCAACAGGATTCACATCATATTCTCATACTTTATTCAGTTATGCTTTTTCTGTCAGTTTTATTATCTATTTGATGTTGAATAGATATTTGTTAGAGTAAAGAACAAGAGGACATGCCCATGCTGATTGAGAAAGATGTAAGTTTTTACACAATATTTATAAAAGTGCAAGATATATGGAACGAAATACTTGATTGAAGAGAACATGCTTTGAGTTCTTGTTCAGGCACTTTTGACATTGAAAGTTGAAAGAAATTATATATAGATCTATATAAAGTGTTATTTACCAACAACATTTTTGTACAGGTGTTATTTTCCATAACGAACACTGAATGACAATGGTTTATTATACACATATTTAAGAAACAACATTGATCAGGGTTGATTTACACACAGCTGTGAATGAAAGACAACATTAAGTTCCTTTACTGACCCGCAAATGTTACAACATTTAGCAATATGGACCAGATACTTAAGCTTCAGAAGGCAGACTCAGAATTTTGATAAACACCTGTCATAGACTTCCCGATGAACATGAGGATTGATGGATTTTTTGCAGGAATTGATGTTGGTACATGTCTTTGTTCCATGGATGAACAACTTCACTAGTTTGACAGACTGAGTTTGATAAATGCTGAACTAAACAGTGTTTTAAGTATATCAGAGTGCAAATTAATAACGGAAAGGAAGATTAAATGATTGATTGAAAATGTTGCGCTCGGCAATATTCCATCTGTGTATCAAGTCTGGACCAGACAATCCATTGATTGACATCATGAGCATCGATCAACACAACTGGGATACGATGGCATGCATCAACCAAGTCAACAAGCCTGACCAACCGAACCCGTTAATTGCCACCTTTTACGACAAACATGGGTTGTTGGAGACTGATTCTAACCCGGATCTTCACTGGTCGGGTCAGTAGTACAGATCCTAGATCCATAAACAGAGGCATGACATGACAACACAAGAATCCAGACAAATCTGTATCTGACCCAGTGGATACTTGCAGAGCTAACTAAGGGACATAACTGCACTTCTTTAAAATACGTGGCTGCCTCATCTGAGTGAGGCGTGCATTGTCAAAATGTCAGCATCCAAAATCAATGTGAGTATTGGAACAAGTCATCTTGGCCCACATCAGCAGCTAGGTCATGACAGAAGACTGTCTCAGCTTCTTTGTGCCATAGGATTGGGACGTCTTTGAAATTGAAACTGGCAATTCGAACAAAAATTCTGAGTCTTCTTCATGGTACTGTTGCTATACCAAACACTTGATTAGTGATACCAAGCATATATACATGAGTACAGGGAGGTTTAAAGAGCTCTGCATGCATGTGCTTGAAGACCCATCACTGTAAGGCTCCTTCTCAATAACATTCTTTTGTACTAAAAAATTCTAAATTCTTCGTCTTATATTAACATATATTTAATTCTGTGAGATGTATTGCTCATGCAAATTATTCTTGCCATAAACATACAATTTGTGCTCATAACCAAGGATGCAACATTTGGATGTAATTGTGCGATTAACAAATTTAAATTTGAGAGCAAATAAACATGCTTCTGTGAAAATAAGTGATAAGAAACGAATGATGTGTTACCGATCCTATATTTGATTTTTCTAAGTTAAAGCTTTCCTGTATGTGATCAGAGACAAGTTTTATGCTATCCTGCGATATAGACATAATGAATATATCCCACACAGGAGTTAATGTACCTATCAAAACATACAGAACATATCTTGCATTGTGTGTGTGTGAGTTGAGCTTTACCCTGCTTTTTAGCACCATTCCAGCAATGGAATTTGATGGATAAGATGTAACTGAATCCATGACAAAAGCAACCACTAGGCTACCCAGTCTGAACTCTCATGTGGAACTTCATTCCTCCATCTCACAGTGCATACACAATGTGCATCAACTGAAGTTAGATGCAGTTAGAGTTAGCAAGTCAGCTATTATTTAACCTTAATCACATACAGCAGCTGTATACTCAAGGGGCAGAGGTAAGATAAGGTGCTATTTCCTGTCTAGATTGAGAGGTTATATATTGAGTAAATAGTTTATTGTTCGTTTCTTGTTAACCCCCACGCTCAGTATATTCCAGCTATATGACAACTGGCTCTAAATAATTGAGTCTGGACCAGACAATCCAGTGATTGATACTGTGAGAAATGATCCATGCCATCATTTTACGGATGACAAGCAGTTACCGAGCCTGATCACCAGATCCACTTAGGCACCTCTTGCAGCAAGCACAGATCATAACAAACAACTGGGTTCTAAACTACTTGAGAGGACCACCAATTTGCTGAGCTGAGTCCTACTTAATCTCAAAGTTCTTCAGGAATGGGACTTGTTTTTCAAAACCATGTAAAGAAACTGAAGTTGTACCTTCTACCAGACATGCAACAACTCAAACTACTGCGCAATTTGTACTGCGGCAGTTCAACAGCCCACAGACAGATCAGTCACAAGGGTAATCTGTGACAAAAGGCTTACAACTGATGGATGCCTTTGCCAAGCTTGAAATAAACAAATGATTCAAGTGATCGTCCCGACACCCTTATCAGAAGACATTAACCCTCCTCATCAAGCCCATATACACCCCACGAAATTCAAATCGAATATTGTGATCTGAAAGCTTGATCACCAGGGAGTGATTAGACAAATAAGATACAATACACTGACGCTAGTTGGATCTACAGTCCATGACAGTGGAAGGAACTTGTCTAGAATACCTAGGAAGGAGACCTCATAAGGGTGTATTCATCCTATTTTGGTGGAACTGTGAGATTCATTGAGGTGAAGATGGTGCTCCCTTGCGGAATACAGCTGATTAACAGAGCTTGATGATATAAGTGTAGTTATACTAGCCTCCATAAAACTAGTCAGGCATTAAACCAAAAAGCCCCGAAAACAACAGTTATTTACAGCCAGATTTATGTTTATTAGAACAAACAAAGAATCATACCAAGAAAATTGCATTGAAAAAATATGTTACAGAATTTGTAAAAGAATTAATTTAGATTAACATGGATATTCTATTGCTGTGAAACCATGAAACCATGAAACCATGAATTGATGAATATTTAAGTTGATCATATCCTAACATCAATTACAGGATTCTGTCTTTGTAAACATTATTGGGAATCAACAATGTTTTTAACAATTCCCTGGTGTTAAAACTATTACTTGTTATTACATTAACTATTATCCTTAAAATTGAAATTACTTTGTCAAACATTTCACAGTATCACATTCAAGAAATAATGTATTCACATTTCCTTCAAAACACAGGACACACAAACACAGCCTAACGAACAAATAACAACATACCACACTCTGTTAGTAAAACTAAAAAATGTGAAACCTTTCCAAAACCAAGTCTTCTATTCTAACACTCATCATGCAGAAACAGATGCAGCAAGGCACTACGGAACCAAAACATGCACATGCGACCTACATACCTCAAGCTCCTTGACCTTGGCCGCATCAGGGGAGAGCACCTTCCATCGTCCTCCAAGGTCGCTGATGCGATGCTGGCAGCGGCTGCATTGTTTTCCGAACTACCAAAATGTCGCGAAAGAAGACGCAACTCCTCCGCCGTCGGCTGTGACGGCAGCTGGTGCAGCTTCTCCTGAGAGGAGTACCGTGACTGGAAGTGAAACATTGGGTGAAAGTTTGTCAAACAGGATTGCCCTAGTCATGAAGTTGAAAATGTACAACAATCAACTAACAGTCTCAGAATTCAGGAAGGGGAATGGATGAGACATGAAGTTGTAAACGTACAACAATGAACTTGCTGTCAAATTAATCAAGAACAGGAACATAATAGTCCTGAAATTGAAACCATACAACTATCACCCATAGAACAAAAACAGAAACATTCCTAACAATACAATCAGAATTATACACATCAGAAACTTTAAGGACATCGCCCCTGCATCCCTTGTTTAGCAGAGTCTTGAAATTGGCAGGTTCTGCTGACACAAAACACATGCAATAGTCCTATCAAATATGCAGTTTGAGCTCCAGGTCCACAACGAGCAACAAAGCAGTCGAGAATGATGAGTATGCTCCCTCAAACATGTAACTTCATAGAATACAAAGATGAGGAAAACAAGATCATCCAGATGAAGAGTGTAACTGGGTTGAACTCTATTTCCGTTACCTAACCGTGTAAGCTTACTATTGATTGATGTTGAATCTAATGTGTGTTACACAGACTGTTATACCACACTGCCGTACCAGATGTAAGCTAGTTTCCCTGAAAACAGTAAAAGGGCATTTGGCCATGGTATTTTTTACCACAGGTCATCAACTCCTCAATGACAGTTACAGATTGAACTGGCATAAATAATTGATATTTTAAATGCTGGACATTAATAGCTATGAATTATGCTTTTCTCAAGGAAAACAAAAAAGTCATTCTTCAAATTCTGATATACAAAACAGGAGACAATAGAGTGAGTGAGTGAGTATGGCTTTACGCTGCTTTTAGCAGTATTCCAGCGATATCACTGCTGGGGACACCAGCAATTGGCTTCACACATTGTACCCATGTCGGGAATCAAACCCAGGCCTTGGCGAGACGAGCGAACGCTTTAACGACAAGGCTACCCGACCGCCCCAGGAGACAATAGAAAGAGATGAAACACAAACTCCTTAAAAGAAATGAAGCACTGATTTACATGAAAAAAAGAGAGGCATTTCCATTCTTTTTTAGAAGAAATATATTTTTTGTTATATTGAAATAGAGAAACTAAGCCTTATTTTCTAATGGCACGTGTTATGTGTTCCATGGCATCAGTTACTTGACTACCCTTGCATCTGCTTCCACAGCTTCCTGGCATTGTATGACAGGACCATCTGCCACAACATACACTGCTCTTGTACTAACATTTCAGCACAATCTCATCTGAGTGTGATGGGACCTGTAATGGGATGTCCTCAGATCTTTGTGTGGCAGCAGCGAGCACTAAAACCCTATTTCAATGATATTAGAAGTAACTTTTCTTTCTTTTACCAAATGAGGTCTATGTCAATCAATCTTTATTCATTCTGTAGTGTAGGCCACATGCCCATTCTACATTACAGAGTAACATCAAGGGAGAAAACATTCACAATACATCAGTTCACATCCAAAGGCAAATGAAATTGCTTTATAAGTTTAAATAGGTTAATTCTGTATAATGGAAACATTATTTGATAATTAACATATCAAATCTAGGATACGTTGGGAAAAGACGGTATTTTGGGGAACATACTAACATTGTAGACATTGGCAACATCACAAACAATCTTAAAATGACATTCATCTTCAACAGTATTGTGTTTACGAACTAAACACAATCTGTGATGTTTTAATTCCTTTTCATATCGTCCAGTTTCGATTTGAAGCAGTTGGGAACAGCATCTCATCGGAGCAAGGGCAGTCAAGATTTACAATTGGATACTTTTTGCAAATACAGTTCTAAGGCAAAATATATTTTGTGTAATGAATATATAATAATATATAATTGATTTTGTACTTAATGATATAGATGCATATCAGTTTTGCTCAAATGAGGATTTTAAGTGCAGAATAAATTCTGACATGAAGTTATTAAGATTGTATATCTGTAACTGTTGCTGTTCCCAAACATATCCAAAGCCGAAAGAAAATAAGATGCCCAAATAACCTTACCATTATGGATATCTAATAGCAATACATCATAATATTTCTTTTCCGATCTAGATTCTGGCATACTGGAGATCAATGTCATATGAAGATATTTCCACAAGATACCTGGAAGTTTGAAAATACATAAGGGTTGGTGCCTCATATTTACCAGGAGTATGTATTCTTTTATTATTAATACTTCTTTTCTACCAGTGAAAATTAAAATCAATGTGGATTTAAGCACACAATCAATAGAAACACCATATCAAGCTATTCCTAACAAATTAATAATGTCTCAAATACCTCAATCTGGTCAACAGCTTAAAATTAAATATTCAGACAATATCAATACCAGTTTGATGACCTCTTGTCATGACCACTATGTTCTGACCTTTACCATATTGCTGGTGGCTCTCATGCCAACACAGTCGTTGTATTGATTAGGGTTAGCTGTTGTACACAACTTGCTCCTCAAATAGTGTCCATCAGAAAATCGGTAAGTTTTCAAGAAGACGTAACCAGTATCTTTGAGAAGCAATTTGTTACTTGCATTCATTAAACATCTCGGCATTGCGATCAGGTCAAACATTTTCCATTTCATGGCTGAATTGAACATACCAAACATATTCTTAAATATCGCTTTTCTTTGACCTCACAATCTGGCATTGCCTTGTAATAAGAGTACAAAAGCTGTAGATCACCTGATGTGGTATATTCACAGATTTTCATAGAACTTTATAGTATGCGATTCTTCTGAATTCATCATAAACATAACGTCAAAACTTAAGGCCATGATAAATCAATAATGACATTGTCATCAATTTCCCAGTAGATGACAACAATCAAGGTCTTCCACTGTAACCAACTGATTCCAATTGCATCCATACAGCTTCTTAATATCCCTAAAAGAAGTGATATGGTGCTGACAGACAAAAACATGTTTCCAGAGGTGAGGTGAAACGGGGTTCAATGTCATGTTAAAGATTGCACTTACATAGACATTATGTGTGTGTGATGGGTTTTGCTTGTACTAGGCCGGACTAACGCCAATGCAATAAAAAATTGCACTTCAATTTCATACAAAGCCAATTTTTTACTTAAAATACATGCAGAAAATAATCACATAGTGACATACTTCTTGGTTCTATTTCTGATCTGAGATCACGTCATCATAATTTTATCTGCACAATATATATATAATAATAATAGGTTATTTATATTGCGCATATTTCCACACCACTCAGGGGCATGCTCAAAGTAGTATTTGCACACACCTCCTTTCCTAAACTTCAAATTTCGAACTCAAATCAAACCCCTACAAAAATATTTCATCTGAGAAAACCAATACGATCCCTGAGTGTTAGCAGGAGCACATTCAGAAGATGCAGTCACCATCAACATCTATCAAGATCTCCAATCCAATCAGCAAAAGTTAAACCTGCTAATTTCCCCCTCAAACCAGGTGTAAAACCCTTCAAACAATCAACCCCTATATTGAAACATGTCCGTCTTGGCTACAATTAGTGTTGATCTCGACACATCACTAATAAGACCAATCAGTAACACTGGCAATGACGTACATGTTCATACTAGCCCAATCATTATTGATCCTTGCCAAAATACAGCTTATGATCCTGTTGACAGTTTCCAGTCTCATTACACTGTTTGATACGACAAGGGGCGATTTTGTCTAATTTGGAAGACAGCGCCCTCTAGTGGTCATACTTACTGAGTAATTGGAGCTGCCCGGGGTGTTGGTGCCGTAGCCAGAAGATGGCAGGGACGCAAATGACCACCGACGGCCATCACACCTGGAAGACATGTTAGCATTTCTTACAGAGTTGTAGCGTGGACATCGACTTTGTTGACAAATTAATGATAGATTAGAAGGGGATGAAAATAGGAGCAGAAATGGGAAATGCAATTCAAAAACATATTTTAATTAATCCTATTGCCTTAATCTGATTTGGACATAAATGTCATGCCTCTATTCACTAACTCATTTTCAAGACTGAAACAGATTGGTTATTGGGCATTCATTCAACTTGCAGTAAATAATGAACATATTGATTCACAGGTGCCGACTTCCATGAGCCTGACCAAGGGGTAAAGAGTTATTCTGAGATATGATATTATTGTAGTTATTGATGTAAGGATTCTGATATGAGAGAGACAAATATGTTGGGACTTGTTCATTTGGCTCGTAATAATAATAAGCAAATATCAATCAGTATAGGTATAATGTTTCTGTTTATCCTCAAATGGCAGCGTTTTGTGTTTTAACTGATTGAATATCATGTCGGCTTTCTGGTGGAGCAAAGCCCATGCCATTTGCCCCAAAGTGACACAATCGTTGATATTTACTACTTTGGTGAAACCAATGGGTATGTCTGTTGACATTTACCACTTTGGTGAAACCAATAGGTACATTGTTGACATTTGACACTTTGATGAAACCAATTTGGTATGTTGTTGACATTTGACACTTTGATGAAACCAATGGGTATGTCTGTTGACATTTACCACTTTGGTGAAACCAATGGGTACGTTATTGACATTTACCACTTTGGTGAAACCAATGGATATGGAACGGCATAGATCTGCAAAATACACTGCTGTATGATCAGCTGATCTTACTCGGCAGAGTTGTGGGCCTTGGTCATACAAGGGACATAACTCTGCTCAGCAAGTGGCAGTATCACGTTCAGACCACTACTAAAAAGGTAATAGGATAAATTGCTTCCACTGGTTGGAAGTGTCTCTCCACTCGATGAGCAGCAGAACAATGGATCAACAGTTTGTAGTCCACTGATGTGCAGGATTAATCAGAATCAACTGTTGCACAAATAAACCAGACACTTACTTTTTAATGGCTTGAAATGCAAAATTTGCATGTTGGTTTGGTGACAGGTTTCGTGGGCTTTCATGTGGGCTTCCTGCAAGTGAAAACGAAAATAGTCAATTTCAGGTTTGATATTACCCTTTAAATCCAGAACTTTCATTAACACTCCTCTAAACTGTAACAGAAATCTTCACATGGCAAAAGCCATCAGATAGCCAACAATGGGTAGTTTGTTTGTTTGATGTTTAAAACCGCACTCACCAATACTCCAGCTTTGATGGCCGTTCGTAAATAATTAAGTAAGGACAATCTAGCGAACCTGACCATCTGATCCCATTAGTCGCCTTTTACAACAAGCATGGGTTGCTGAAGACCAAATGTAACCTGGATCTGGAGTCAACAATGGGTGGTATGGAGCAGAATACAATACTAGTACGTTAAATCAGTCCTTGCTCCTTCAGGTGCAAATCAATTATTTTTCAAGGCCCAAAACATTCTCATGCCTATTCCAAAAGCAATCAAGGCCAAGTTCCGGCCAAAGGCATCAACAGTTGCATCACCTCCACAGATAAACAGTTGTACTGAAAATAGTTTTGTGAAGAAAGTCAGATCAAATGTCATCCATCCATCAAATGTACTATTTACTTAACTGTAATTGTAATATGATTTCGTACATTATAGCCGATACAAAAGGTTTGTCAAACTGAAGGTGTGTTGGTTATTTGAGCATCACATGTACTGTATAATATCAACAACTCCATATTGTTTTCAGCTGCCATCTGGATGTAAACGCAATGTTCAAAATGTGATCAAATAATACCAGTAAAGAAGAATTTACACAAGCCAGAGTCACCACTGGCTTTTGAAACTACCAGTCCTGGTGGACCGGCAAAAAGTTACCAGTCCCTTCCAATATTTGTCAGTCCCAACTTTTAACAATTAAAAAAAAGGCATGAAAATTACCTTGTTGTAATTCTTTCAACATCACGTTCAATGCAAAGACGTCATCTCTGAAGTAACTTAGTTAGATCTACCAGCATTCACATAAAGTTCAGTCATAATTTTCTCTTTTGCTTTGAATATTTCGAGACTAAGTCACAGCCACCTATTTAACCTCTAAGGAAAGTGAAATGCACTAAATAGGGACAAGGAGAAACACTGATGTTAACAGACAAGCTGGCTTTGTTAAAAACACTACTCATACGAATATCGCCGATGTTTTGTTCAACAAAAAAGATTATAACATACTTTATTCGACAGCACATGCCTAATATTACCGGTAAAAACTGGTAATTACCGATAAATGGGAAAAATTATACATAAATATTATTAAAATCATATACCTGTACAATTTCCCCAACATCAATCTCAAAGCATTGCAATGAATAAACATTACAATTATTTTCAGCGAATCACTTTCGTATAGTCACCATGCTCACATAACTAATATCCTCATAACTTCTTAATGAATATATTCAGGTTATATCAATCACCTCAAAATCCCTGACTTCCACAACAGAATTATGTTTCTGATCAATGTGAGATGAATACCACTGGAATGAGGACATTCAGGAGATAAACCTACTGTGTTTTGAACTTTGATGTCCCACTGTAGAATAGATACCTCTTTATTTAAATTTTGAACCGAGCGCCTTAGCACTGGAATGAGAACATTTTGCAATCCACACTCAAATCAATTAATGTGAAGCTGAATGTTTCCACTACATAATTAATCCCTGACAAGAATATGAACAATACCCACCAGCACAGTGTTTATTTTGGTATTTGTGTTCAGCGATGCACTCAATCAATACTCCAGCTACATGACAGCAAATAATCAGACCTCACAAACCAGTGATTGACACCATGAGCAACACCCTGTCCATTGGGGTACGATGGCGTGCAATCATCCATATCACAGAGTCTGATCTCGATTATTCAGTGTCCCCTTTGTCTTACAACCAGCATAGAATGGGGACCCATTCTCAACCGGAACCCCCATGGTTTTTTTTGCACAGACATGAGACAGAATAAGATAAAATTATCTCAAAAGACCTCCTCCTCAAACGCTCATTACTCACAACAACAAGACAGTTAAATGCCACAGAATGAAATTCCACATCAATCCGATGGAACTAAGTACAAGGAAATTACCAATCAAATCAGGAAATAGTGTGAATGAAAAAATAGAATAATCAATATCATTGTGTTCCATAAAGAGAAAACATGATGGATGTTGTATTACAAAATGATTGGTTTTAAGATTCACCCAAAATAGCAATTTTGATACAAATCAAATGATGTGTGATAATAATCTGCAAGATGAGCTTGTCAGGGTTGTCATTTTGACACAAACAAAACACCCGTAATGATGGGTTCTGACAACTTGAGAGGGACACGCATAATAAAATGGCTTCTTATGACCTGGAAAGGCTGATGGCCTGTTGCTTATTAAATCGTATGGTCACCTTTCGCTGATATTCCCAAAAGTGTCGTCTGCCTCCTGTCATCAACAGCGTATGATACAGCTAATATAGGGTTGCCGTGACAACCAGGTTACAGACACACGGAATACAATAGAATACAATGTGTTTTCGCAAACCAAAACCTGCCCATTGTGAAGCATTAATTTGCTGGTGGAGACAGCGGAAATTTGCAGCCAAGATCTAAGGGTGGTACTCCCTGAGGGATATTCATTGTTGCCATGGCAATCATGGGGACATGCCAGGAACGCCAATCATAGACAATTGAAAAGGATTCTGGGGATATACATCAGTAAAGAAATAAATTACAGAACTAAATCTCAAAAGCTAAGAGATTTGGACACAATTAACACACCAAGGAATCTCTTGCAGAATTCAACATCATCTCGTTCTATTATATCAGCAACAAGAAACTACTTCAACTAACAAGAAACATGACAACAAGAACCATTAAAAAAGTGACATTATATTTTCAATTAAGTTTTCAAGATTTTCATGGTTGTAAAACTTTTCATGTACTGGATTGACCGCTTTCGGGAGAGAACCAAAATGGTTATTCACATGAACTCACCAACTGGAAAACTAATTATTAGGATTGCATTCTCAATAACAGTTAAAACCACTATTGACAATGCAGAGTGTATGGTTTAGAGATTGAATATTGATCCATATGTATGGATCATAAAATTGACACGAATGTAAAATATTTTCTATGTTTCCTTGTGTGTTAACTGACATTTATATGTCATATTTCATCGACATCACATAACAGTGCTTGAATATGTAAGCACCTGAGCAGGTGCACCTTGACAAAGTCTGGCTTTGTCTGTGACACCAAGCCCCATGGAAAGTGGGTTGATGAACGACATACAGAACCTGCAATAGTGAGTGCATTTTGCACAGCTTTGACTAGTATTTCTGTCATATAACAGCATGTCAACTGAACGTGGTAGCAGCGGCCATTTTGGTTAAACCCATATGTTCAGGTATGGATCAGACAAGCCAATTGTGATACAGGGAGGGGTTGCAAAGAGTAAGTGAGTGAGTGAGTGAGTATGGTTTTACGCCGCTTTTAGCAATATTCCAGCAATATCACGGCGGGGGACACCAGAAATGGGCTTCACACATTGTCCCATGTCGGGAATCGAACCCGGGTCTTCGGTGTGACGAGTGAACGCTTTAACCACTAGGCTACCCGACCGCCCCGGGTTGCAAAGAGGTGACAGTTTACAAGACCAGTGAGAGTAACATGTTGAAAGTTACAGTCAGCAAAATTCCAGCCACATCACTCCAGCTTGGATCAGACATTCCGGTGGTTGATAGTGTGGGCAACAATACATTCATTTATATACTCCAAACATGCTAGACCACAGTTATCTTCCTTGACTATTGACCACTCAGAAGGGTATAGTGCTGAGAAACCAAGAAGAATGATCAGGGTGAATCAGTGCCTCAAACAATCAGCAGATCCTGACACAAAAAGGGGTGCAACTCTACATACCCAATTGTTACAAGCTTGGGATACTGACAGCCAAAGGCCTACATGAAAGTTACCAATGATAACCAAATCTCATTCTGAATCCTACTTTTGGCTGCACAAGTCATCTTTTCATGAAAGTCATGAAACTACAGTGGAGACGACTGAACTGTTTCTAGGGCTGAGACAGACAGCAGAACACTGACCTTTACTTTGCTCCTAATTACCCAATGATGTAGAAGAAACTGACAACGTCAAGATGTCTACTGGAGAACTAAGGGATAATGCTATCAGGTGTAAACTGTGGTGGTCAGTCATAAGTGATGTATCAAAATCTACTAAGGAAAATGGTAGACCACCATGCAGCTCAGGTCTAAAGGGAACCTTGACGGTGCAGTTGAGCAAGAACTGTTCGTTATCCACATCAGTGTTTGTTTTCTTTCTTTGTTTGTCGTATTACGCCGCACTCAGCAATATTTCAGCTGTAAGACATCAGTCTGTAAATAATTAAGTGTGGACCAGACAATCCAGTTATTGACATCTGCAGCTTCGATCTACACACTTGGGATGCACAATTGACATGCATCAACCAAGTCCCACATCAGAGAAGACTTCTGAGGGGATCTGATTTCCCAATGCTGTTTCGAAGCATTTGAAAGAATTTAAGTATTAAAAGTAAAATTTTAACAAATCACATGCTCCCTAACCATTTTGTCTGGTATGTATTAGAACACTCATTTTAAAAATATTTTTCAAACATAATAATTTTTAATTTAAATATTAAAGTATTTCTGATTATTTTAAGTTCATCAGCATAATGCCGAAGATTGAAAGGGAGTAGAATATTGTCATATGACTCTGTAAAATATGTATTCAAAAGAAACATTATCCAAGGTTCGTTCTTCATCAGTATTTATTTGGGATAGTTGAGTTCTTGGCGTACAATCCCAGAAATGCCCTTAATGGTGCTCCTGAATGACTGAAGGGAATTTTGCCATGGCTGCAATGGATCTGTGGCAGGGAACTGTGCCTGGACTGCAGGGAATTGAACATGGAAACAAACTATGTTAAAGTACAGGAATTCTACAGTTCACCTAAGTCCAGGACTTACCTATACAAAGCAATATCAGTACT